TACCRGAGGTCGTGTMGAKGTRCCKGTGGCAGTYGTKGTACCCGAGGTTGTTGTCGAGGTTCCGGTAGCGGTAGTCGTACCCGAGGTCGTGGTCGAGTTACCGGTAGTACCAGATGTGGTTGTCGTGCCGGTTGCAGTAGTAGTACCAGAGGTGGTGGTCGAGGTGCCTGTTGCTGTTGTAGTACCCGATGTGGTTGTCGTTGTCGAGTTGCCAGTTGTTCCAGAGGTTGTAGTCGATGTACCTGTGGCAGTGGTAGTTCCAGAGGTCGTGGTGGAAGTGCCGGTGGCGGTGGTAGTACCGCTGGTGGTTGTCGAAGTACCCGTGGCGGTAGTTGTACCAGAGGTGGTGGTCGAGTTGCCGGTAGTACCTGTGGCAGTAGTCGTGCCGCTGGTAGTGGTGGAAGTACCTGTGGCTGTGGTAGTACCCGAGGTCGTGGTTGAGGTGCCAGTTGCAGTGGTAGTACCGGAGGTAGTAGTCGAGTTACCAGTTGTGGTGCCGGTTGCAGTGGTAGTACCGGAGGTGGTTGTCGATGAGCCTGTTGCCGTTGTAGTACCAGACGTTGTGGTCGAGGTGCCTGTTGCTGTGGTAGTACCCGAGGTGGTGGTTGAGTTACCAGTTGTAGTGCCTGTGGCAGTAGTAGTACCGGATGTAGTGGTCGAGGTGCCTGTTGCAGTGGTAGTACCCGAGGTGGTGGTTGAGGTGCCAGTAGCCGTGGTAGTACCGGAGGTAGTTGTCGAGTTACCGGTGGTAGTTCCTGATGTCGTGGTCGATGTTCCAGTGGCAGTGGTGGTTCCTGAGGTAGTGGTCGAGGTGCCAGTTGCCGTGGTAGTTCCGCTGGTAGTTGTGGTAGTCGAGTTACCGGTAGTGCCAGAAGTCGTTGTGGATGTACCTGTGGCAGTTGTAGTACCGGATGTAGTGGTAGACGTTCCCGTGGCGGTGGTTGTACCAGAGGTAGTGGTAGTTGTCGAGTTACCGGTAGTACCAGATGTCGTTGTCGAAGTGCCTGTTGCAGTGGTAGTACCAGAGGTCGTGGTAGAGGTGCCAGTTGCCGTGGTCGTTCCAGAGGTGGTAGTTGTCGTCGAGTTACCAGTGGTTCCAGAGGTGGTTGTCGATGTACCTGTGGCGGTGGTAGTACCCGAGGTCGTGGTGGAAGTACCTGTGGCAGTGGTAGTACCCGAGGTAGTTGTCGAGTTACCAGTTGTTCCGGAGGTCGTAGTGGTGGTTCCAGTGGCAGTGGTAGTACCCGAAGTCGTGGTCGAGGTGCCAGTAGCCGTGGTTGTACCAGAGGTAGTTGTCGAGTTACCAGTAGTTCCAGAGGTGGTTGTCGATGTACCGGTGGCAGTGGTAGTACCCGAAGTCGTGGTAGATGTGCCAGTAGCAGTGGTGGTACCAGAGGTAGTTGTCGAGTTGCCAGTGGTCGTTCCAGAGGTCGTGGTAGCGGTGGTAGTACCGGAAGTTGTCGTAGAGGTACCAGACGTGGTCGATGTACCCGAGGTAGTGGTCGTTGTCGAGTTACCGGTGGTACCAGAGGTAGTTGTCGATGTGCCAGTGGCTGTGGTAGTGCCAGAAGTTGTCGTGGAGGTTCCCGAAGTTGTTGAAGTACCGGTGGTAGTACCATTGGTGGACGACGTAGTCACTCCAGTAGTCGTGCCAGATGTGGCTGTTGTAGTACCACTAGTGGTTGTGGACGTGGTTCCTGATGTGGTCGAGGTACCATTGGTAGTGGCGGTAGTTGTACCGGAAGTGGTAGTCGAGGTGCCAGAGGTGGTCGAGGTACCCGTGGTAGTTGAGGTGCCCGATGTAGTTCCAGACGTGGTGGAGTTGGCTGAGGTCATAGTAGTGCCAGACGTGGTAGATGTACCAGATGTGGTCGATGTTCCTGATGTGGAGGAGGTGGAGGTAGTCGAGGTGCCAGTTGAGGTGGACGATGTACTCGACGTGGAATGATTTCCAGAAGTGACCACAGGTGGAGCGATAACTGGTGGAGCAATCACTGGTGGAGCGATAACTGGTGGGGCAATCACTGGTGGAGCAATCACTGGTGGACCAACAGTGGTCGTTGGTGGTGGACCAGTGGTAGTCTGTGTGGTGGTTGTCGTGGTAGTGGTGGTCGTTTCATCATCAGGTGGCTTGATGTAAGTGAACGATGAGTATGCGCTCTGGCCTTGGAAGGTGAGAGTGACCGTGACCGTGCCTTCCTCGCCGGGTGGCACTGTACATGTGATGTAACCGGATGAGATGACGACGATGCCCATGCACTCCTCGTCACCAATCTTGATCTCGGGGGGATCAGTTGTCAGACCCATGTTGGAACCGACAATGACAACGGGTGTGGCGGCATCGGTGTATCCCTCGCCTGGTGTGATCGAGGTGATGGAGGGCGCCGTGTACGAGAAGTCGGTGTTGGTGTTGCTGGTCTTGCCGGCAACTGTCACGGTGATGGGGATGGACGTGCCTCCGCCACTTGGTGTCGAGATGATCACAAGTGTGGCGGTAGCAGAGAGTACGGTGGCGTCTTCATTGTTGAATGATACGGTGGGTTGGTTGTTGCCTGCGACAAAGTTCTTTCCAGAGATGGACAATGGATAGACTCCATCAACTCCTCCAGTTGTTGGCGAGACTGAGTCAATCTTGGGGTCGCCAACATACTCGTACATGACCTGTTGGGTCGAGGTCTGGCCGCCGGCGGTGACAGTGACTTGCTGCTCGCCTGGTGACTGAGCCGTGGGCACGTTACAGGACAAGCTCTCGGTTGTGCCTTGCTTGGGCAGGACGGCAACATTGGTACAAGCTCCCGCGCTGCCAATGTTGGCTGTGGGGCTGCTGCCAAAGTATTGACCAGTGATGGTAACGAGCTGTTGTTGATCAGTCTCGCCACTGCTTGGTGAGATGCTGGTGACGTTGGGGCCAAAGTAGGAGAAGTAGGTGTTGGCGTCGTTGCTCTGTGTGCCGACTGTCACGATGATGGACAGACCGGTGCCAGTGCCAGCGGGAGCCTGACAGTAGACGTTGTTGCTGTCGACCCATGTCACCTGCTGACACTTGGTCGAGGCGATGGTGACAGAGTTGTTCGAGTCCTGTGGCTTGCCGTTGATCTCAGCGGCCAGCTGTTGGGGAACAAAGTTCTGACCGGTGATGGTGATCCACGTGCCTCCGCTGGGGTCGCCGTTGTAGTTCTTGTTGTCCAAGGTGGGGGCGTCGTACGAGAAGATGGGAGGTGGGTTGTTCGTGGTCGATTGATTACCGACAACCACAACGAGTGGGAGGTTCTTGCCAATGCCTGGCTGAACGGCGCACACTATGGTCTGAGAGTTGGTCCAAGTGGGCGTGCATACTGCCGAGTTGATCGTGACATTGGAGTTGGTGGGCTGTACTCCCTGTGGCACAAAGTTGGTACCGGAGATGGTGGCTGAGCCTCCGTCGGTGCCAGTGGTGGTGATGCTGTTGACCCATGGTGGCAGGTATGAGAACGTGTTGTTGTCAGTGTTGACCTGGTTGCCGACGGTGACGACGATGCTAAGGTTGGCGCCAATGCCTGCGGGTGCCTGGCATGAGACAGTGTTGGCGTTGATCCATGTTGTCGACTGGCAGGCTGCGCCGGCAATCGTGACATTAGACTCAGTGGGGTCGATGTCGGTGGGCACAAAGTTGTAACCATTGATTGTGATCACCTGGCCATCAGTCTTGCTCATGTCCAACGTGGTAATGTTGGGTGGGTTGTAGGAGAAGGTCACGTTGTCCACGCTGGACTGGCCACCAACCACGACGGTGAGCGACAAGTTGCGTCCAATGCCCGCGGCCACCTCACATGTGAGGTTGGACGAGGAAATCCAGTCGACGTCAGTGCAGTTGTTGCCGTTGATCACGACGTAGTTGGTCGTGTTGTCGATGGTGAAATTGGCGTTGGCTGGCACAAAGTTGGCTCCGAATATTGTAATTCGTTCGCCCGGCGTGTCGCTCGGCGTCACCGAGCTGACATTGGGCGCGTTGTAACAGAATGAGAATGCGAGTGAACCATTGCCGGCGGTGTTGTTCTGTGCACCGATCCATACGACGATCGATTGGTTACAGCCAATGCCTGGGGGCACTTGTCCATAGATGACCGATGAGTTGAGGAATGTGATGTTGTTCAACAACACGTTGCCTATGGTGACGTTGGAGAATGACAGGGGTCCTTGGAGGGGCACGTCATACTCTGTCTGGTTCTCAGCGTTGGTGTAGTTCAAGTCGAGTTCGTTGGGCACAAAGTCATAACCGACGATTGTGAGGTAGCTGCCACCGTCGGTGTCGCTTGCATTGTTGCCAGCCATCGACAGGACTGTGGGCGGGTTGTAGGTAATGAAGGTCTCGGAGAGGGGCGACGAGAGCGTGTCACAGGTGATGTTGATGAAGATGTCCGTGCCGATGCCGGGTGGGAGGATACACTTCATGCAGTCAAACTCGACGGTCTCACGCCAGGTCGTGTTGAGCACGATGTACGGGTCGAACGTGCCGTTGTTCCAGTATGGGTTGGTTGGGGGTGGGATCACGTTGTTCTGTGCGTCGGTGTATGTCTTGTTACGGTAGACATCCTCGTCAAAGGTACAGTTGACGGGGACGACCAGGTAGATGCTGATGTTTGGGTAGAACTCCAGACCCTTGGGGCCGAGGTCAGTGCCGACCACCCAGAAGAAGCCACTGGTCGAGGTGTTGAGTGGCGTCTGCACGAGCTGGAGGATGGCGGGCGACGTGTACGTGAAGAGGGGGCCGTTGTTGTCGGTCTGGCCGTCAATGTCGATTTCAACGTGGCGCACACCAGTGTAGTTGGGGATGCGACAGGTGGCCTGAGTGTCACTCAGACGGAGCGACTCGTTACACGGGCAATTCTCAATGCTGATGGTGAACGTCTGATCGATGTCTCCGAACGATGTTCCGGTGACAGTCATCATCGCGCCACCCCATGTATGGTCAGTGTCGATGGAGATCGAGCTGATGACGGGGGCAGTGAAGTTGAGGTAGATTGCTACGGATGCATTGTTGTTCTCAGAGGACTGGCCGGCCAACTGGACGATGACAGGCTTGCTGTATCCAGTGCCGTTCGACGAGAATACGAGGGCCTCATAGCCACCACTCTGGTAGGATGATAAGATGGGCATGGGGTAGCCATCGACCGAGAGCGTGATGTTGGCTGTGGTGGTCTGTGACGAGAGGAAGTTGTTTCCGTAGATGGTGACGGAGGAGCCAAGTGTGGGGATGGGCCACGAGTCATAGTCGACGTAGCCGAGTGCTGGTGCGTCGTAGATGTAGGTGTAGTCGTACAATGGGGTCTCGCCTGGGAGGTCGGTCAGCGAGTTGAAGTAGCTGATGTGGACGCTGCCCACACCCGAGCCAATCGTGCAGATGAGTGTGTCCTCGCCGGTGATTGGGTCGTAGGTCACACTTTGGATTGGCAATGGGTTGGTGCCTGCCATGATGGTCACGCCTGGCTCAGAGAGCTTGCGACCCTGGATGGTGATCGCGTTGGTGGTGGACACGGTTGGGCCAGAGAGTGGCGACATGGAGAACACGACTGGGCCTGATGGACACAGACTGAGGATGCTGCCCAGGTTGAAGGCGGTCAGGTTGGTGGCGCCAATCGCGCACAGGTAGTTGCGGTAGGTGACGATGGCCAGACCGTCCTCGGTTGGCTTCTGCTGGATGAAGTAAGCGGTGAGGTCGTTGTAGACCATAACCTCGGAAGCCAGGTTGAGCTGGTTGTTAATGACGTGGGTGAGGTATTGGATACCCTTGGGTGTCACGGGATAGCCGTCCTCAATCTCAAACTCGCAAAGGGTTGGGTCGAGCACTTGGAGCAGAGAGGGGAGCAACACGGAGGTGTTGTAGAGGTTGACAAAGTCCTGTGAGTAGATGAACTGCACACCAGTGTTGGTGGTCCAGTTGGGAGCAACGGATGCCCAGTAGCCGGCGTACTCGGACACGAGTCCCATGTCAGAGGCGTCAATGGTGGACTGGCACACGCCCTTGGAGAGAAGCACGTTGGACAGGTCTGAGCTGTTGGTGATGGGAGGTGGCGAGTCAACCTTGCATTGAGGACACACAAACATGTTGTCGTAGACCATGATGGACTTGGCCAGGGGCACGACCAAAGAGTTGGTGGTGGGGATCAATGTGAACATGTTCTCGGAGAAGGTTATGGCGTCGGTCACTCCAAACTCGCGGATGGCGTTGAAGATGAACTTCATCTTGACGCGGAATCCAGAGTTGCCGTCCACGTAGGGCGGCTTGCGGAGGTAGATGTCGATGGCATCATCGTTGGGCTCATCCACGAGATCCCACAGGTAGGCGGTGACCCAACCTGGAGACTGGACTCCATTCCTGCGAAGGTAGCGAGCGCTCTCAAAGTGCTCAATGTCGATGGGGGTGGTGGAGCAGTCAGTGAGCGACTCGATGGTGGACAGGGGCAGGCTTGGGAAAGTGAGCATGCGGAGCTGCATGGCGTAGATGTTGACGAGACCGTCGAGCAGGGCTGAGGACTCGGACTCGAGGGTGGCAAGGTCGAGCAAGGCCGATGGAACAGGCAAGGACTCGATGGATCTGTTGAGCCAGAGTAGAGAGTCGTAGGCAAAGGCACGGAACAAAGTGTCCATGCACAGGTTGTTGATGTCGACGGGGATGTTGTACTGAGTGTTGAACACACCAATGTTGGTCGTGGCAGTGACAGTGAAGAAGTAGCCGTTTGGACGAGTGACGCCCAGATGCTTGTTGGTCTCCACCAACATGCTGATCACCTTGTACAAGGTCAGCAGGTTCTGCTGCTGCACGGTGGTGGCGGTGGGCACGTAGGCGGCGGTCTGGTTGGTGGTGGGGAATGAGATGGGGTCGTTGTCAGACCACTGCATGATCACGGGCTGGTTGCCATCGCTTGTGAGCACTGCATTGAACTGGGGGTCCCAGCTGCCGCGGTACGTGAAGAAGGCGTTGGAGTTGGTCACCATGGTCGAGTTGTCGTCCTGTGGTGGCGTGACACAGTAGATGCCCGTGCAGCCAGAGTTGGCCACTTGGACGGTGGTGTGTGGGAGGAGGGGGTCGGGCAGCATGGCCAAGTAGGCGCTGACGCTAGCCGATTGGCCAGTCATTGGCTGCGTGTCGAACATCAGACGAGCACGGATGAAGATGAAGTACTGGTTCTGGACCTGGCTGGGGCAGACGATGCCGGTGCAGTTGCCAGTGCTGTACTTGTAGATCATCTCTGTGGTGAAGTCGGCGATGGCCTGGGTGCCAGCGAGACACACAGACACACCACCACCGTATGGTGTCGATGGGCTGTAGTCACCAAGACAGAGGACGGTGCTGTTGAAGCCGATGATGCTGCGGTCCGTGTCAGTCTTCCACTGGCTGAGGCCGAGAGGGATGTCATTGGCCTTGGCAAAGTCGGGTGGGATTCTAATTTCGGTGATGGCGTTGACATTGGGGAGGATCTTGTACTTGGCGGGCACGGTCAATGACGTGGGGTTGAAGCCAATTGGCGACCAAATGTCACTCTGGTAACCGGACGAGTAGAAGTAGCCGGCGTTCCAGTTTGGCGAGGCGTAGTGGATGCCTGGTGTGGCGGATGGCTGCACAAAGATTGGTGTGAGCAGTGGCTCGAGGTTGCTGGGAAGGGGGTAGACGTTGGTCCTGTAGACGAATGGAATGGACACGGAGATGGCCTGGACGATGTTGGTGGGCGTGGAGATGCCATGGCAGATGAATGAGTGGCCGAGGGACAGGTCCTGCATCTGGGTCGGGCGCAGATGGTAGTCGTTGGGGAACCAGCTGTTGGGGTAGTTGGCCGGGGTCTTGAAGTCAAAGATCGAGTCGCGCAATGGCACGGGGAAGCCCTGCAGCGAGTGCTTGAGATGGAAACCCGGAGTGGTGGTGTTGGACGTTTGGATGGCAAAGATACCCTTGCTTATTGAGCGAGCGGTGTTGAACGAGCCGTTGAAGGACTCGGCCAGCTGGCCGGACAGGTCATCGTAGAAGGGCAGGTCGTTGTACATGAAGAAACCCGTGCCTGAGTCCATGGATGGCGCGATCTGGTTGAGGGTACGGCCGAGACATGAGTTGGCGTCGGTGATGTCGGTGTAGTAGAAGACGGTGGATGGGTCGGCACTGCTACTGTACAGGTAGTTCTTGGACAATGGGATCTTGTGGGCGTACCACCAGGCGACGACGTCACCAGTGGGCGACAGACAGGTGGGTGCCATCTCGTAGTAGTGGAGGTACAACACGTTGGACTGCTGGCCACCGCTTGTGAGTATGACCTGCATCGAGCCGAATGTCTGGAAGACTGGTGCCGAGCACATGACTATCGTTGAGGTGGCCGCGAGCACTGGACAGGCGAAGCCTCCCACAGTGACATTGACGCCATAGGTGACGGGGATCTTGCCGCTGATGGTCAGGTTGACGGACTGGCCGATGTACACGAATGATGGCGAGAGGTTGTCAATGACGGGCGACACTGTGATCTGGATGGTGTTGGACACGTAGATGCTATCGTTCACATAGAGTGTGAATTGTCCGATGACTGGAATGCTGGGCATCGTGGCAATGATGACGGTCGCGTTGATGAACGTGATGGCCAGACTGGTGTTGCCGGCAAGGGTCACGGCCGACAGGTTGGGCACGAAGCCTGTGCCGACCAATGTGATCAGCTGACCACTGGTGTTGAAGCCAAACGATGATGGACTGAATGATTGAATGACTGGCGTTGGTAGTTGGAGGAGGTAGGTGACATTGACAGAGTTGGATGTCTTGTAGCCGTTGATTAACGTTACAGACTGTGTGCCATTGAGCGTGGTTGGAGCCGCGCACAGGGCGTATGTGGAGTTGATGGACTGGATGGGGCAGTTGAGTCCGCCAACAGTGATGCGGTCACTGCCGCCGGTGAAGTTGAGACCGGACAGCGTGAGCGTGGCCGAGACATTGGTGTACAATGTGCTTGGCGCAATGGAGTTGATGAATGGCTGTGGCAGTGGCGTCATGTAGTTGATGTTGGATGGTGATGACAGTAGACCGTACGAGTTGTTGAGGACCAATGGATGGCCACCTGCTGGCAGGCCCACTGGTGACGTACACGTCAGACTTCCCGTATCAATGTAGGTGATGGGGCAAGGCAATCCTCCAATCGTGGCCTGTGTATATCCAGGATAATAATTGTTACCATACATCTGGATACCCGTTGGTACATCAGCATACACAGAAGTTGGTGTTGGGAACATAATAGTTGGGGGTGGGGCTATATTGATTGATTGATTGAGTCAGTGAGTGATTGATGGATGGATGGATGGATGGATGAATACATACCAAGAACCAGATAGTTTGGCCACTGTGCCAGAGCGTTACCATTGTTCACATCGAGGTTGTATGAACCGTATGTTTGAAGTAGGTTCCATGAACCACATGTCATCATTGATAAGTTGGCAGCGACACTACCTCCTCGACAGGTCCATGATGCCAGCATCACAGTTGAAACGCCAGGAACAAAGTTGGTTCCCCACAATGTGATCGTACCAACATTGGCATTGTTTGTAATGTTTGGCGGGAACACGTTTGTGATCGTAGGCTGAGGGGCTGGTGTTGTTTGGAGGATTGGCAGGGGGATTGTTAATTAACTAATTGGGAGGCGAAGGAATAATTCCAAAATACATACAAATGAAGTTGATTGACCATGGAGGACTGGTGGTTCCGGCATTGGACGCTTGGAACAAGGTTGAACCATAAACGTACATGGGCGGCACGGTACAGATCAGACTTCCACCGGTCACTGTGCCAGGGACGACGGGACAGTAGACGTTGTTCTGGAAGAAGACCACAGTGATGTTGGCCATGAAGTTCTGACCCGTGACAGTGATGTTGCTGTAGATCGTGTTGAGAATGGTGCCTGGCGACACACCGGTCACCCAGGGCACGGACATCGCGGTGCTCAGCACGTAGGGGTCGGACACCACGTTGACACTGTCAATGGTGATGTTGTGCGAACCGGTGTTGCCCGTGGACATCTTGGCCGTACACACAATCTGTGTTGGCTTGACCTGTGGATTGAGACAAAGGTCTGTCTTTCCATCGATGATCACTCTAGACACGCCCTTAACGAATCCAGTACCAACAATAGTATATTGATACTGAACGAGGCCAGTGTCCTCCTTGACAGTCACAGATGTGATCACAGGTTTGGGTGCTAATGAGAGTGTCAGTGAGTGAGCGTGAATGAATGAGCGTGGATGGATCGATACATACAGATGAACTTCAATGGCACACTGTTGGATGGTGTCATGTACTTTCCAGTGATGTTGACCATGGATTTGATCACAACGTTGGTAATTGGGACGGTACAGATGACTTGTGTCGTGTCCACCACCTTGGTGAAAAGACATGGCCACTTGTTCTCAATCATGATCTTCATGTTGTTATTGAAGCTCTTACCCTTGAGCGTGATCATCGTAGTTTGATTGTTCAACACAGTGTTGGGAGTGATTGAAGCAATCATTGGGGTGGCTATGATTGAGTGTGTGTATGGGGTGTGGGTGGAGGTTAGGCTGGAATCATTCCAAGACTAGACTTCCAAATTTGGAAATACTCTTGGATACATACCTGTGATGATCATGTTGAAGGGCTTGGATGTGCCTCTGATTGTGGTAAGGGTCACTGGGATTGATCCGTAGGGACTGCCTTTGGGTGTGATCTGCACCACAAGCTGGGTTGGCTGATTGGTGACGATCTTGTATGTGACGTTGGCCATGATGAACTTGAGGGTAGGGTCGAATCCCTTTCCGACAATGGTGACGACCGACGTCTTATTGTTTGGTATTTGATTAGGCGTGATCGATGTAATGGTAGGTGCGCCTGCCTGTGCCTGCACGCTATGCGTGTGCAGCACAACACACAGCAGCAGCAGCAGCCATATCGGAAGCGTGCTGTTCCGTGTTGTATTCATTCTTGTTGACTATTTCCAAAGTTCCAGGAGTTGGGCTTTGGGTAGGACTTGGGGTTGGACTTGAGTTGAATGGTTGATTGAATGATTGAATATGGATAAATAATAAGTTGTAATAATAATATGTAATAATGTATATGTTGAATTGAATTGAATGATGATGATATTAATATTAACGAATGAATGATCTTGCGTCTATTAATGAAGAGTCGAGGATGTTACCGACACGACAAGACGTGCAGATTGGGAGACCGGTCACGGCCTCGCGAACATTGGTCCAGCCAACCCAGTATCCAACAACAATGTGTGGATGAATGAATATGTGTGTGGAGGATGAGCTCGACTGGGTGATGTATCGATTCGCGAGACATCGCGGGCTAACAGGCAAATGTACCTAGCAGAGGGGGGTGGCAAGGCAGCCTTGAACAGAGTGCAGGACAGACTTAATGAAGGTAGGACCTAAAGAACTGACTGACGAAAGCACGGATCACCTGATTGAGACATCTGATGTGTAGATGTGTGTGGGTGAGTGAGAAGTCGCAGAGTCTGGACGCTCAGACACGAGTGTCATATTACAACTGCAGCCTATCACATCATCAAGCTGATAGGTACCCAGCACAGAGTTGGGCACTGTTGGTTGCCGCAAAGCGCCCATTCGATCGGGTCGAGAATCTAAATCTAGACCACAAAGCAACATTCGTCAGTCGTCTAGGCTTGGTTTGGCTTGAATGCAGGAAAGAATGAGTGTCTGTTCACATGATTGATTGATGTGATGTGTGGATGTATGCATGATGATGGCGATGTAGAGATCATCGTGAAAGATGTCATGACTGAAAACGAGAATAGAATCACAGTGAATGGTCGTGTGAACATTGTTGGGTCGTGACTTTTAATTAATTTGGTAGTTTTGTGTTGGGGTGGGCCTCGTGATCATCGGTGGGGTGGGGCTGAACACAAGATTTTGATCACTTCACCAACCCCAATCAAAATGTGTTACTTTGAGGCAAGAGGTCCAAAAATATTGATTTATTAATTTATATATGTTTGTACAAGGTGAAAGATTGATAGATTGATTTATTGATTGTGTAAATTGAGGGTGGGTCAAAACACAAGATGTGGTTGGCATTGGAGTGTACATCATCAAATAAGGAGATAATAATTATTGATTGATTGATTGGACGTCATGGGAAGTATGAATGTACATGGACAACTCAATCATGTGTCAATCCAAACCAACCGTCTTTATTTGATTCCAAAGAGTTTGATTGTTAATTATATTAATAAATAATATTGAATTGAGGTGGATGTGGGGAGATTGATCGATCAATCAAATCTAGATTGATGATTTCCAAATATGGTAAGTTTGTAGACATAATTATAATAATAATAATGATAAAATAATAATTTAATGTTAATTATGATAAGGGATTGTTGTTTTGTTTGTGGAGTTACGGTTGGAAGGCGGACGGTCGTCAGTCTGACAATGGCGTCAACAGTGGAGAGTGGGAAGGGGGAGAGGGAGGATAGGGGAAGGGCACTGACAACCAGACTTGGATGTAGAAGTGAAGAATGGTGGAAAAAAAGAAAAGGAGAAGGAAGAATAGAGAGGTAAGGTATGGAAAGGAAAGGAAAGGGGCGCAAGGGTATGGTTGTACAATATTGAATGTATATGTATATATGTATAAGTATGTATAAGTATAAGTATAAGTGATTGAATAGGACTATGACATGGTAGTAGTTGTGAATTGATGGTGCATCATCGGTAGCATGTTTGTCTGTTGTTGTTGTTGTTGTTGTTGCTGCTGTTGAAGTTGTTGTTGAAGTTGTTGTTGATTGATTGACATTTGCTGTTGTTGCATCATCATTGTTGTTGTTTGTGGAAACTGTTGTTGTGACAGTTGTTGTTGAAACTTGTTATAATATAGTTGAGGGGGGAACTGTGGAGTTGGGGGAGCATAGTTCTCCTTGTTGACAATGTTGCCCCAGATGTTGGTGATAAACTGTTGATCGTTGCCATACTGACAGAGACGGACTGAGCATGCCAGGACACGAATCAGAAGGATGGCCTCTTGTCGCGGTGATAGGATGTCGGAGAATGCCACCAGAGTGTCCTCGAGGAGTGTCCTCTGCTTGATGAAGTTCCTCTTGAGCTGCTCAAGCTTGCGAGTGAACTCCAGTATCTCTGAGATGTCCACCTTGGACATCAACGCCTCGGCATCATCGAATTGCTTGATGCTCATACCGTTGATGGTTTCGTAGCCACCTGGATTGCTGTTGGTGGCGGCCATCTTGAGAATACGATCCTTGGTAGGCGCCACGACCACCTTGCTGAGGTAAAACTCCTTGACCATCTTGTCCAGACGCTCACGCTCCCCCCGCAGCTCAATGTCCGCCTGCCAGTGAGATGTTCGAAGTTGGCGGATAGCGGCAGACTGCTGATCGTTGATCTGCGCGTCAATGATGAACTGGGACCACCACGAGTCGGATGCAGGACTGCTGACAAATGAGATCATCGGGTTCTCGAGGCCGGGCACGTAGCCAAGCACGGCCAGCTTGGCCTGTGTGTAGGGGTGCACCATCTTCTCGATCTCACGCTCAATGAGTGCGTGGCGCTTGTCCATCGACAGATGGAACACTTGAAGAAGATACACCAGGGCCTTCTCATCATTCTTCTTGATGGCCAGGTCGAGTTGGATGACGATCTGCTTGTCCTCCATCAACATAGTCAGGAAGGCGGGGTCGGGCTTCATGATCTCCACGATGCCTCCCTTCTTGAGTGTGAGGTTCTCCTTCTTGAGTTGGTCGTGCTCTAAGGCCAACATGGCAAGCTTGTCCTCAATCTCGCGCATGTACTCCTTCTTCCTCAATCGGTAGTTCCTGCTGGCAAGGTTCTGACTGGCTCTATTCTTGTTCTTCTTCTCACGCTCGCGATCCGAGTCACTATCACTGTCGTCCATGTCCTCCTTTGCCTCTCTGGCCTCCCTTGCCTCTCTGGACTCCTTCGACTCCTTTGGTTCCTTTGGCTCCTTTGACTTGCTGGACTTGGTCGGTCTCTCTGGTGATCCATTTGTCGATGATGGAGCACTGATTGTCTGCTGAGTGGTCCCTGCGGCAGTAGGCGTTGCGAGAGGGGAGACTGAGCCGGGCGAGGGCGGTCGAAGCTGGAGCTTTGGAATCGTCAATGTTTGTTGTGATTGTTGTAGTGGCTGAGACAGCAGCTGAGAGGAGGTGGATGAATGTAACAGTGGGGAGGACAGTGGATGCAGTCCTGGCGATGAGTGTGGAAGTGTGGGAGCTGGAGACGACTGGCCATTGAATGATGACGAGGCGGATAGATAGATTTGTGGCGTTGGTGTAGACGAGTGTGATAGGTGCAGTGGAGTCGTGGACTGCTGAGGAGACCGTGATGGTGTTGGAGTTGGTGTCATTGTATTTGGAGTTGGTGATGGTGTCAAGGTCACTGGCGTCTGCAATGGAAGATGTTGCAACTGTTGTTGGATCTGTTGGAAGATATGTTGATGATAATGTTGTGGAGCATTAAGCTGTTGTTGTAATTGTTGTTGTAATTGTTGCTGTTGCTGCTGTTGCTGTTGTTGCTGTTGTTGCTGTTGTTGTTGCGGTAGTGGCTGTGGTTGGTATTGTGCGGGTAGTGATTGGGTGGGCATTCCAAGAATGGTTGGCATCTGACTGTTTGGATTGGACAATTGAAGTTGTTGATGTTGTTGTTGTTGTTGCAACTGTTGTTGTTGTTGTTGTATTAACTGTTGCTGTTGTTGATTCTGTTGTTGTTGATGTTGTAACTTCTGGTACAATGATGCCAACAATTGTTGATCACCTGGCAACAGAGGTGATATTTGTTGGAAGAATGTATCCATTGTCTTTTCCATTTGTTATTGTTGTAATGTAATAGTAATAATAATGTAATAATATAATAGTAATGTTAATGATGGTACAATATTAAGATGATTGATTGATTGATTGAATGACCAGACAATAGTCTTCCACAATATTAATATATTAATACAACTTTGAGATGTATATCTCCAATCTTATTATTATCCTTGGTTGTTAATACTACTCTGATATAAGGTACAGAAAGTTAATTAACTATTATTAATTGATTTAGAATATGTACAGGTTGTTGATGTCCCTACGCACAATCAAACAAACAAACAAAGAAACAAAAACACAGGGAATGGGAATGAATGGTGCAATAGAGGGGGCAAGACCCAAGACCCTACCCTTACCCTACCCCTATCCTACACTTCTTGGTTGGTTAATGAAATGGTGCACTCGGTTATGAAATGTGCGTGAATATACTACCACACTTGTTTGATGACAACTCCAACAAACATACAAACAAAGAAACAACGTGGTTAATTAAGGAAGGGGGCTATAATGAATGAATGATATAGTTTGTACACGTTGGGTTGCCCCATTGACAGGGGTGCTTGGGCCAGTTTCGGCGTCGATTCACACTTCAATCACAAGTCGAGCATGTCACCAATTCTAAAAATAAATTGTTTCGACCGACTGGTCCAAACTGACCCTTTCGTTGGTGGTGATTGATTGACTGGTGACCAGTCATTCAGACAGGCAGACAGACAACCAATGATCATGATCATTGGTGCAGATATTTGCTTTGTGCAAATGCGTTGTTGTTGTTGTGTGAGGTGCGTTGATGATGTTGTTGAACAAGAAGCCAAGCTTTGATTACTTTACTTGCTTGCCTGGGTTGTGCTATGTTGTGTTGTTTGTGTTTGTGTTTCTGTCTTTGAATGATTTACCTGGTTTGCCTGGATGGCTGGCAGGATAGCTGGCTGGTTGGCTGATTTAAAAGGATAATAACAAGGGCAGGCCATCCAGCCAGAAACACAGATGTAGGTGGGGGTATGAATTTGTGTTTAAGTTGTGATTGTGCCAAGAGCTCGAGGTATGGATTGCACCTTACTTCGATCACAATGATATGAATAAGTGTGTTGTGCGTAGATCTGTTGAATCACTACTTGAGTGATCCATCCAGGCATTCTTTGTTTATGTGCGTGTGAAAGTGTACACAAGTGATCGTGATTGATTGAGTGATGGAATGTATGTGATTGAGGGAAGACCAAAGAAATGTGGAGATACAATCAGGTGGTTGATGTCTTTGTTGTTATACATGTTGTATGTAATCCTTACCAATTGTTATTGTCCAAGTTACTGTCGATGGTGGTGGTGCCTTGGTTGATGGGTTGGAGGTTGGAAGTTGGAGGTTGGATGTTGGAAGTTGTAAGTTGTAAGTTGTAAGTTATATATGTTTAAGAGTGATAAGTGATGTGATGATTGAATGATTGATTACTATAACTCTTATCCTGTAGAGAAGTCTATTTATAATCTAAGTGAATGAAGAGTTGTATGTTCCTTTTATACTACTACTTGTGAGTTGTGATGATTGATGTTCGATGCCAGAATGTAAAGGTAAGGTAAGGTAGGGTAAGGTTGGGTTGGGAAGGGGCAGGGCCAGGGTAACATTGAATGAATGAGTCAATGAATAAAGGTGAAGTGGTGGTGGTATGAGGTTGTGTTAATTCATTTGATTGGAGCCTAGAAGAGTCGGAAGCGGTGTTGGTCAATCTTAATGTCCTTCCTACCTCTTGTTCTATTTTATTAAAATTGTGTGAATGACATTGTAGAGTCATACTCTCTACCAACCATCGATTCCATCAACTATAATACTGATCATGCTCCCTCTCCTGCTCCTCATCCCCTTTGGTTGTCCGCTCCTCCTCCGCTCCGATCCTCCACTCTGGCAAACAAACAAACAAACACCCATCGCCAACTTACTGCGCTGGTTTGGTTACTCTGGATTGGCTGAGTGTTGTTGTTTGTTCACCTTACCTTGAACATGTGTTCTTTGTCGTCTGCTTGCTTTGACACAACTCAATCATTTCTCTCCTTTTTGGAGGCCTAACCCCTACGCCCCAACCCCACAATGTTGGCCGTTGCGTCCGTCGAGAGTCATCTGTGGTGGGAAGCAGCAAATGTGTTGTTGACTGACCCACAACCAAGAATACCCCCAGACGAATGAAAGTGATTGACTGGTGGGTGTCATATGACTTTCGGACTTTTGATTGATTGATTGATTGTAAGAAGTGTAAGTCAGTAAGTAAGTAAGTATCCAATTTCTCAAAAGTTATATATAACTCAGCTTCCATGATGTTGGTTTGTTTGATTAGACCAAGAACTACAACCACGTATTCATTCATTCATACACTCTTCGCACATTCCCAATCAAGATCGGTTGGTTGGTTGTCGATCTCTCTCTCTCTTGGGTTGTTGTTAATCTACAAGCCGGTATCATTCATTTCTTTCATTCATTCATTCATTCATTCATTCATTCATTCATTCATTCAATAAGCCCATAAGACGATATTTATTCATTCGGTCGATACTTCACTCACTCTTTGAATAAAGTTATAAATAAGTAGTAGACTGCCCAACCCCTGTTTGACACTATCCAGGGATTGATATTTGCACTGAAGGGTAAAGGAAGAGGCCTTACCATAATCGTGTGCGTATGTGTTGGGTGATGGGACTCGTTTGCTGGTTCGGTACCTCTTGTCCCCGTTGTACTATGATGATGATGTATCAGTCGGCCAGCCTAGGGTAAGTTGTCGCCACAGTAAGCGAAGATTCGACTGTCCCGTCATCTAGAGTCAAACAAAGTTTGTCCATGGAATGACACATCACGTCAACCACTTCCCTCTTGAGGCCCCGTATTATTATAATACAAATAAGCTTAGTTATATCAATCACACAATCAATCTAATATCCAATCATTCTTCCATAGATTCAATCATTCAATCAATCAACCAATCAATCTTGAGTAAGTAGTAAATAGTAATACCTAGTATATAGTAGTACGTGGTAGACTATGAACATCAAGTTCCTTCGCCGAACAATGGAAGGTTGTGGTGTTATTGGTCGAACGACACTCTGATCTGACAACCCCGGTTATCACTACTTACGGGGGAAGATCAGATTCATCTTCCACATCGGATATCATCATAATCCAAAGTCAGTTAGTGTATTGTCATTGTGTAACAATGAGATTAACATAACCTAACGTTGGGAGGAGTGTGTAGTAAGTAACCTTGGACAACGATATCATATGGTTGAGGTCCATTCATTCATTCATTCATTCATTGTATCTATCTTTCTAATCACTACTATTATCTCTCTATCTCTTCTTGGATTCATAAGATAGTGACCAGGTCACGGCATTGGTGGGCTGGGCACCACGAGTGAATGTGTACACAATCATTATATGTTTGAGAAGCTTGTGATAATCAGATTGTAATTGGAACTACAGTTCCTAAGACGAACTAACTTATGAGTTATTGTTGGTACAACCTTGTCTCATGGTCACCCAGGTATGATTGTTTGATAAAAATACCCTTCGTGTGTGGGTCACAGCTGCACCTGATCACTTTGGTGATCGCTTCTTGGCCCAAAACTTGTGATTTTTTGATCAATTTTTTTTTGACGTCATTGACATTTATGATTTTAGATGGTACGTCACTTGTTGATTCGTTGTATCCTTCGAGCCGTTATCGATATAAAAGTATCTACCCTGCCATCTTGGTGTTACTTTCAATCATTCAATCATTCAATCATTCAATCACTCAATCAATCAATCTATACATAAATCATACAAAATACATAATATAATATATATTTGTAAACAAATATGCAAAGAAGAGTTAGTATTGGTTCAGAGAGTGATGGATCATCTTCTGATGATGATGCTCCAAAGGTAGTGGTGACAGCCAAGACTACCCGTCTTGGTTTGGCCATTGCCAAGAACAATAACAACAACAACAATTCTAAAATCAAAGAATTGTTGCAAGATTTAGAAGAGAGCGCCAACAATGATGAGATTAGTGAGAAGAGTGATGATAGTGCCAGTGACGAGGAGGGTCCAAAGCAACCAGCTGCTGGCCGTACCCAAACCAGAATCCAGGTCAACCTCAGCAAGGTCAGGCCACCACATCAACAGGCGCCAAAGAAGCCAGCTGACCCAGATACAGAGAGTGAGAGTGAGAGCGAGAGTGGTGATGTCGCTGCTCCAAACACTGCCAACAATAATGTTATTATTGATTTCAACAAGGAACCTGATCGTACTGGTGGCGGTCTATTCCGTAATCCTCACACTGATGGCGAGAATCAGAGCGATGATTGGTCCAAACTCCAAAACGAAAGAAAGGTGGCCGAAATCATGGCCGCTGCCAACTCGCAACCAGACAAAGAGCCCATGCATCAAGGAATGTTCCAATGTCAGCACACAAACGATGAAGGTCATGTCAAGCCATGGTAAGTCGTCAGTCAATCATCAATCATTCAGGAATGAATCCAGCCCTCCAGGGACCATCCCACCACTCACACACGCTCACCCAAATCAATCAAATAACAGGGAGTCAAAATACATTGACTTGTCCAAGGGTGGCATGATCATGAGGGAGTCAGCTGATGATAGGATTATTAGAAGTAATATCCATCTCTATGATATTGTATTCTTTGAACTGGCCACCGATCAGATCACCCCAGAGCATGCCTTTGTCGTCAAGTTGAGAACTCGTTACAAGACCACATGGACCATCATCCTGGACTCCAAGGCCACACTCGACTATTGGACCGAACTGATCAACACTAACAAGGGCAGGATGTCTGAGGAGGATTGGGAGAAGCCTGCGCCCGTCGCCGCACCCTACCGTCCCCCCGCCAAATCAGCCTACACTCTCAAGACCTTCTTTGCCAACCGACGTATGTTTGGTGAGATGTGGATGGTATGGCTGTTCTTTGCCTACACCGCCATGCTGGCAATCCTCATCGCGCTACTCTGGACACTCTATGTCGCGCCCCTTAAGGATATGAAGACACAGAGCACTCAATGTTATGTCAACTCTCAAGAGTAAGTAGTGTTGCCATGTGTGCATGTGTTCATCAGCTCATAGGCTAACCATCTATCCATCCACAGGGCAAAGTACTTGTACAAGCAGAACTATAACTTGGAGATGAGCGTCACTTACACATTGGTTCCAGACAACTGGACTGTCACACATGTGATGAATCAGTACTGTGGAGGCTCGCAATGTCCAAGCTACATGGTCAGCCACTATCCTTTGCACCAGTTCACCAAATGCTACTACGATATCCACGACACATCGTTCGTATACTTTGAGCTTGGTCCACTGTTGAACAGGAGATACGCCATCACCTTTGGTGTCTGGGGAGGTGTCCTCGCTCCATGGGTCATCTTCATTCTTACCATGTTGTAAGTGTTGTTTGTCCATCAATCCATTCAATCATCATTCATTCATTCATACTTACATTCATTCAATCATTCATTCGATATAGTATGGTGCGTCGCAAATGGTTCAAGAGAGTCATCAAGAACTCTTGTGGTTGTGGAGAGGCATGATCAAGGTCGCGATGATGTGACGCCAAGCGGATGGAAGGAACGGAAGTAGTAGCCGCGTCTCAAAAGAGAGATTGAATGTAACAATATATCCAATAATTACAATGTTGCCCCATATCATATCTGTATTCTTTTCAAAGTATTCTTCTGTTGCTGCTGTTGTTGCTGCTGTTGTTGCCGCATGTTTGCATCGTTCGAACGATTATTTATCCTTCAGACTATATCCCTTTCCACCAAATGCAACATAATTGCCCTTTGTTGGAGTTGTTGAAAGGTTTGCAGCTGATGGAGAGGTACTGGGGAGAGGAGACTTGGGAGATGTGCCCAGCCTTGGTGGCGTGGATGATTTGCCATCGAGTCGGTTGCCAGAGCCCGCGAATGCCTTGAACTTGTTCTTCTCCTCCTCGTCAGAGTCCTCCTCTTCTTCTTCGTCGTCATCAGTCTTCTTGGAGCCTGGGATGGCCTTTGATGTGGAGCTGCCAAATGTGAGACCAGTGGATGTTGATGTTGTGGCTGGCTTTGGTTCAGTGACCTCTTTCGAGTCCATTGCCGGTGCAAAGTCCACCGATACATCAGCCTCCACAATTGAAATTGCATGTGATTGTCCATCTGGCTTGATATCCAGCACTCTAAGTGTGTATTTGTTCTTGTTGTACTCAATGACAAAGTCCTCAGACTTGGTCATCGCAGAGAATGATCGAAGTGCGCTTTCCAGGCTGGACATTGTCGTGTCAAGTTAGTCAGTAAGTTGGTGTGATCTGGGCAGGGGATGCGCTAGACATCACTACTTACACAGCCTTTGGATTGGAGATCTCAAGGAAGGACTGGGTATGTGGCTGAATACGCAGGAAGTTACCCAATGGCAATAGAGCGCTCTTGATTTTCAAGTTGTCATTGTCGTTCAGACGAAGATTGTTCATCATCCACTTGGGCATATAGCAGACACCCTCCTCAGCAGTGAACTCCAACACACCACAATGTGATGATCGATGACTCTTTGGATTGGATATCTCAAACATCATTGGGTATTGTATGTTCAAGCGAGCTGTATCAAGTAAGTTAGTATATGTTGGTGTGTATTTCGTGTCTGTCTGTGTCTGTCTGTGTCTGAGCAGTAAGTATACTTACTAAGCTTGTTCAAAACGCTAACTGGTAGCAATACTATTGAATAGTTAGTATGTGTCAATCAATCAATGAATCATATTATACACATACTCTTTCCACCCTGCTCAAGATTGGGTCTGCCCGAGAGCGATATATTCATAACATTGAAGGTCTGTTCGAACTTGCCAGCTCCAGCGGCCATAGGAATTCCAAAGTTCTATCATTGATCACCATGATAATGTTAGAATTGAACCTGTTCATTCATTCAATCAATCAATCAATCAATCAATCAATCAATCAATCAATATACATACCATTCTTTATATAATATGTATAATATGATAAATAGAATATGTATAATAATATGTATTATTTGTATGTAGTATGTATGTCTTTGATAACAGTAATAATGATAGGAGTAAATTGAGAATGAAGTGTTGTTGGGGAGTGAAGTGATTCATCAACAACACTTTAATTGCCAGTTTGAACTTCGCAACCCAAACTTTATTCAAAGAATGTTCTAAGTCATCGATGGGAGTGTCATGCTATCACATTTGGATTGATGTCCATTCAACTGAATTCTAGAAGAGACAATATAAACTATAATGACATGAACAAGTTGATGTCAATGACTCAATCGATCAATCCAATCTTCAGTTGGACAAAGACAACCCAATCCAATCAAAAGAATCGAACCAAATCTTATCTCATTCATTCATTCACTCACCCAACATCAAACCCACCATTTATCATAAATGTCAAAGGTCACCAATGTAGTTAATGAATAAAGGAGGACATATCTCGTACATTTAAACATTATTCATACACACACTACCAAACAGATAATACTCGATATATCTATAAATATTAACCTCATCATTAAACAATGTCATCAGCTTCAACAGGCAAACTTACTTCACACTTTGAGAACGTATGTTCAGATGACGACCTTCATTCATTGATAGATTGAATGGAAGACTGACATCTACCTACCTCTAATTAGGAGATACAAAAGCAGGTCGTTCCACCACCTGGTAAGAAGGAGAGAGTTTGGACACCACATAGTGATGATCAATACCAGAGACAAACCGTTGTCAAGGCTACTGGCAAGCCCGCCGGTCCACCCCCACCCAAGAAGTCAATCTCAGACCTTCCCTAAAACCATCACTCAACCAACTACAACACAAACAGGTAGCTGTACATTAAAACGACGATCTTTCTCAACAACATCAATCTCGGACCTTTGCCATGCAATAGGGGATACAAGGCTACCCCGTATCTTTGACATTGTCCTAACCCTAGGCTGACTTGGGTTAGGGTATGTCAATAATTATCTTGGCTCCATCACATAGGAGCCGTCAGTACCATGGTTGGTTGTTATCTTTGGTTCCAAAAACACAATCAGTGTCGGCCATCGACCGATTCAATGGTCTTGATTCCATCAATAAGTCCGATCTGTGACTTCTTCTTTGTGTGTGTGTGGGGGTGTTTGTTCGTGGAGAGACAAGTGAGAGTGTCTCTGGAACACTTGAGTCCTGAATGCTTTGATTTTTAATTATTTTGATATGATTTGGGATGAATCTTGGCTGTATCCACTGACTTTGTGTATGAATGTGTGTGAAGGAAAGAAGTCTCAAGATACTTTGTCAAACTCTCAAAGTTAGGTAGTAGTTTACTCAATTCTTATTCATATCCAAATATATATATATTTATACATATATACATATATATTATATACATTTATAAATACAATAATGAAGACTATATTGTTCGCAATTGTCTTGTTGGTTACTTTGTTCTTAGCAAGCTCTGAGTCCAAATATACCAAGGGACACCTCAGCACCAGCTCCAACTGGCACTATGTCGACAAGTTCTGTTTCAGTGCTAATCGTATTGGTATGTTTGACTGACATCAGCCAGCTCCACGATCAATCAAATCAAATATATATATATCGATATCGGAGTTGTCACTAACTAGGTCACTCAATAAATCAATCATTCAAATCGATCGATCGATCAATCAATCAAACAGCAAATGGAACATTGACAATCAAGGCAACATCAAACAACCCAAACATTTCATTGATCGCTTATGATGATGTTCAGGGATCATGGTTCGCCGTGTACAAGTCACATTTGAGTTGCCAAGAGAGAGTCAACCTCGGCAATAAACTCGGCAGCGTAAACTTCAATGGCACCGCCGTCACAATTCAAGTGCTGGACGCCATGCGTCCACATTATTGGTACGTGGTCGCCGTCGATTGTTCAGGCAACTCGCTCAACATGGACTACGAGTTCACCTGGCTCAACGCCGGCAACATCTGGAAGCGCCAGTTCTCCAACGATGACCAAGGTCTCGAGCAGATGTACCTCACCTACTTCTGGTTCTTCCTCCTCCTCGCTGTCTACAGCTGTTACTCTGGTTGGGTTCTCACCACCACCAAGTCATACCACCCAGTAAGTTAGTTAGTTTGTTAGTTGTTGGTTGATGGACATGGACATGGACCTGGACCCTGGACCTTGGACTAACACAATCATTCACAAACACAACAGATTGTTAAGTTATTGACCATCTCTGTCGTGTTGGAGTTCCTGTCAGTGTTCATACTCTTGATTCACTATGGTGCCTATTCACATGATGGTGTCGGAGCCAAGGGTCTCCTTGGATTTGGTGAATGTAAGTTTGATTGATTAGGCTGATTGAACGATTGAATGGACCTGGAAATTGACTGACCAACTGACTCAATCAATCAATCCCAATATTTTAGTGCTCGACTTGGCATCACAGTTGACATTCATTATGTTGTTGATCCTTATTGCAAAGGGTTGGGCCATCTCTAGGATCACGATCGAGGAGAAGCCAATCATTCTTGGAGTGATGGGTGTGTTGTCTGCATTGTACTTGATCATGTTCATTTGGTACAAGGCTGGCCAGGACCCCGCCTCCACCGTCTACATGTACGACACAGTGCCAGGCATCCTGCTGCTGGTGGCACGCTCCCTGGCCATGGTCTGGTTCATGTGGTGCGGCTACAACACCTACATGGAGGAGAACCATCCAGCCAAGCGCAAGTTCTACGTCTACTTTGGCGTGTGCTTCTCCCTCTGGTTCCTGGCTCTGCCATTCATCTGCATCATTGCGTCGGCCGTCGACCCATGGGTCCGCCAGAAGGCTGTCCTTGCCATGTATGTCACCTTCAACTTCCTGGCTCTCGTCGGAATGTCCGTTCTCCTTTCGCCACAACGTGCCAGTGACTACTTCACCATCTCTGGACGTGTTGACACTGCTGGCTCCCTCCCATACGAGTCCATCTAAACCAATTCATCATCATCATTATCGTCCATCCCTTTTTTGAATCATCTATCCTCAGCATTGTTGTATTCAATCATTCAATCATTCAATCAACCAATCAAACATTATACATGTATACCAACTACCTACCAAACAAACAATAAAGAGAGGATAGAGATAAAAGACAACAACATTAAAGTTCATCCATGCATTCATTCATTCATTCATTCGAGACAACCAAGTCTATCTCCTTTCTTGCCGCGTAATCCTTCGGCCTCGACTCACATCGCATCACAAAGTCTGTAAGTTACTACTCTACACTGATTGTGTGTAATCAAAGTCGGATTCGTACTTTCAAGTGGATTGATTCGAAATTGATACTATCGATCTAGATCGTGTGTTGTTGATGATTCATCAACATCTAAATATATATATGTGTTTGTTGATACAGATACAAGTAAGTTGTTCTTGTTGTACTGTTATCCTTGAATTAGTTGGCAACTCAACTGACTGACTTGCCAAGTTCGAAAGATCCATCACCTCCATCATCACCCCATCTTTGCCTGACTCGTTGAAAGAAAGAATACCAAAGTGGGCAAAATGAGTCACAAGATGTGTGGGTTCCCAGATCACAGCTAAAAACTCCTCGTTTTCAATCGATGAGTCATCTCACAAGTTAACTTCTGACTTCAACCTCAACAACAAAAAGTCAACAACTGTCTGTGTTGTTTGTTGTTGTGTCTCGATCATTCATTCATTCATTCACTTGTAATACTTATTTTTGTACATACATATCAATAGAATAGATTGTTATAATATAATATTATATATATCATATATTATTATTATTATCATTCGTTCACTCTTTATAAAGAATTGGAATTTTGAACATCTTCAAATATTTAATCAATCAATCACTTCAATCAAATCAAATCAAACAAAACAAATCAATCAAATATATACATACGAAAGCGACTTTATATATATATACATACATATATATAAATGGTTAAATATCATATAGAAGGTCTTGACGATGTTAGAGTCGAAGAGAGCAGGAGAAAGAATGGAAGCAACAGTTTGCCACCAGTGGAGGTTGAATCATTCTTTGCAAAGTTGAAGGAGAACTTTGAAGACCCGCTCATTCACATCTTGTGCGTGGCATTGGTGATCACCGTGCTGCTCGCCTGCTTTGGCTACGCCGAATGGTTCGAAGGCTTTGGCATTGCCAGTGCCGTCTTCCTGGCGACATTCGTCGCCACGTACAGCGAGTACAAGAACGAAGCCTCCTTCCAGGAGCTCCAGGAGAAAGCGTCCAAGATCAAGTGCAACGTCTTCCGCAACGGCAACCACGTACAGCACATCTACGCCTACGACGTGGTCGTCGGTGACTTTGTCCTGCTGCAGGCTGGCGACAAGATCCCCGCAGACGGCAAGCTGGTCGCAGGCGAGCTGCACGTCAACCAGTCCACGCTGAACGGCGAGTCGGCCCTCGAGAAGAAGTCGATCGCGCCCCTCAACTACAGCCCTGAGAACAAGCACAGCTTCCTCGATCAGCACCTGTGTTTCCGCGGCAGCGTCGTCGAGGACGGCGAGGGTGTGATGCTGGTCGACACAGTCGGCGCACACACTGTCTATGGTGAGCTGGCTGTCGAGCTGGCTCAGGCTGACGAGCGCGAGTCCCCCCTGCAGATCAAGCTGAGCAAGCTGGCCGACAACATCTCCACGTTGGGCTACATTGGCGCCTGTTTCATCGTGCTGTCCTTCCTCTTCAAGCAGGTCGTAATGGACAACCACTACTCGCTCTCAGAGATCCAGACCTACATCGCCAACTACCCCCTGCTCATCAAGGACGTTGTCAACTCGGTCACCCTGGCCATCATTATCATCGTCGTCGCCGTTCCTGAAGGTCTGCCCATGATGATTGCCATCGTGCTCTCGCTCAACATGCGCAAGCTGCTCAAGGCCAACGTGTTGGTGCGCAAGCTGCTCGGTATTGAGACAGCCGGCTCGCTCGACATCCTCTTTGTCGACAAGACAGGCACGATCACCAAGGGACAGTTCATTGCGAGGACATTTATCAGCGGAAGTGGAACCACGTACAAGGGCTTCAACCAGATCCCTCAGGAGCTGCGCGACGTCTTCTCCTTCTCAGTTCGCGAGTCCACCTCGTCCGTCATTGACGAGGATGGTCAGATTGTCGGTGGAAATGCCTCAGACAAGGCCTTGCTCCACTTCCTCGACAGGCCATCACTCTTGAAGGACTACAACGTCAAGATCCTGAAGGAGGTGCTCTTCAACTCTGAACGCAAGTACTCTGCCGCATTGATGAGCGTACCATTCCAAGGTGGCGCCTCTGGTTCTCCACCAAGCGGTATCTTGAAGTAAGTTACATGTAGCCTCATGCATGCATCACCTGAACAAGTAATACTAAACATATCTTCTTCTCCTTCCCTTTCACTTAGGTGTTCATCCAAGCATATTGATGACTTTGAGATCACCTGCCTCAAGGGTGCCCCAGAGATCATCATCAATCACTGCACCAGCCACTTTAACGAGGACGGTCATATTGAGCCAATCCCAAGCATCAACCAGCTCGTCAATGAGATCAACAGACTGTCCGAGCAAGGCATCAGAGTCATTGCTGTGGCCGTGTCCAAGGAGCCATTGGTCGATGTTGCCAGATTGCCAAAGAACATGATCTTGGTCGGTGTCGTTGGTGTCTACGATGAGATTCGCGAGGAGTCGCGTAGCGCCATCCAACAGGCTACCGGCGCAGGCATCCAGGTTGTGATGATCACCGGAGACAAGCGCGAGACTGCCATCTCTGTGGCCCACCAGATTGGACTGATTGCTCACGGCGAGGAGTACAACCCAGGCGTTGTGCTGACCTCCCAAGAGGTTGGACAGTTGTCGTTCGAGCAGCTTAGAGAGTCGATTCCACAGCTGCGCGTCGTTGCTCGTGCCCTCCCAAGAGACAAGACTCGCTTCGTCCAGGTTGCCCAGGCGATGCACAAGGTTGTTGGAATGACTGGTGACGGTGTCAACGACTCTGCCGCCCTCAAGCACGCCGACGTTGGATTTGCGATGGGTAGTGGAAGCGAGGTCTCCAAAGAGGCTGCCGACATTGTCATTTTGGACGACAACTTTGCCTCGATCACCCAGGCCGTTCTCTATGGCCGTACCATCTACAAGTCGATCCAGAAGTTCATCGTCTTCCAGTCGACCATCAATGTTGCCTCTACCCTGATCGTCTTCCTCGGACCATTCATGGGCATCGATTTCCCACTGACACTGATACAACTGCTCTGGGTCAACCTGGTCATGGACACTCTTGCTGCTTTGGCATTCGGAGGCGAGCCAGCACTCGAGCGTTACATGAAGAACAAGCCAACAAAGAGAGATCAAGATATCATTACACCAAGGTATGTTGTGACAACCACAATGATGATAAAGAGTACAACTGACTAACTAACAAACACTCATTCAATCAAACTAGAATGTGGATGGCTATTCTCAGCGGAGGACCATTCATTTGGGCTATGTCTGTAGCTTTCTTGACCAACGACAACGTGGAGGCATACTTCACACGCAATGGAATCCCATCGGAGCCAGCATTCCTCACTGCCTTCTTTGCCTTCTTCATCTTCTTGGCCGTGATCAACGCCTTCAACGTCAGAACACACAAGCTGAACCTGTTTGAGCACATCTTGGAGAACAAGGGCTTCATCATCGTTGTGTTGTTCATCTTTGTCGTCCAGATTGTGTTCACCTACATTGGAGGCCGTGTCCTGCGTACGGTTGGACTGGAGCTCAACGAGTGGGTGGCCATCATAGCCGCGTCGCTCACCATCATCCCCTTCGATCTGGTGCGCAAGACCATCAGCCACTCTGTGCTGCACTACACTACCTCCAGCCGAGCAAAGAAGAGCGACTAGTCAATCAATCAAATCAAACTGTGAGACATATGTATGTGGGACAAGTTTTTATCCATCCTATCCCATTCCAACAACGCGAGTTGAAATAAACAAACAGACATCAAAACGAACATGATCATACCTATATATCTTGCTTAAGAGATAAAAGTAATACAACTTATTTGATTGATTGATTGATTGAATTGATAAGATTGTTGATTTATTTGTTATGGATATGGATTGGTCCTTCATATGAGGACTCGAACGAACGAACACGCTTGACTGGGCTAGGCATGGCTGGAAGCTTAATGGGTGGCACTGCCAATGATCTGGGCAATCTTCTTGGCGTTCTTCTTGTGCATGGCCTCACCCTTGGTGTCGTGCAGTCTTCTGTCTCTTTCCTTCTCCTCGAGGGACCTCAGGAGGTTATCACGTCCGCCAGAAGCTTTGATGAAGGCGGATATCTGCTTGGCGATCTTCTTGGCGTTGGACTGGCCTCTGGTGTCGGTGACTCTTCTCTTTCTCTCCTTCTCCTCAGCTTGGATCTCCTGGAGAGCAGGCACCTTGTAGAACTTCTGGGATGATGAGCGCTTCAATGGATGTGGGTTGAGGTGGATGGTCTTGAAGTTGGCCTTGAGCAAACCAGACACCTTGAGGGCATTCTTCTTGGCTTCGGCTTGTCCGGCCTTGTCCTTGATTCTTCTCTGTCTCTCTTGTTCCTCGACGGTGCCAGTGAGTCTGAGATGCGACTGATGCTGGTTGCCAACTGGTCTCTTGCCGGCCTTGCACACCATGTCCGACACCTTCTTGGCAAGCTTCTTGGCCTCCATCTGTCCTCTCTTGTCCTTCACACGTCTATCTCTCTCCTTCTCCTCCAGAGCGGCACATGGGTTGCGTCTGAGTGGGATGGCGGACTTTTTGGCATGACCCAGTGAGCCACCAGATGCTGGCTTCTTTCCACTCTTCATGACCAAGTCGGACACCTTCTTGGCATTCTTCTTGGCCTCCATCTGACCTCTCTTGTCCTTCATACGTCTGTCTCTCTCCTTCTCCTCCTGAGCAACAGCCTGGCTGGCCTTAAAGTTGGGCTTGAAGGTGGACTGCATGGGCTTGGTCTGCAGAGCGGCGATTGGCTTGATGCCACTCATGATGAGGATGTCCGAGACCATACCAGCGTTCTTCTTGGCCTCAGTCTGACCGCGCTTGTCTCTGATTCTTCTGTTCTTCTCATTATCAGCGAGCAGGGTGGCCTGGCTTGGCTTCTTGAGCAGTCTCTCGAACCTCTTGGCTGGGGTGAAGGCTGGTGTCTGCTTGATTCCAGACTTAAGGATGAGACCACTGACCAACTTGGCGTTCTTCTTGGCATCCATCTGACCCTTCTTGTCCTTCAATCTCCTGTTCCTCTCGGTCTCCTCAAGCTGAGCCAAGTGCTGCTTGTTGTTGCCATGACCGTGATGGTTCCTGTGTCCATGGCCGTGGCTGTGGTTCTTGTGTGAGTGCGACTTGGGCTGATGGACCTTGGCGGGCTGGACACCACTCTTGACGATCAAGTCCGAGACCTTCTTGGCGTTCTTCTTGGCCTGGAGCTGTCCGGCCTTGTCCTTCACACGTCTGTCTCTCTCCTTGTCCTCAAGGGCGGCAATTGGACTGGCCTTGGTGGACTTGATTGGCTTGGCGGAAGAGGAGGACTTGTGTGGGTGGACCTTCATCTGGCTGAACTTGGATGGCTGCTTGGCTGCTGGCACTGGGTGAAGCTTGACACCACCCTTCTTGATCATGTCCGAGACCTTCTTGGCATTCTTCTTGGCATCCATCTGACCAGCCTTGTCCTTGACACGTCTGTCTCTCTCCTTATCCTCAAGAGCAGCGGTTGGGCTGACCTTGCTGATTGGCTTGGCAGAGGACGAGGACTTGTGTGGGTGGACCTTCATCTGACTGAACTTGGATGGTTGCTTGGTTCTTGGCACAGGGTTAAGCTTGACACCACCCTTCTTGATCATGTCCGAGACCTTCTTGGCATTCTTCTTGGCCTGGAGCTGTCCAACCTTGTCCTTCACACGTCTTTCTCTCTCCTTGTCCTCGAGGGCGGCAGTTGGGCTGGCCTTGATTGGCTTGATTGACATCATGCGTGGGTGGACCTTGAGTTGGCTGAACTTGGATGGTTGCTTAGTCTGGTGCACTGGAGATTGTGGCACACCACCCTTCTTGATCATGTCCGAGACCTTCTTGGCGTTCTTCTTGGCAGCTAGCTGACCAGCCTTGTCCTTGACACGTCTGTCTCTCTCCTTGTCCTCAAGAGCAGCGGTTGGGCTTGCCTTGGTAGGCTTGATGGACATCTTGTGTGGGTGGACCTTGAGCTGGCTGAACTTGGATGGCTGCTTGGCCTGGTGCACTGGAGACTGTGGCACGCCACCCTTCTTGATCATCTCTGAAACCTTCTTGGCATTCTTCTTGGCGTCCATCTGTCCCTTCTTGTCCTTAAGTCTTCTGTCTCTCTCCTTCTCCTCGGCAGCACTCTTGATGGCCGCTGTTGGCTTGCGTCCACTCTTGAGCACAAGACCAGACACCTTCTTGGCGAGGTTCTTGGCGTCCATCTGTCCCTTCTTGTCGCTCATTCTTCTCTTTCTCTCGTTCTCCTCGAGGTTGGCAGTGGCCTTGAACGATGGGTTGTTGGCACGCTCGACGCCGCCATTGCCAATCTTGATCTTGAAACTGTTCTTGTTCTGACTCTTGACAGGGACGGAGCCAGATGTGCCCTTGGTCTCTGGGAGCTTGGTCTTCTTGAGACCCTTGACACCCTTGGATGCCAAGACCATGACAGAGACACGCTTGGCGGTGTTCATGGCCTGCATCTGCTTCTTCTTGTCACCAGTACGATCCTTGCGCTCCTTCTCCTCGAGGTCCTGGGTGAGCTTGCGTGACACACACTTGTTGAGACCGGATGGCTTGATGCCAGCCTTCTTGACGAGGGCCGACACCTTCTTGGCAAGCTGCTTGCGCTGCTGCTCACCCTTGGTGTCCTTGATACGACGCTCACGCTCTTGACGCTCGGCCTTAGTGGAGAGCTTGCGGCTCTCATCTGATGCGGCCTCCATCTCCTCCTCAATCTCATTGAGACGTCTGGCCCTCTCCTGCTCCTCCTCAATGACGGTACCCATACGGCCAAACAATGCCTTGGACTTGGACAGCATTGGGTCGTTCTCCTCCATTCTTCTCTTTCTCTCACGCTCCTCAGCCTCAATGACTGTGCGTCGGCTGACATGCTCCTCGCGGCCGAGCAGTGAATAGTGTTGGGTGGTCTTGCCTCCCTTCTTTGGAATGGTAAGGGTCAAGACACCACCATGGAACTTTGCTTGGATTGATGAACCATCAATACCTTGAGTGATTGTGAAACAAATAATGAGTTAGTGAATGAGTTTGCATTTTAGTTTGTTGAATGAACATACCTTCTGGAAGTGCAACAGCACGATGGAATTCGCCACCAGAGTATCTCTCGCGACGATGGAATTTGGTCTGTGACTCACGGTGCACAGGTGTCTCTGGACGGTTGCCCTTGATGGACAGGAAACGTCCGTTGACCTGGACGTCCAAATCGTCCTTCTGGAAGCCTGGCAACTCAAGGATGATCTGATAGGTCTTATTGTTCTCGCAGACGTCCATTCTAGGCTTCCAACCCCAGTCCGTTGTGGTACTGGGTTGTTGAGCAGAGTTGGTCCAATTCTTGAGCGACTCGCCCAAGTTGGCCAGCTCCTCAAGTGGATGTGCTAACCAGTTACTCATCTTTGTAATTATTAATTAATTAATTATTAATGGAGATAGGATAAATAATAATTATTATTAATTTGATTACTGATTGATTGATTGATTGATTGTTGGATAATTGACAACAACAATATTATGATGAAGTTGTGTATATATTATGGAATGATTATTAACTCTATGTTACGAGTATGTGTGTGTTTGTGGATAAAGGGTAGTTTACGAATGAGTATGAGCTCACTTTCCCCTTTGGTTAATGGTAATAGGTGGTCTTGGGGAATACAGGTGGTGGTAGTGGATATCTATTAATATCTTTGACTATATATGTATACAAACAACAAACAACAATTAGAGGCGATGGATGGATATATTGGGTGAAGTGAAAGGATGAAGGATGAATGGTTTGGTTTGGTTGTCCAAATGCAAATGAATGACAAGTGTTGTCCGACTCTTGTAGAACATAAATGTTCATTGCCATCCATCCATCCGTCCATCCTTTCCACTCACTACAGTTCAGTCGCAAACACCTGATATTGCAGACTACGTCATCCAACACCTGCTCTACCACTCATTCTCCTTGTCAATCTCACTTGAATCACACACACACCAACACACAAAGACAAGTTCACAACAATCTCTTCATAGTGTGTGTATGGGGGAAATCTCCAGAGAGCTCTGGCGATGTCCCCGCATACATACATTCATACATACACCCATTCATTTCATACCACCACATTGTGAACACACAACACACATGACAATCGATTGACACACAAAGAGAGAGTATTGTCCAGATGTCATAATGCCAATGAATGAATGAAATGCTTAATTCCATAATTGGTAGTGAGAGAGAATGCAAGAGATAGAGAGAATGAATGCTGCTTATTTACTGAATTGGAAGTGTGTAGAAATAGTGGTGGTCGTGATGATTGGTCATTGTCCAGAGGACAACATCTGTTGTTGTTGTAGTTGTTGTTCTGACTTATTATTTGAACGTGTTGATGATTCAATTCCGATCAACAACCCTGCCTTACCTTGATATTGGTATACCAATATCATGTTGATGATGATGTTATAATACTCACAACAACAACAACAACAACAACACAGTGATAATCAATAATTCATGTGACTGAACCTAAGTTGATAACTTGTTGATAATGAATGAGTAAGGTAGGAGTGACTAGTGAGTGAGTGTACAGATGATGATGATGTATGTGTTTGTCAACTAACAACAACAACAACTACAACATCAATAACAAAAGTGATAAAGCTGAAGTTGAAGTGCATTGATGTGATACAAATCACATATCATAGAAATGTGTAAGTGTATTAGAGTTGATGATGGTCGTTGGGTTGTCGATGGAGTTGTTTGATTGTCAATATCTATCTATGTTCGCTTTATCAAGGTGCTTGATCCTCGAACAATGGAATGGGTTCACAAGAATGGGAAATATATTTGTGAAGTTTATTATTTCATTTGAATGATTCAGTGACAGTAACTACAGATAGATAGACAGATAGAATGGAGAATGATAATAGTACAACTGCAGAGGCAGTTGGAGGAGTAGAGGCCATTGTTTTTGATGATGATATTTCATGTAATGTTCACAACAAGAGGAAGAAGATAATATGTATGAACTGCCAGTTGTTGTTGTGTACTCTGTGCATCGATGCACATCATGGTCACAAGATGAGTCATATCGATAATATAAGAGATCAGTTGGAGAGGAAGGACTATCAATCACTCTGGTGCACTCCAAGGTTGGAACATCTGTGGCGAACACTCAAACATTCTGCCACCAGTTATCAAAGGTTGGAGAAGGAACACAAGGATGTCAGCACTCATTTCGAAGAGCTATTCAAGTTGTTGATGGCTCAGGAGCACAAGGTCAAGTCACCAATCAATGCACAGATGTCGACCATTCAACAATTGATCAACGACATCACCGATGAGATCATGTTTGTATATTCAACGCGCAACATGACTCCGTACACCAACGATCATCTGAACAAGAATGATGAATGTAAAATCGAACAACTCTCAACTTTGATCGAGTCGATATCTAAATGTGACTCTATTGAGCAGTTTGTGGACATCAACAACAACAACAAGACATCGGTTGCTAGAGACGACTGGGATGGTGACAATGACGAATCTTTGCCCCCCCACGAAACTCAATGACAATGAGCTGTTGTTGCTGATCAAGAACCACGTCAAACGTATTAATCAAAAGCCATATTCCAAGGGTCCTCTGTTTGAGACCTATCGTGTCGATGTTGATGTTGGGCTGCTCAATGACATCAAGATGCAGATCGAGTCATGCTTTGACCTCGGCTATAAGAGGGTCAATTACTTTGTCTCAATGCGTCCCAACATCTTCCAATATTTCCACCTTCAAGAGGCCACTTGGAGAGGGATCAAGGATCCATTCCAAAAAAATATGACCTATGTCAACCCAACCTTCGTCTATGCCCGTGGTAGTATCTATTTGTTTGGACTTGGGGAAGGAAAGACAGTGTGCGCCAGATACTCCTTCGGAGACAAGAAGAGCTACTACTACGAAATTCATGACATCGCTGGAGACTCATATGTTTCCGCTTGCTTCGATGGCAGCCGCAACATCTACCTTCTTGGAGGATCCATTGACCATAAGCTATTTAACCGAGTGGATTGCTTCGATATAACCACCAAGAAGACGAGACTGGTTACAAACCTGGTCAACATCAGGAACTATCCACCTCCACACACATACTATCACAACAACTTGGTCTACATTGTTGGTGCAAAAACAAACTTTACAATGGCTCGGTCACTGGTATCATTCGATGTCGTTAATCATGTGACCACCGTGGAGCACATTCTACCAGAGATCACCGGAAGGATAATGAGTTGTTTCGATGGCCAAGACCGGATCTTCTTCAAGGAAAAAGAGACAATCATCACCTATTCATTGGCCAACAAGGATGCGGGGAAATATGCATCAAAGTGTCCCGTCGATGGACATCTTGTGTACGATCCTGCCACAGATGGTATCCTTATCCTTGGTGGCATGTCCAAGAACTTCAGACATTCAATCAAAGACGACATTTGGACACAGATCGTTGACAATGACAAAACAGTTGACCGACTAAAGAATAGTGGATGTTTGGTTCGTGGCTAGTCCTTGTTTGGTTGCCGCAAAGGTACAATATCGACCGGTCGACATGTATAATGATAATCAATGATGGCCACGAATACCTGTAATAAATATATACTTGAACGAATGATGACCAAATCGGGCATTATTTGTTTGGAACCCCCAAATCGATTTACAACATTGTTTGTTCATTCACACCATTCATTGTTCATTCATTCATTCATTCATTACATATATGAGATAATAAAGAGAGAAAGATAGAGAGAGAGAATGAATAATATTAATTATGTAACAATTGTTGAAGATGACACTAATGCACATGCCTACTGTGATGACAGTTTAAACTGTCAGATACATCACAAGAGGAAGAAGTTAATATGTTTAGACTGCCAGTTGTTGATGTGTACACTGTGTATCGATGCACATCACAGTCACAAGATGAGTCATATCGACAATATAAGGGATCAGTTGGATAGGAAGGACTATCAATCACTCTGGTTCACACCAAGGCTGGAGCATCTGTGGCGAACACTCAAACAATGTGCAATCAGCTATCAATCATTGGAGAGGGAGCACAAGGATGTCAGTAATCATTTCGAACAGCTATTCAAGTTGTTGATGGCTCAGGAGCATAAGCTCAAGACACCGATCAATTCACAGATGTCACACATTCAATCGACAATCAATGAGATCACCGATGAGATCATGTTTGTAAATGCAACACGCAACATGACCGCATACACCGCCAATGACGAGATTAATGGGAGCAAAGAACATCTATCAGCGCTCATCTCATCGATATCCTCGTGTCACTCAATCGAACAGTTTATCTACAACCAATCAGCAACGATCTCCAATGACAACATTGTTGTCTATGACAATTTCAATGGCAATGACTCTTACCGCACGAAGCTCAATGACAATGAACTGTTGTTGCTGATCACGAGGCACGTCAAACACATCAGTCAATCGCAGTATCACAAGGAGTCTCTGTTTGAAACATGTCGTGTCGATATTGATGTTGCCCTGTTCATGGACATCAAGATGCAGATCGAGTCATGCTTTGTCCTGCTTGACAGCGACACACAGAGGAAGAACAATCACTTTGTTTGTCTAAAGAGCTCTCAAGTCTGTCATTACAACCTCGGTGCGCCGAATTGGAAGACGATCAGAGAAACATTCCCAAGACCAATCGAGGCATCCCCCACAACTTTGGTCTATTCTCGTGGCAGTATCTATTCGTTTGGATTGGTGGACGGACAGACAGTGTGCGCAAGGTACTCCTTCTGTGACAGGAGGGCATTCTACTACGACATCAAGGCTTTCGCTGGAGAAAAATACGTCTCTGCCTGCTACGATGGCAGTCGCAACATCTACCTACTTGGAGGCGCAACTGAACAGAGGAAATTTAACCGAGTGGATTGCTTCGATATCACCACAAAGAGGATAAAGTTGGTTGGATATATGGACAGCGTCAAGAACAACCCACCTCCACTGACATACTTCCGTAACAACTTGATCTACGTTGTTGGAGCGCTGAGTAATTCGATGGCTCGGACAATGGCTACTTTCGACGTTGAGAATCTTATCACGACAATTGAAATCAGTCTACCAGGCAGTATCACTGGTGCGATAATGAGTTGTTTCGATGGCCTCGACCGGATCTTCTACAAGGACCGCGACTCTATCAAAACCTATTCGATGAGCAACAAGGGCACAACTAGATATGCATCAAAGTGTCCTGTCGATGGAAATCTGGTGTATGATCCTACAACAGATGGTATCCTTGTCATTGGTGGCAAGTCCAAGAACTTCCGACATTCAATCAAAGATGACACTTGGACACAAATCAATGACAATGATCTATCAACAAATCGCTTAAGATATGGTGGATGTTTGATTCGTGTCTGATTGGAAACGACTCCAATCATCAATAAACAAAACTTTCCAGACTTTGTGAATGTCTGACTGATGATCAGATGTCAACCCCCTTCCTTCATCACAACTCCATCAATCACCTGATCAATCATTCAAATATGGAATCATTATCTCATTTAATACTACAACATATATTTAGAGAACTTGGTGACAATGTAGATGTCATATGCTTTGCTTTGACATGCAAGACTTTATACTCTAATCGATCAAAGTTAATGACTGTCAACTTGGCACCATCACTCAAGGGTACAGTGATCCCCATCTTGAAAGCAGCTCAGTCTATTGCAACAACAAACAGTCTATCAGATATCATCGCAATGAGCAACAACAACAACAATAACAATATGATCAGTCAATCAATAACATTCTCTAATGACTTTAATGAACAGATACCGATTGGACTGATCCCAACATCGGTCACTGTGATCAACTTTGGCAATTCCTTCAACCAGACCTTGCCCCAAGGCTCCCTTCCTCCAGGACTCACTGATGTCTCCTTTGGATACCATTTCAACCAACCATTAGACATTGGCTCATTGCCTTCAACCCTCATATCATGTCATTTTGGATCATCAGAGTATGATCAAGAGATCACTACAGACTGGCTACCTCAATCACTTCAAACACTCGGCTTTGGAGACAACTTTAATCAACCTCTCTCTGCACCATCCTCTTCCTCTTCTTCATCTCTTGTCTTGCCGCCTTCTCTTACTGTGCTCTCGCTTGGAGAGAACTTCAACCAACCACTTTCCAAGGACGCCCTACCTGTGACCATCAATTACTTGAGGTTCGGAAGAAAGTTCAATCATCCGCTATCTCCTGGTGTCATCCCTCATGGACTGAACTGGTTGATAATGGGCTCACAGTTCAATCATATCATCAAACCCGGGGATCTTCCAAGCTCTATCACAGTCTTCTCTCTCGGAAACTCATACAATCAGTTGTTTGAAGCAGGTGCACTTCCATCAAGTCTCCTCAGGTTGAGGATAATGGGACTCTACGACAAACAATTCATCCCTGGATGTTCACTCCCAAACTCGCTACAAGAGCTTACTGTTGGCCCAGCCTTTAATCAAGCCTTCATTCCAGGTTCTCTTCCATACTCATTTCAAACATTGAGGCTCTACGGAAACTACAATCATCCCTTTCCTCATGGAACATTGCCAGCATCTCTTACTGATCTTGTTCTGTCTGCTGTCAATCATCCAATCATCCCTGGACAGCTACCCGACAAACTTTTGTCGATATTCTTTGGACCATCCTTCGACCAACCCCTGGCACCAGGTTGCCTACCCTCATCAGTAACCAAAGTGAAGATGTCTCAATCATTCAACCAACCAATCGTCAAAGGTGTCTTGCCTCATTCGATCACTTGTCTAGACTTTGGATACATGTTCAACAAACCTCTGGATCCTGGTGTGTTACCTTCTGGCCTCTCTGAATTAAGTTTTGGACATTGGTTCGACATCAAGTTTGTTCATGGATCACTACCCACGACCCTTACCAGTATGACCTTTGGTGCATCTTTCAATCAACAATTGGATGAAGGTGTCCTACCCGACTCAATAACCATTCTCAACTTTGGAAAGAAGTACAATCAACCTTTCAAACCTGGAATGCTACCACGATCACTCTCCACTCTATCATTCTGTCAAGCATATGATCAACAATTATTGCCAGGCTCCATACCCCAATCACTAAGTGATCTTACCATCAATGCACAGAGTATTGGTGAACCATGTAAACTGCAGCCATTCCTAACTGAATGTCTCATGCGCCTAAGACTACACATCCCATCAGAGTATACTACATCACAGGTGGGATCTGCATCAATGCCATTCCTCCCCTACCATCCCAACATCCATACCTACACACTGCTCCAAGGTAGCATAGACATACACATCAGGATCTTGGACCAGCTTCACTCCCTAGTGCTGGACGAAATCCTACAAGGATACATTTGCAAGACATCAAGTATATTCAACACAAAAGAATACCCAATGTAATAAGTAATAAACAAGACTAATTGATTGATTGTTTGAGTGTATATATGAAAGGAGGAAAGGGATTATTATTATTTGTTAGGTAATAATAGACGAATGGAATAGAGTGTCGGGGTCTTGACACAGTTGATGTCGATATTGTTGTGTATGGCTTGGCTGTGGATTGATGTGTGTGCTCGTGGATGATGGTGATGATGGATGTGTAGTGGTGCATGTGATGTGATCGTGTTGTTGTAACTATCTTATAATTCTGTTTGAAGGGGCTTGGCTGCTGGCTGGTAGGTGTCTCTCACTGCCCAGCCTCAGCCAATCAAACATTTGCAATGTAGGAGGACGGCCGGCTCGTCTGATTATTTGAAGATGGCCTCGTCAGCCCACTGGGCAACCTCCTTGGTGGTGTCCTGCGTCAGTCCATAGTCCAGCAGCTGTCTGACCATTGGTGTGCGCAGTCCCATCTTGATCTGCTCGCCGAGGATGGTAGCCAGATCGCCCAGCATACCGATGGCGCCGTTCAACACCTCGAGTGAACCGTACTCGCGCTCGTTGTACACCAACTGGATAAAGTTAAACACGGGGCTGATGTACTGGGCAAACTGGTCGCCCATGTTGCCAGACTTGAGACCGTGGATGATACCACTGTATGCCTGGAAGATGGCGTCTCTGAGCGAGTTCAGATAGTCCTTGTCCTCGAGGTCCTGGACCTGTGCGGCCGACTCGAGGATTGGTGTGATGACGGGCAGGAACTGGTAGATGTCGGAGCCGATGGCGAGGGCAATATCTCCAATGCAGGAGAAGGCGTTGGGCTTGGCGTCCGATGACACACGGGTGTCGGTCAGATCCTGGATGATCAGGGGGATGATGGCGGGTGCGTATGGAACGAATTCCTTGCCGAGGGAACGGGCAATATCCGAGACGATACCGATGGAGATGTTGGTGACGGCACCCATCTCGACGTTTCTGAGGTTGACGGTGAGGATGGGCATGAAGCTGTCCATGAATGGCTTGAAGTCGCCCTCAATCGCTTGGATGATCGAGCCGATGGCCATGAGGGCCTCTTCGTAGATGATGTGGTTTTGGGTCTTGAATACATTAAACAATAAATAGAGAGCCCTCTCGGTGTCGGGTCTGATCTTCTCCTTTACAGTCGAGGCGATTGTGTGTACAGTGCTACATAACAAAGATTGGATCTGATTCTTGTTCTCAACATCGTCCTTGTTCAACACCTTGAATGAATTAATGAATGTGAGTGATGTTAGTACTCTGATTGATTGATTGATTGGGGTTGTGACTTGATTATACATACCTCCATTCCAAATGACTTCTCAAAGTCGTTGAGGATGAACTTCAAGACCTCAAGGATCAGGTTGTCCTCAGCCATGGAGAAGGAGATCAGCGAGTTCAAGGCCTCGTAGGCATTGACACGAAGGGACTCCTCGTCGGCATCCTTACGAAGTGCGGCCAAGTACAGGTTCTGTGCGAGCACTGGGAAGATCTGACCCAGTGTGGAGACTGAGCCCACTGGTCCGTACTCAAAGGCTTGGCAGACGTTGTGAATACCCCAGCATGCCTTGGCGGCAACCTTTGCCTGTGGGTCCTTGGTGGCCTCGAGCAAGCTGCCAAGGATTGGCTGCAGCAGGTCGCTGACAGACTCGATCTGGTGGTCACAGATGCGGCCCAGGGTCCAGCAAGCAGTGTCCTTGACCATCTCGTTCTGGTCTTTCAGGTGCTGCAGGATGACGGGGACGACCTCCTGGAGGAAGGTGTGGAAGTCGGTTGGTCCCTCAAGGACGGAGCCAAGGGCGACCAACGAGGCCTCACGGAAGCGCCACTCGGTGGAGAGCACGTGTTGCTTGACGTATGGGATCACGAATGGGAGGACCTGGTCGCCGACATTGTGGGCAATGTAGGTGAGACATGTGGATCCGGCCATGCACACGTTCCAAGTGTCGGTGTTGTGCTCGTCCTGTCTGGTCAAAGTGTTCAAGATCTTTGGCACAAAGATCTGCAAGGCCTTCATCATAACATCCTTTGATCTGTCCTCATCCTGTAGGTTGATCTCCTCCTCAGACAACGAAGTCCAAAACTCGATGGCCTGTAGCACCACTCCCTCATCTGGGTCACTCTCAATTGCCTTGGTCGTCAACTATATTCATTCAATCATTCGTTTGTTTGTTAGTCATGCTTGATACTTGTCAATCTAGAAGATGATGATACATACCTCAAAGATATCACCCATGTACTCCATGATGTAGTCGTAGTAGAGTGTGACGATCTTGACGAGGTTCTCGTAACCAGACTTCCTGACGTTGGCATTCTCTGTGATCATACAGGTCTCAAAGATGACACGCATGATGTGGTCTCTCTCTGGCTTCTTGTCAAAGTTGTTACGGACAAACTCTAACGCGTTGCACATGGCATTGGAGGCGGCCAACTTGACATCAGGGTTTGGATCTCTCATGCCGTGAACGATCAACGTCAATATTCTATCTGAGAATGCTGCCATCACGCTTGGTTTCTATATTTGGACGGGATGTCCATGTTAGTATGATTGATTGATTGATTGATTAGGAGTGAGTTGATCAACTTACAATCTCAACGCAAATGTAACCGATTGTCTGCAAGGTGGTCTGTTTGAGCTGCTCATTGGTCTGCTGGATGTTCTCCAGGAGCATTGGAATGAGGGTACCCCACTGGCCTTGGGGCAGCTCGACGAGGGCGATCTTAGAGACGACTTGGGCAGCGGTGTGACGAGCCTCAAAGTTTGGAGATGGCAATGTGTTCAACAACTAGTTTGTTCAATTAATGAGTTAGTTTGCTTGTTTCAATCATTCAATCAATCGACTGATCCTTACATTGTTCTTGATCTCATTCTTTGCGTTTTCTGGAAGGGCCAACCATTGCTTAGCGTACAAGTCATTGGTAGTTGGGTTCTGGACGATTGATTTTATTGATTGATATATCGTTAGTAAACACGTGTCTTGTCTGACATGCCAGTGTTGCTGATTGATTGATACATACATTTGAACAAATGGAATTCTTCATAAGGATACCAGCCATTTGACGAACTTTTGAAGATCTATCATTGTTTCGCAGCTCCAAAGATAGAGCATTCAAGAAGCCAGGCTGTTATGAGATTGTATTGGATTAGATTAGATATGTTAGTAATCACAAGCACAACGATTGAATGAATGAGTGAATGATTGAATGACACCTACGAAGTCCTGCTGTGAGGCGGCAAGAATCTGCTGCTCTGCAGGCTGACGAATGTTTATGTCTGTTTGTGTTCGTGTTTGTTAAGTTTGTTTGTTCGTTTGTTTGTGAGATGATGATGAAGTTAAGTTGAATGTAAGTTATGTTATGTAAGTCATTTGTGTTGATTGTAAGTTATGCTTGTCATTGATGTTGCTCATTCATTCAATCAATCAATCAATCAACCAACATTGAATCATTGAATCATTGAATCAATCACTTACCTCCTTCATTTGCGTTTGTCAACAAGGTATTTAAGTCCATCTTCTTGAAGTTGAGTATATTGTTTAATGTTATAATGTATTAGAAATGTACAGAGTGCAGGCTATAGTTTGCTATATATCTCTATTCTCCTTCCTAACTCTTTTTATATATATATATATGTTTATAAATATATATATATGTGTGTGTGTGTATGTATACGTGTGTGTGTATAAGTGTGTATGTGTGTAAGAGTATAAGTAGTAGTAGTAAGTAAAGTAAAGTGTATTATCAACCTTTGGACAGAGGTGAAGTGTTGTTGTTTGTGAATGAGATGCTGGCACTTGCGTGTTGTTGTTGGATGAAGTGAAGTCTCTCGTGTGTTTGTTGATTATTGTTGTTGAGGTGAAAAGGGAGGGAAGCACTCATCTACTCTATCACAAATTGTCAAAAATTTGATAAATAAAAATTGAATTTCAATTCATTTAAAAGTTTTGTTTTGAGCGCCCAAACTGTTATTTATTTGAACTTCATTCAATTATACTATGAATATTTATTTATTCAATTCTTTGGGTTGTTGATGAGTTTGATTTTTAGTTTGAGTTTGAATGAAATATGGGGTGTGTAAGAAAATCTATGATGATCAAATATCTTGATATATATCTTAAACCAAACGACCGATCAGATCTAAATTTGGATAAAACATGGAATCTTCTTTCGCTTTCATTTGTTTGATGTTTGATGGTTAAGACAAATTATTCATTCATCAACAAACGAATAATAATAATAATAATAAGAATAATGGAAATATTTAGTGATCTTATAATTATAAATATATATAATCAGTTGAAGGAGGATAATGATGAGTATCTTGATTTACAAAGTCTGAGATTGACTTGTAAACGTTTATATACTTTATATAACAAGATAATTAAATATACATGGTATTATACCTGGGGTCATAATGATAAAATATTACGATCAAACTCATTGCCAAAGAATGTTATGATCACTCATCTAACATTAGGATTCGGTTATCTACATCCGATCAAACGAAACACTCTACCACGTTCAATCAAATCATTGACATGTGGTCCAATGTACGACGTGGCGATCGAGCCCAATGCGCTACCTAAATCAATCACTCGACTAAAGCTTGGTTCGCTGTTCAAGAAGTCGCTGCTGCCTGGCGCGCTGCCCGAGTCACTCAAACATCTTGACATGGGAGGCTACAACCTGTCGTTGGAGCCTGGAATCATCCCATCTCAACTCGTATCACTCAGATTACGCAAGTTCCACGAGAGGCTTGTACACGACGCGCTGCCCCCGACGCTCACGGAGCTCTTGATCGATGCTCACTTCAATCAATCGTTGGATGCAGTGTCGACGCTGCCCGCACTCACGCGACTTGAGCTGCCGCTCACGTACGACCATGAGATCGCGCCGGGACACCTCTCGCCGTCACTCACCTGGCTGCGACTGGGCAAGGGACACACAAAGGCGCCGATCATCCCCTCGTCACTCAAGTCGCTCGAGCTCAACTGCACATACTTCAACTTCATAGCGACCATGGCGCAATGTCCATCACTCACACGATTTGTAGTCAACAAGCACTTTAACGACCCGCTCAAAGTCGGCTCGTTGCCAAACACGCTCACCGAGCTCGACTTGAGGTCGATGTTTGGTCGGCCCATCGAGCCGGGTGTGCTCCCCGCCGGCCTGACGCGTCTGGCCATGAGCGACTACTACAACCAACCCATCCCGCCAGGCGTGTTGCCTGAGGGACTCACGGATTTGTCGCTGGGCGACGAGTTTGATCAACCACTCGTAGAGGGCGGCCTGCCCGCTAGCCTCACCAGGCTCTGCCTGAGCGAGAACTTCAACCAGGACATCAACTCGGCTGTCTTCCCCAAGAGCATCACGCACCTGGGCGTCAAACACATGGTGCAGACATTGTACGCGGAACAGTTTGCCGCCAGACCTGTCAACGTGCACTGCGAAAAGAACATTGGCGAGATGTTCAGGGGCTACTCCAACGTGCCATTCAATCAATTGTCATTTGGCGGCGTGTACAACTTTGGCCTGTCAGCCATCGTCGCCTCTGATCAATTGGCGCAATGCTATGCACGTACCAAACTATTGCTGAGGGCATATCCCAATGCATCATCATACCGATTCGCACTTCAATGGTCCACCACCTACGAGCACTTTGAATGCCTGTTCAAAGTACGATCACTTGGCAACAGCAAGGCCATGCTCCACATTCCAGACTGGCCCAAAGGTGGCTCAATCACAACCATCATCTCAACATCTGATGAGGACAATGAATAACTAGATTGATTGAATGATTGATTGAGGCCTTTTGATGGTCCATGAACCTTGTGATAGTTCCAAAATGGATGGCCCAACGCCAAAAGTAAACGCCCACGATGCCATTCCATCATCGAAAAACATGTCGTTTTTTCAATTTTGGGATATTTGCTGGTTTTTGAACGTTTAGAGGTCCCCTGATCGGGTCCTTATTGTTTAGTGTGACATCACATCATTCATGATTGATCATTCATTCTTACATTCATTGTTATATCTCAACACACACACACATATATATATATATATAATCAATCAATCAATCAACAATGTTATCTAGGTTGTCAAGAAACATGTTGACCAAGGTCAACGTTGCCAGGTCATACTCAACATTCGCTGTAAGGGTCCAAAGGGTCTAGAGTGATCCAAAGGGTCCAAGGCCCAAGGGATCATCCCATCCCACAACACACACTAACAATCAAACGTATACATAGGGTAACACACCAATTCAAACAGCTGATCCAGAGATATTCGACTTGATTAGAAAGGAGAAGGACCGTCAGTTCAATGGTTTGGAGTTGATTGCTTCAGAGAACTTTACTTCACGCGCTGTGATGGACGCGTTAGGAAGCTGTTTCACAAACAAGTATGCAGAGGGCTTGCCAGGCGCAAGATACTACGGTGGTAACGAAGTGGTCGACGTGCTGGAGAACACAACAATCAAGCGTGCACTCGAGACCTTTGGTCTGGACCCCGCCGAATGGGGCGTCAACGTGCAGCCCTACTCTGGCTCGACGGCCAACTTTGCCGCCTACACCGGTTTGCTCAAGCCACACGATCGCATCATGGGTCTTGACCTGCCGTCTGGAGGCCATCTGACACACGGCTACCAGACCGACAAAAAGAAGATCAGCGCCACCTCGATCTTCTTTGAGTCGATGCCCTACCAGGTCAACGAGACTGGCTACATCGACTACGATCGCATGGAGTACACAGCCGGACTGTTCCGTCCCAAGCTGATCATCGCAGGCGCCAGCGCCTACCCACGCGAGTGGGACTACGAGAGAATGCGCAAGATCGCCGACAAGCACGGCGCCTTCCTCCTGTGTGACATGTCGCACATCAGTGGCCTGGTCGCAGGCAAGCAAGCCATCTCACCATTCCAGTACTGCGACGTCGTTACCACCACCACTCACAAGACCCTGCGCGGCCCACGTGCTGGCCTAATCTTCTTCCGCAAGAGCAAGAAGAAGGACGCCAAGGGCAACCTCATCGACGACGACCTGGAGAACCGCATCAACTTTGCCGTGTTCCCCTCGTGCCAGGGTGGCCCACACGAGAACACCATCGCCGGCATTGCCGTGGCGCTCAAGGAGGCTGCCACACCAGACTTCCACGAGTACATCAAGCAGGTCAGAAAGAACTCTGCGGCCATGGGCGAGGCGCTCAAGTCGCGCGGCTACTCACTGGTCACTGGCGGCACTGACAACCATCTCGTGCTCTGGGACCTGCGTCCACAGGGCATCACAGGCAGCAAGATTGAGAAGGCTTGCGACGAAGCACACATCACCGTCAACAAGAACGCAGTGTATGGCGACACCAATGCCATTGCACCAGGTGGCGTGCGTCTGGGCGCACCAGCACTGACCTCGCGCGGTCTCAAGGAGCAGGACTTTATCCAGATTGTCGACTTCCTCGATCGTGTCGTTCAGATTTCAATCGCCATCCAGGCCAAGGTTGGCAAGAAGATGCCAGACTTCCAAAAGGCCATCCAGGACAACAGTGAGCTGAAGGCACTTCGTCAAGAGGTTGCCGCATTCTCCAAGCAGTTCAACATGCCAGGTTCACCGGAGCTCTAAATTGACATGTTTGTTCGACTTCCATTTTCATCCCATTTATAAATAATACATGGTCAATTAATAACCAAATACTAATTATCCATTCAAGCCATGTCCATTCATTTATTCATTCATTCAATCATATACCTTGATCGAGATGTGTGTGTGTGTGTGTGTGTGTGTGTGTGAGTGGGGGAGTGTGATTATGTATCTCAAGATGTAGATTTATCTTTCGTCTTGGTTATCAATGAATGAATGAATCCGTTCATTATATTATTAGGTATCATTCAAGAATATTCCAACGATTCATCTTACTTACTAAGGGTTGGAACACTTTTAAAGATCAATGCCGCCTGACCAAGTACTTGTAAAAGATGTGCCCATTGAATCACAGAGAGGTATGTCTGTCCATCAATCTCATCTTGTACAACAAACCCAGGGTATTATTGTATTGCCAGGTATTGAAGGTCCTATCTTTGCTGTACCCAACATGACAATCCATCACACACACAATCATAAAAAAACGACAAAAAATATCTTGGACCTCTAGATATTTTACTCTTGATAAGATGGACTGTTGGTTGTTTTGCCCATTTGTAAAGGTTGACTGAAGCTTCCTATATTGTTGATTCATTATTGTGTACTATTATATATATATCAATCAACTTAAGTTATTTATTACATCCATCTAAATAATGAACAACAACAATAATATTTATAAGCCACTTGTTGGTGAAGAGGCTGATCCCTTTGCCAACAACGGTTCATCCAAATACTCAGCAGGTGGAAGTGTTAGATATAGACAAGTCGACAATGGTTAGTGATTGTTATATATGATATCAAATGGAATCAATACTAATACTAACTCATACTACTTTGGATGTGATGTTGTAGATGACTCTGATAACTCTAGAGGCGACTCAAAGACTGAGAATGATGCATTGATCACACCTGGTAAACCTGATGATGATGTTCAACTTAAAGCACAATTGGATAAGGCCAACTTCAGACAAAGGATGCTAGGCTTTGGTATAGTCATCTCAATCACAATCCTATTATCAGCCATCAGTGAACTCAATCAATATATTCTCTCAACAAGTTACAACAAACCTTACTTCCTAGGTATGTATCCATTATCCTGACCTAACCTTAAAGTCTAATCATACTAACATAAAATAATAGTATTCTATAATACATTATATCTTGCATTTGCACTGCCTATTGAGGCTGTGTTGTTGAGTCGTGATAGGTCTAAAGAGAGGAAGGTACCACTTTTGAACAACACTCAAGGTACCTCAATCAATGATGAGCAGCAACATACTTCATCAACAGCAATGACAACTACAAGTGATAACTCTCTTTTGGAAAGATACAAAATGGAGTATGTAAAGGCCAAGCTCCCATTCAGAAAGATGCTTATAATATCATTCTGTATGAGTGTACTCTTTGTTGGATTGAATTGGATATGGTCAATTGGATTGCCACTCACTGAGGTTAGCACATCAACTGCTCTATACCGTATGTACATTGATGCCTCATTACAATCATCCATATCCATCATCTGACACCCTCAATCATACTTAGAGTCGGCAACAATCTGGGTCTTTGTGTTCTCGATATTCATACTTAAGGACAAGCCAACACCTCTCAAGATTGTATCCATAGTCCTATTCATTGGAGGTGTAGTTGGTATTACACTTGCGGATAGAAGGTATGATCCCTCCCCTTTGGAATCATTCCAATCATTCACTAACCCACTCAATCAATCAATATACTAGTTCATCAAACTCTACATTCCCCAAAGCAGTACTTGGAGATATTCTGATGATTGTGTCGGCAGTACTTTGGGCTCTATATGAGGTTTTGACGACAAAGTTTGTCGGCGAGGTATCAAGGACATTGGTAAACAGCTATGTTGGATTCATTGCATTGTGGAATGTGGTCTTTGGTGTACCAATGTTGATAATCATCAGTGTCTCTGGATTGGAACCATGGGAAACACCAAGTTGGACAACATTTGGAATGTTGACTGCAAGTGCATCAGTGTCATTCATGCTCAACTACTTGATCAACTGGGGTCTGTCGGTAACATCACCCCTGTTTGTGAGATCTGGCGAGCTGATGACCATCCCAACCACACTCATATTCGACATCATCATCAAGCATGTTCCATTCCCACCAATTGCCATTCCAGGCTTCCTCTGCATCATTGGTGGCTTCATCGTCATGCTATACGTTGAGAACAAACACATGAAGGAGAAGGCTGCCGCCAAGACTCTTGAGCAACTTCAGAAGCACAAGGGAGGGGAGGTGGACGTGTCCTCGGCCGAACAAGTGGCTGACCAACAACATCATTCCTCTGATGAATATTCGAATAAACTTGAGGCCTAGATCAGGCCAACCAACTTCCATGCATTCATTGTGTGAGTTTGTTACAATACTCTATCATGAGGAGGTGTCCACGTGAGTATGCCTGTCTCAGCAACTTGGGAATATCGATGACGATGTTTGGTCGGAGTAGATGGTCGATGAGGTACTGTAAACATATAGTTCCATCATATCCACAGTCCATCGCAGAGAAGAAGTGTACTGGTAGTTTGCCCCAGAATCCATTGCCATTGACAAATGCCTTTTGTTGCTCCTTAGTGCCACGGGTGATCGTATCAACATAAGCCTTCATCAACGGTAGGTATCCACTCTGAATGACCTTGAGTATTATATCATCACGTGTGAGTGATAGATACTGTCTTGCATTCGATTGGAGTATATAGTCTACAATGTTTGTGTCTAGTTGTTGTGTGTCTCTTCCAAGTTGTGTCAAGCTCCATTGTGTATTGGGTAGATTGTTGATGAGGAACTTGACAACATCCATATGGCCTGCATTGGCGGCGCATTCCAACGTGTCAGCTTCACAACCTTCTGTTCGATGCTCGTGGAGGAAGCGAACAATGTCCAAGTTTCCAAGTATGGCTGCCTCCTTCATTGCACTTGGGGAAGAGATCCCCTTGACATGTCCAAACATTGTGTTGAAGTCGCGCACCAACGACACGTCATCGAGCCGTACGATGTCTACAAGGGGAGGATGTGCGAACTGCGGGTCATACGTCGGTGTCAATAAACTTGGGTGGGCCATCAGACATCGTGCTTTGTCTGCGAGGATAAGGTATCCAAATGCTTCAAGATTGTGTGTGAATCCAACTGCTGCGAAGGCTTCAAGTACATCATGTCGTACTGCAATCACCGCGTTCAACATCATATCTTTGTTCAATCTGGATGCACTACGCTCTACCAGGTATCGAAGCAAGTTGATGTCCTTGACCAACATGATCTTGGGATTGCACAGCAGCACAGCCTCGTCAACAGGATGCTTCAAACATGATGTGTTGATATACTCAAACATGTTGAGCGTCAATGCAGGTGACAGCAAGACTGACTCGCCCCACTTGATGTCGGTGCTGTGCGATGCCAATCGATTGAGAAGGCCCATTGTGAGGATTGATTCGTGGATCTGACTATCCAACATCCATGAGCCAACGGTACAGTTGTCCAAGAGATGATTGACAACGTCAATGTGACCATTTTGGAGTGCGTTAGCCAACAGCCTATTGTACAGATTGGCGCCCGCCCCTTTGGCAGTGGCCCATTTGGCCAGCTCGAGATCGCCATGAGACCCAGCTGCCCAGTACAACGCGTTTAACGGAAGATGATCTCGATATCTGTGTACAAAGGAGAGGCCCTCTGGTCTTTGGATGGCCCAACAGATCTCGTGCTCATAGTCCTGGTCCACATCGTAGTCAGAGTCCTCATTATTACCATCCCAATTGTAGAATGCGCTATTTGTGATGAACTGCTTGTTCAATGTATGTAGCTTGAAGAACATGTCGATGAGAGGTTGGTTGTCCATGTGATGCACCAAGATGTCGATACAGGCCAGGTCATCATTGAACCGAATGATCGATTGCTTTTGCTGAGGTCGACCCGGTACATTCTCCATGTTGGGGGCGGCCAGCCCAGCGCGAAGCACTTGAAGGAATGCTTGGAGTGTGTTGCACGTCAACGATTGAATGACCTTGGTTGGAATGTTGACCGTCTGCTCATGTGGATAGAATCGATTACGTCTTGCATGTATGAGCTGTAACATTGTGAATGATTTACATGCCTGAAACACCGAGTTGATAGAGATACGCTCGAGCTTCTTGGTGTACTTGGTGGTCTCCAACTCATCAAACAGCAAGGTGATCATTGCATGTCGATCATGTTTGGCGGCACCGACAATCTCTCCGACAATGAGGTCCGATGTTGTGTTTGAGTGATTATAATCTCGTTGGAATTGCAGAAGACGACGAGCGGCACTGACTTGATTGGAGTGTATTGCCACGGTGAGTAGTTGTTGAGCATTTGGAGTTTGAGTTGTTGTATCGTCACCTTTGGACGATGGTGGTGTCAACTTGATAAAGACCTCATCAAAGTACTTCATAAATAGATCAGATCTACCATATCTGAGCATGGTTGACAGACATCTATCCTTCTCCAACTGTACACCACTTAATGATGGTAGATAATGTGACTTCAAGGATCCATAATCGATACTCAACTCGACATGAATCCAATGAACATGATTGAATATCACAGATCGCAACACCTTGTTTCTTAGTAGTGTTTGAAGCAGTCCATGTAATAAAGTTGTTGTTGTGTCCTTGTGATCATCCGTCTGAAGTACTTTAAGTTGCGTTTGGATGATGTTAGTGATTGAATGAACGAGTGATTGATCGAGTGATAGATTGATTGAATACCTTGAGATGAATGTCCATCATTGACATTTGTGTTTGGTTCCATCTCTATATCTTTGTATAACAATAATAATAGTTGAATAGTAAGACACCAACAGATCGATCAATCTGTTTATTCCCAAAAATATCCGGTTTTAAATGGAATATTAAATTTGGAAGTTCATTGGCAGATCTGGATTGTCAGATGATCATCTTTATAAAGGTTAAAGTCAAGGACTAACTTTATTTATAAATATTATATATTACATGTTTGATACTAAATAAATATGTGGAAGACTCGAGTAAAACAAATAATAAGGGATTGGGAGAAGGATGATGTACTAAGTGATCAAGACAGAGAAGTATTAAAGAATATAAGGAATACAAAAGATGTCATCAATTCATTGCCATTATTATCAAAGGTAAGTACTTACATTAACTTTAATATTTCATTCTTTCATTGATTGATCGATTGATTTATTGGAAATCATACAATATAAACTGTAGGGATATAATATTGGAAAGAATGTGAAGTATAGTATATTAGAGTTGACAAATAATATAAGATGGAGTATTGATGGTTATGAAGACTTTAAAAATGGGGACATTAATTTACTTAGATTCTCAAGAATCCCTGGAATCAAAGTCACATTGTTGGAAGTGACAATAGCTAATCTAAACCTGATTATTGATCATAACCCTGCTAGAAGTGTTTGGTCATTATTTCAACCAGAGTACATTGACATACTACTCAAATCATTGACCGATGATAATCAAGTCAACATGGTATTCCAATCATATTTCAAAACTCTGACTATATTCTTCAATTCACGAGGTGATTGGAAAACATTTACAGAATGGAGACAAATATTATTGACAGGATTTGGAATCGACAGAGTAGGACCAGTACTCAACTCATGGCTACTTGAGACAATATCCGGAACATATCATTCAAACTATAGTTTTCCTGGTATAAAGTACCTTTATTATTTAATTCTAATTCAAATGAAAGAGTTTCCAGAGTTTATAAGTCAACACAAAGAAGTAGTATATAAGTATGTAAATTAATGTCATTCTTTGAGCAACAAGAATTCTTACAAAAGTATAATTAGGTTTACTTTGGAATCACTTCCCATATTTGTTTATGATAATATGATTGAGGAGCTCAATCAACAATTAATTGAAGGTATTAGAAAAATTTTAGAAACTGATGATCATGATGAAATGAAAAGACAACAGCAACAACAATCATATATAGATATATTGGTCAAATTACCTCAATATCAAGACAAAGGATATAATCTAATATTTACAATTCTGTTTCCATACTTGGATGTAATAACATCAGAACTTACACAAGCATTATTCCCCAATCTCTTCAATATAAACAAGAGCAAAGTTATCAAGAATCTTGGTAAAACATTCTCAAAGGTATATCAAAATCTTGAGAATCAAATATTTATATCTAAGTTCGATAAAGGATGGATGATATTGATTGATACTATTATTGATTGTTTCCAATCGAATGGAACTCCAATTCCACAAAGTTTCATTTACAAGTTGAATACTCAAGAAATATTCTCAAGACAAGTTTTAAGAAAGAATTGTTATGAACAAGGATCAAATGCAATGATCAATCTTTATAGAGAGACACTGGATATCAATCATATACATTTGGCTATCATTATGATGTTTGGACAAATGGATGTAGATTCTAATACACAAATATTATTGGACAAATACATTGAAGAGATCAAACATTTCTTTGATAACAAAATCCAGAGTGTCATATTCGGTATCAACAACATATCATTCCTTTCAAGTTGTTCCAAACAAACATTCTTCAACAAACTACATCTCGAAAGAATATTCTTCATTTCAAGAGAGACTTCAGAGGAACTTAATCACAAGATTTTAGATTTTATCAACAATAGTTCAGGTCCCGAGGATACATGGATTTCATACATTAACGTGATGATTGGTCATCGATCAATAACACCTCCATCAAGATATATTGGACATAATTCCCAAGTTGTTGGAGATGGCTTGAGTCAATCAATTATCAAACATGGAAAAAATATCAACTTTATTACACCAATAATCCAATATTTAAAGTTTACGTATTGTGCTCAATCGATTGGTGTACCCTACCATGATCTAAAGAAAAAGGTACTGAAGACATTGGCGGACAATGGAGTATCATCATCATCATTGGGGGAGATTAAACAAGAACTCCACAATTTCAAACTTCAATCTTTCTTAAACTCCACTGTTTCCAGAAAATCAATCACTCAACCTATCTCTGACAATGTATCTCCTACACTTCCACAAATTATTCTAAATTTAATAATAGAGATGTGTTTATTATCTGGATTCCAAAATCATAATGAACAAAGATGGATAATATCTTTGGCAACTGTTTCAAGACATTTCCACCAAGTATGTGCTGCAACCATTACAAACAAAGTGATCCCATCTATCCAGTTATACAATGTTTTAAAACACATTGGCACTACATTCTGTCTATACAAAGACACTCCTCTCTCCATTGACATTTTCAAAATGATGAGAGGATTCATACCAGAGAATTATCATCAACGATCTTTGGAAAGATTGATTCAATTGAATGTTAAATTCACCACTGGGCGGGATGATGGATACCAGTATCAAAAGTTTTCTGGTATCTTGGTCCATGGTACTCCCAATCTTAAACATATTAGTTTTGAACAAACTATTAATAATAACTATGAGCATGTGAAGGAATTATTCAATCAACAGAATATTAAGAATAACCAGTCATTTGAACTACTCCGTATTCCAAAGAATGAATATCCATGTTTTCCAGAACCTCAATATGAACTTTCAAGACAGATGATAGGTTCTTATATTCAAAACAATCCTGGATTGGTCAATATTGTTTATCATTCTACTTCAATTCATAATCCAATCAAGGTATTCAATTCTGATAAGAATCCAGGTACAAGAAGATTGATGACAGATGGCACTGGTATCACAATGAACCATTTCTTTATATTGAGAGTTGATAGTTACAAAAATGTGAATGGATCAACCGACCTTGAACACATCACTAGAATGGATTTGCCTCTGGGAGTATCATTCAACAAGATTGTTCACTTCACCAATGTATCAGAGATATCAATATTTGAAGTACCAACTGTTTATGACAATATTCTTGATTCTGTTCATGTATCCAAGCAATCACAACACCTTCAACAATGGTATCTAAATGTATATTATGTGAACCAACGTAGATATACACTCAAGATTGATGTTCCAGACTTGACCATTGTAGTTTCACTCCTTCCACATTGTGAGACATCAATCACATCTTTATCAATTAGACTCAATTGTCTTGAAGAAGTAATCAATTCAACTGTTCATGGAACAATCCATCAACAATTCGAGGACTTGATCAAACATCTTGAACAACCAAAACTATTCTCAAAGCTTGAGTACTTGTCCATTAACATTGGAAATGATCAGAACACCTACCCTCTCGGTCCAAATGAGTTGGTCACTCTCCTTGGCTCATCACTCAATCTCCAACCTTTTGACCATCAATCCAACAAACCAACAAAATTCTACCGTCATATTAATTAAATAAAATAAATTGTTTGTTTTATATATACCAGAGTGGCAAAAGGAATAATCTGTAGTGTATCCTTACCCACTCTCTCACTTGCCCACTAACCCATTCCATCAATAAATCCATCTTACTATTAGTAAGTTAGTGTTAGATTAATTTATTACCGACCATCAGATTAAATAAACTGTCAATCAAATTCTGTTAAATTATTTGTAATTGTGATTCAAATCATAACAATCTACAACCTATCTAGTAGTACATTATCTATTAAACCAAATATTTAATTATATCCATGGTGAAATTTTGTTCAACAAATTAAATTGTCAACAATATTAATAATATTTTTTTAAATAATGTTTATAATTGCAAAGATTATACTTTTAATAACTTTGGTAGGATTGTCATCATGCCAATACAGTGAGGCAGAAGCTCCAATGATGCCAAGGTACCCAAATAATCAATATATCTGGAATATGGGTAGCCCCAATTATGATGTCCTCGGTTACCAAGAAAGAATAATCGGCTATTCTCCTAACCAGGGGGAATTCCCCTTCCCTGTTGATGCTCATTGGGCAACCGGTATACAATTTGCCTCAATACAACTAGATAATTAATACCAAAGGCTACTACTCTGGTATAGATCTCTACATCCCAGTCCCCACCCTGTAATTCTCTCTGTCCATATCCGTAACATTAAATTAAATATTATTATATTATATTTTATATTATGTTTATTATTCAATGACTTTGACTCATTATCTATGAGAAGACAAAGAAGATAAGCAATGCTATCAGTGTGGCGAACAACAGACTTTCCAAGGTCTGCTTGGAGCTGGAGTTCTCCATCTCATCGTCGGGTGATGTGCCGGCAAGTGCCGATGCCGAGCGACGGACGACCCGAACCGAGCCCTGCATCTCGTCGGCGTTGTTCTGATCGGCGTAATAGTACAGACCCTCCTGCGTGAACATCTTTGAGAACTTGCGCTTGGAGAACTGGCTGACGCCATTCTCATCACTGGTGATGAGAGGTGAGTTGATGTAAGCGGCGGGACTTCCCGCCAGCTGGTCTTCGATCGATGTAACAGTGTGTGGTAGGTTATCAGTTGTGATCCAGTGCACTGTATCGCCCACATTGATCGTTATATTTGATATAGTTGGTAAGTTCCATCTGACCATTACCTCGGCAGCTGTTTGGTGGGGCGGGGGTCGAGTGTGAGGGTGAGGGCGAGGGTTAGTAATCAAAGTTGTCAATCAATCAATGTCAAGTGATGTTCATGATGGATGCTTACCATTGGTCGTATAAGATGGTGTGATCAAAAGTAGTATTATAATAAGTTGTGATAGTACAAGTGTATGTATAAGGTTTGATTGACTGCTGGCCATTGTCGTTTTTGTCGTCTGTCAAACTGTGTCGGTCGGTCGGTGAATGATTGAATGAATGAATGATTGAAAAGGAGTAGGAGTTGGAGTTGGGGATATTGTTGTTGGGTCGAACAAACAATGAATGAAGTGGAGGAGGAGGAGGAGGTCTAGATGATCAGGGGATCACAGAAGCTAATGGGATTGATGTTTTTGTTTGGGATGGATGAAGAAAGTATTGATTGCTTGATTGATTGAATATGGAAATGATGATTGATTGATTATGGGGATGGATGAGTTGTTGTTACCCAGATCGATTGGCTTGACTTAGAGTGTGGGTTACAGCACACCTTGGTGTCCTTCGCTAAAAGAGTGTGATTGATTGGTTGGGTGAGTGAACACACTTGTGTGTGAGTGTGTTTGTGAAGATGATTGAATTGATTGGTGAAGTGATTGATTGGTGAGTGAGTCTGTGTGTGTGTGTGTGTGTGTGTGTGTTGTTGTTGTAATTGTAATTGTATGCGTGTGAATGAAAGATAGATAGAGAGTGCAGTGAAGTGATTGATTGGCAGAGTCAAGGCAAGGACCTTGCTTCCTCTTGGTCGGATGGATTGGCTGGTTGGTTGGTTGGTTGTCTTGCTGAATGAATGACTGACTGCGCGGGTAGATAGACACTGGCGGTCCGTGTATATAAATATATGATGCGTGATGATGCAATGATGTGAAATAAAAATATGTTGTTGTCAGGTGGCGATGATGCTTAAGGTGAACGCAGTAGATGACAATGACCGGTCCAGAAGTAGGTCGTTCATTGTGTGTTTCAACTGATCTTTTTGTGTGTGTGAATGAAAAAACAATCAAAAATCAAAAATATTAATTCAAATCAATATGCTTGGATTTTTTTCAAGTCGAGGCCATTATTTGAAACGACGACCTTTATCAATCTAGATTACAAGGCCTGATACCTTATGAGGGGTGTTATTTGCTCAAATTCATACTTTGAAGCATGTTTGCAACTGGTTGATGGGTCGGTGAATGAGATGAATGTGGTCCACAAACAGCATCAAAGATTCGTCTAATGGGCGCCAAAAAAGAAATCGAAATAAATATCCTAATTATGTCTCTTCGGGTCTGAAAGGAAGACCAACGTTCCAAGTTCAGACTTTGAGTTTATGGGTATGAAATTGTTGATCGTCAAGAACGAATGATCGGACTTCAAACAAATAAATAAAACACAACTCTCAACACAAAGCAACACACAAACAAACATTCATTCATTCACTTTGAACACAACATTAATACATTTCTCACGAATAGTGTAGTAGCAGTAGCAGTAGTTAGTAAGACAGGTTGTGTAGAATGCCTTAAGGGATATGATCAGCACTGACAATGGATAGTACATTTGGTTCCACATCTTGGTTGGGCGCAGACTCAAAGAAAAGAGTAATGTCACTCACTCAATCATTCATTATCCTCAACTAACATGATGTTCATTCACAATGAGTATAGATATTGATTATAAATGAAGCAAAGGATAGTGAGAGAGAATATAACTTTCAAGAGTTGGTAGAGTTCTCTCAGTTCTTGGTGAAGAGGGATCGTAATGGAAATGGAATGCACACTACGGATAGTGTAGGTCTACTTCCTCATAGTACACCAAATAGACAGTCGTTTCAAATGCCTGTTCGTTCACCATCGATGTATGACACTCTGTTGGGACATGGTGTTCCCAACATTCATACAATCTCCAGCACAGACATGTCTGGTCGTGTGCTGCCATCGACACCTCCAATCATACCAATAATCAACATCAGTAGTAGTGAGAGTAACAACAATAGTATCAACCTCAAAGATGCCGTCGACAACAACATCACAAACAAACAAGACACATTGGCCAATGTCGATGGAAAGGGTGATGCAATCATTACAACTGACGTTGGATTGAGTGATAGTGGCAACAACAAGGATGGTCTCGAGAGGGTACCACTCAATCAAACAACAACGAATGACAACAACAATGACAATGACAATGACAACAAAGTGAATGTCAACGAGACCAAACCATCAATTGACAACGATGTCAACAACAATGCACAATCAGCTGATCCATCACCGGCTGTGTCACAACCAAACAACAACACAAACAACAACACAGACACCGACAACAACACCAACACCTCTACAACAGCACCTACATCAGCCCCAACTACCAGCCCTCAACTCAATGACGATACGACCGACGACAAGATATACTGGATCGACATGGAGGGTCTGGACAATCAGGAGATCTCACAGATATGCGACATCTTCTCGATACATCATCTGACGTACGAGGACATCACCACGCAGGACAGCAGCGAGAAGAGTGAGGAGTACTCGCACTACCTGTTTGTGTCCACCAGCGAGGTGATGTACCAGCAGTCGGTGATGGTCACGTCCAACATCTACCTGGTCATCTTCAACTCGTTTGTGCTGGTCTTCCACACGCACCCCATTGACTGTTTCGACCTCGTGCTTCGCTCCTTCCGCTACCTCGAGCAAACACAACTTCAGTCATCATACTGGCTACTGTGTAGCTTCCTCGATTCCATCCACGAGATCTACTCTGACTTTGCCGACACTCTCATGGTCGAAGTCAACTTCCTCGACGAGTTCACTCTACGTGATGAAGTTGCCAAGTCTGAGCTTTACATTCGACTTGGTCGAGCAGTCAGGAGGGCCACCAACCTGTTGTCCTCATTGTTTATCAAGAAGTAAGTTATATCTACTCCCCAATCAATCATTCAACTCACTCACTTATATCAATCAATCAATCAAACAATATAGTGATGTACTTGGATCATTGTTACGTAACAATATCAATGACCAGGAGGCAAAGAGACATTTGGGCAACATCAAGGATAGATTGCAGAGATTGCAACAAAAGATTAAGTTGGCCGAGGAGTTGTTGGAGAACGTTGGAACTGTGTACATCTCAAAGGTGTCGTTGGTGACGGATGAGGAGTCACATACACTCAATCAGAGTATGTCTAGAATCGTGGCAATGACAACGATCTTCATGCCACTGACATTGGTGGCCGGTATCTTTGGCATGAACATCCGACTACCTGGTATGGCACAGTTCTATGACACTCCATCACTCGGCTGGTTCTATGGTATCATCTTTTCAATGGTTGGTTTCGTCATAATAATGACAATCTATGCAAGAAAGAGAGGATTCCTTTGATTCATTGATGGTCCATCAATCATACAATCATACCACTATCAATCAATCAATCAGTCAATCAATATCTCAACATATTTTCAATCAACTCAATCAATGGTTTTCGTGCATGGCAGGTCGATATCAATTGACAGGTAATGCCGCGTCATTATTTGAACAGTGAGAGTGGCGGTTGAATCCAATGAGGAATCATTGGAAACAGAACTCATGATTCAGTGGATATTGTCAACATCATCCAAGATATCATGAAGGAGAGGGTAGGGTATACTTGGGGTCAGAGGATGTGTAACCCATTCCATTCCATTTCATTTCATTTCATTCCAGTGCCGTGTCAGTGTCATTCATTGATTCATCAACATCCCCATCACCATCACCATCACCATCAACATCCTAGATATATATTGACAGTTTGTAACGACAGACGCGGAGATTAAAGTCTGAAGCATTGCAACCGTTGTTAACTGTTGATGGGGCATTCCTTTGCTTGAGGGTCTGTTAGATCACCCTTCAATCTTAATAATCACCATATTGGGCTTGCAGCTATCAACGCAAATTCGTTGCTTGATTGGACAGATCTTTCATAAAAACTTGATTTTTTGTGTGGTTTTTTGGTGGGGCTAGGGGGCAGAGGCCTTTATGTCATGATACAAAAAAATATCGATAAGGCCCTAACTAACTACCACCTCTTCAATAGAACAATAACATTTTGGTTGAATGACTTCTCATCTATCATCACCATCATTCAATAAGTGTTGGTAAGGTAATTACCAACCGCATCGAACAACTCAATGGTTTGAAGTTGTCATTGTGCAAATAATTACACCCATTTATTGCGCAATTAATAGTCCAATCACCCCATCCCATACAATTAGGATGGATGTTGGTAAGTTGGGTATGATATCAGACTCTTTCCAAGTGAGTTGAACTTTACTGCCGCCGACAAGTTGGAGATGGGGTGTCTAATGAGTGGCCAACAACATTGATGTTAATTGTAAAGACATCTGATGTAACTTTTGTGTCGCATCTTTAATATTAATCAATCAATAATACACTTAAATTCTTTGTAATATTAAATATTAATTTATTTATATAATTAATCATGTATAAACAACAGCAACAGAATATTTGGATATGTCTAATCATATTTATGATGTCAATGGCATCATACAATTGTTTACCAATTGTTAACTCTGAATGTAGGTCAAGTTAAATATTTGAATGATTGATTGATCAAACAAGCTAACACAAATACAAATTGATTTAATAGTATTAGAGCTTAGAAGGTTAATGTCAATATATTCAGTGGATATGAATTATAATGCAACAGATTGTACTCAACTATCATTCAAGAATGGAAATATTAAAGTGATTTGTCAAAGTGTTATTCAAGGACAGGATAGTATCGCAGAGATGTAAGTTTTGAATTGAATGAATATGATAAAAATACTTATTAACCTTATCAATCTCAATAATAATATAGATATATTTATAGTGGACCAGTTGCCAATATTACTACAACTCCAGCACCAACACCTTTGATCTTTCCATATATGACTAAATTCTTTTTGGATGGCGCTACAAGTCTCGATCCAAGATTCTACAACATCTTTGAATTACTAGATAATCCAAACAACACTAGATTATATTATCTTCAGATTACCAACCTCTACGATCAGATTCCAGCCCTACCAGTATTCCCCAAATACCTCTCATTGCAGACACTGTATGTTAAGATGTTCATTTCATTCAATCCATGGCAGAATACTAACATACCTTATAATAGTACTGTATTGAATACTAAATTGTTTGGCAGTTTACCGAGATTGAATCCAAACTTGATACCATTCTCTGTGACATATTCGAATAATCTAGATTTGAAAGGTACTCTATCTAAAGAGTATTGTCAAGTACATACATTCAACTTTGTTCAAACACCAATCACCAACTACGATCCATGTTTCGTCTGTTACTCCAATGGTACTTCACAATATCTACACAGCAACTTCCCAGCCTACGTAGCAGCAAACAGACCATTTTTCAATTGTGCACCAATTATCAAGAACAACCTATATATTAATCCAACAAACAGTCTATCAATGACCATCAGTGGAGATAACTTTGGATGGTTCATGGGTGACTATACCAAGGATACCAACACATACCTAAAGTTATTAGTTCCAAACTCATTATTGTTGTAAGTACATACCAAGATCATAGAATGAATGATTGATCGATCAAATATTAATAATATTATCCATCATCAATATTTTAGGTTTACACTACCTGTATCAGCATATCAAGGATCACCACAGAACTACACCGACTATTGGAAGACATTCCTGTTCCTATCTCAGAACAACAATATGTTGTTAAGGGCATTCTACAAAGTGGACAGTAAGTTTAATATTAGATGATCATGAATGAATGATTGATTGGTTAACATACTTCAATAATTAGACACTAGTATTAGCAAGACCATCTCATCATTTGGAAGCTATAATGATAATAGTACATTGACATTATCATTTAGTGGAGTGTTCCAACCATACTTTGCATACAAGATCAATGTTAATGGTGTTGTTTGTAATATTATCGAAATATCTCCAGTGTCCATTGGTTGTACAGTTAGCAACATGACAAGATATCCAACAGAGAACCTCTATGCATACATTAGTAGTGTGATCCAGAACTATACAAGGATACTTGTTGACCTTAATAGTATGTATCTCTTCGATACCTTCTAATTGACCATCACTAACATTCAATCAACTGATCAATCATAGATTATCCATTGATCAATGCTGTGTCCAATGTGACTACTAGTGGAGGAGCTATAACATTGTATGGATATTATGGTCCAAATATCAATTCTGTTGGTGTTACAATCAATGGTAGAGCATGTAGTATTTTCAATGATACATACCTTCCATCATTGATATCTTGTTCAATCAAAGGTCAACTGAGTCCTGGAATGGCCAACATCACAGTGCGTGTCAATGAGAAGATATACAGCTCCACCTCCATCCTTGAGATCCGTAAGTATCCATATCCATTCGATCACCATTCATTCAATCAATCATTATACTTACACATCAACCGTCTTCCAAATGTTCAGAGTCTGTAAAGAATGTTGATTGTGGATCTAATGATGGATGCAATGGAAATGGAGTGTGTCAGATGGGAAGATGTGCTTGTACCAACCCTGGATATACTGGATTCTATTGTGAGTCACCTGTTGGCAATGACACTATTGTGTTGCCAATCAATCAAGATCCAGGTGCTTACTTGAATGGCAGTCAATCAGAGTTCCAATTCAATATGGTTGCCATCCAGGAGTTGAACGCTAGGGGTGGCGTAGAGTATGAGTTGCGTCCACAATGGGCGTATAGCGCGCAGAAGGGTTCGCCAATGTCCACCTACACATACACCATGGTGAACCAGTCGAATGAGACCAGTGTCAACATCACCGTCATACTCACACACTCGACCGAGGAGTACACGGTAAACTTTGCCGGACACGACACACTCTATCCGCCCAACTCTATCAAGATGACCGTGTACATCAATGGCTGGCAGTACTCGTCCAACTTGAACACGTTACGTGTGCTCTTTGTCAAGCAGCACACACTTCAGACCAGTGCATGCAGTGGCAGCAATGTCGGCTACGACGAGTTCAGCGGCAACATGGAGTACATCAAGATAAGTGGTGCAACCGGGTCGTACTATGGCCGCTTCCTGCCCTATGGCCTGTCGGACGGACGTATCTGCTTCTCCAAGAATGAGTTGGTCAATACGACCGATGACAACCGAGCATTCTTTGGCATCAACCTACCACAGTGCAGGAGTTGTGTGATCGATCCCTACTTCACATCGCTGACAGAGGTCAGTGGCGATCACTGCTCACGCAACAAAGCTGCCTGGTACATCATTCTGCCGTCTGTCGTCGGAGGAGTACTCGTACTAACTCTTGCGGCTGGTGTCACAGTACTGATACTCAAGAAGTTCCGTCAGAAGAAGGAGTCAAAGAACATCTCTGACAAGATGCAAAGAGTGTTTGGTCAAGCCAGTGCCTAGGCGTCGACTTACTCATTCCATTCCTTCATTCATTCATTCATTCATTCATTCCACGTTCGTTCAATCTCGAGATCATGATCAACAACAACGACTATGTATCCTAATGTATATATATTGATTGATGGATTATAACCCATCAATCACCAATCGATTAATTAAAGTCTATCTATCTATGTATCTATGTATCTACTTCAACTACTTCAACATCATCCTTCCCTTCCTTCCCTTCCCTTCCCTTCTCTTCCCTGACTTTGTTTAACGACATGAATATTGAAAGTGTTCATCGTGCTTGTTCGATTGTTTTGCTGTTTTGGGAATGGTTGTGTGCTGATGAACAAACACTTATTCCAGAATGTTCCAGATTCAGACTGAGGAATTGATCCAGTTTTGATGGACAGGTATCCAGTTTGAATATAAATACATCTTGGAATAAGTTGAAATAATCATCAAACAATCAAACAAACAAATATTAATCAATCAAACTATCAATCAAACTATTATTATTAATTAATCAATCACTTAAAATGTCGACTCCAACCCTTTACTATGTATGTTAATAAACTTGATATGAATGAATGATCTATTAAACTAACATAACTTAATGTACAATACGTATAGTTTGATGGCCGTGCTCGTGGTGAGGTCTCTAGACTATTGTTGGCATACTCTGGAAAGAAGTATACGGACTTGCGTAATCCATTCCCTTTGCAGGATGAAGTGAGAGCAAAGACACCTTTTGGTCAACTGCCATATTATGTCGATGATAAGATTGACTTGGCACAATCTGTTGCCATCGAGTATTACCTTGCTGATCAACTTCAGCTTGCTGGCTCATCCACCATCGAGACTGCACAGATCCTACAATATTCATTGTTGCCAGGTGACTTGTATGCACCATACTTCCAAGCATACCTTGGCAATGACGAGGCTGCTTTGAAGACATTCTCCAGCGAGACTGCGCCAAAGGTGTTCAAGAAGCTCGAGGCATTGCTTGTCAAGGCTGGTGGCGAACATCTAGTTAACAACAAATTGAGTTGGGCAGATATCAGTATATTCAATCTTCTAGATTTCTTCCATCAACAACCAGGTAACCTTGTTGATGTTCTTCAGCCATTCCATGTATTATTAGCCTTCCACAAGAAGATTGGATCAATCCCACAGCTTGCCGAGTACATTAAGGTTAGACCAACAACTATATTCTAAGTATAATAATAAACCAACATCATATCATTCAGATACTAATTGTATATCTGTTTGTGAATAACGAATGGTTGAAAGAATGAAAATGAAGGGAGGAATTTCAAGTTTGTCAAATGTGGCAACTTCAAAGTCGACTTTGACGAAACACTCTATCTTCATTCTTTCGCGAAAGTACAAACAACAACTCGAAGAAAGAGATAGAGATAAAGGATGTTTAGAGGAACAGTAGATAGAGCAGGTACAAGAGAGGGAAAGAAGACAAGTCTGAGAAAGACTGGAAAGGATAAGAAGGTTGCTTCAGCAGCGGTGGACAATGCACCAAAGACTAGGGTTGACCCGGTGCCGACGCTGATCGAGTCGACTCGTCCTCTGTCAACCTTTGACTGTGGTGCCAATCTAGTAAACAGACATCTAGAGGCCGATCAAGCAAGAGTCATACAACGTGCTATACAGTCTGGTATTGATGGAGTGGCCATCATCACCAATGACTTTGAGAAGAACGAGCAGTCACTCAACGTCTCTGAGCAATACCCAGGTGTAATCTACAGTGTCGCTGGTATCCATCCCAACAACATCAGCTCCAAGAAGATGTCTGACAAGTTGTTCCTACAACTCATTGCTCAACTCAGAGGTGTAAGTTGGTGGACTCGCTCGCTCATTCATTCATTCAATCATACTCATTCGTTCATTCAATCAATCGTTCAATCATTTAGTATGCAATCAAGCCACATTGTATCGGTATCTATGTGTAAGCATTACATTGATCAATGTCCATCCACGCCCACATGTAACAATCACTAACATGACGATGACGACTACAATAGAGGATTGGACTATGAACGTGACTATGGACTGAAGTTCCCTCAAGAGAAGTTCATGAAGGCTCAGATCAAGTTGGCAAAGGAGCTTGGATTGCCAGTGGTCATGCAGGACTTTGGAGGCGGCGAGGGTCTGCTCGAGGTGATGAAGGAGTGTCGCACTGACATTGAAAGAGGAATGATATACGTGTTCAACTCGGGCTCGGCAATGCTACAGCGTTTCATCGATCAGGATTTCTACATCAGTTTCAATGGACTCTTGTGCGAGACGTCGGACAAGGGCGACCAGATGCGCGACTTTATCACACAGGTGCCAAAGGATAGACTGCTGTTGGTGACCGACTCGCCCAACGTCACGCCACAGACCATCCCCGATCAACACATCAGATCAATGCCCAACGAACCATCAAACCTCATCTATATCGTGAACAAGGCGGCCGAGTGTCTGCAGATGACGCCCGAGGCCGTCGCAAAGCTCGTCAAGGACAATGCCAAGAAGTTCTATTCACTCAGCGGAGTGGCAGAAGCAACCACCGATCAAGCAGACGATGGATCATCATCGACAAAGACACCTCCCATCGTCGCAGCCGAGACAACAACTACAACATCAACCACAGCAACAGACTCAAAGAAGAGCAAGTCAAAGAAGAAACAGCTGCAACAGATGGATGAGGATGAGGACGACGAGGACAATGAGAGCGACAACGAAGACAATGACGAGAGCAGCAGCGAGGACGATATCGATGTGTTTGAGCGACTGGACAAGGCAGAGCTCGAGAACCTGTACTACTCGTGCAAGAAGTGTCGAACCAAGCTGTTCAAGCATGGCGACATTGTGGAGCACGAGCAAAAGGCTGCCGTCCTCGATCATACTATCGCCAAGCCAGCGACCGACAAAGGTCCAAAGAAGTGCAAATCATACTTCTTTGCTCCAACGGCCGCATCGAGTTGGCTGAAGCCACGCTCTGACAAGCAGCTGGTGTGTCCAAAGTGTGAAGTCAAGCTGGGATCATTCAACAATCTTGCCGGCGAGCAATGCTCCTGTGGCGTGGTGTTGCACGAGCTCTGCCGTATTCCAAAGAGTCGCGTGGAGGTGGTGCTGCTGGGCGAGGATGGAGAGCTGGTCGATCTGGCGCTGTTGTTGCACCTGGACGATGACGACAGTGATGATCAAGAGTCGAGGAAGCAGAAGAAGAAGCGACTGGTCAAGAAGATGGCCAAGAAGAGCAACAAGAGTAACTTTAGCAACTACAGAAACAAGGATGCTGGTGTGTCCGTTAAGAAGACCAAGCAGATACAACAACAGTTGGTTAGCTCTTTGGCAATTGAGTCAGACGAGGACTAAACGAGACCAATACATTTAAAATCGATCAATCACTTGCCTGGCTGTGTCAATCTAGTTTGGACGATAATAATGCTTATTTATTGTTATACATAACGATGATGGAAGGTCGACGGCTCATGTCTTAAGCAAAGAGCTCGTTGAGATCTACCTTGGCTGCCTTCATGTTGCACAGCTTGCTGTTGAGAACGTTGGGTTTGGCACTCTGCTTGTCTCCCATCATTGCCTGGACAGCACCAGATGCGCCAGATCTGTCCTGTACGTTGGCGGCCTTGCGCAGCTTCTGCATGTTGTAGTTGGCCACCATGTCGTTGAAGGCAACCTCTGGCTGAGGCTGCGGCTGCTTCCTCTGGTGCTGTTGCTGCTGTTGCTGCTGGGGCTGTTGAGATGGCATCCTGACATCGCTCTTCTTCTTGTGCTGATGTTGTTGCTGCTGCTGTGGCTGCTGTGGCTGCATGTACATCTGTTGTTGCTGTTGCTGCATCTGAGGCATGTACATTTGTTGTTGCTGTTGTTGCTGCTGTTGCTGCTGCTGCATTGGTGGCAAGGTATGTTGTTGTTGCAATTGTTGCTGCAATAGTTGTTGCATTTGCATCTGATATAGTCCTGCCTGCATCTGCTGTTGCTGTTGCTGTTGCTGCTGCTGTTGTGGGTACATCTGTTGCTGCTGCTGTTGCTGTTGTTGCATCTGCATTTGCATCTGTTGTGGCATTGGTGGTGCACCTGGAACTGGAGGGATCTGAGGTGGAAGACCAGCGCGCATGACTGATGACAGGGCAATGTCGGATGCGTACTTGTATCCAGCCTTGTATCCAGGGGGTGGAGGAGGTGGTGGAGGTGGGATAACACCTGGTGGGAGTGGGATGCTGGTAGGCTTGGGAGCAATGGGTGCAGGTGGTAGCACTGGAACAGCGTTGACCAGATGCTTGGGCAATGGAGGTGGAGGTGGTGGCGCGACCACCTTTGGCTTGGTGATCTCCTTAATGATGGCGACAATCTGTTGGACGTTCTTGTGGTTGACGCCAAACTCCTTCTCGCGCAGTGCTCTGGCTTCGTTGAGGATCTGCACAGCCTGCTCCAATCTGTTCATCGACTGGTACAAGCAACCAATTCTCACGAGGATCGCAGCCACGGTGTTGTGTGTTGGGCCGTAGATCTTCTTGGTGATGTTGAGTGCACGGAGCGCACACTCCTCGGCCATCTTGTAGTTCTCTTGCATCTCGTACAGAGAGATCATGTGACGCAGGATCTGCGACACTCTCGAGTGCTCCAGTCCGAGACGGCCCTCGTAGATCTTGAGAGCCATCTTGAAACAGGACTCGGCATCACTGAACTGATCCTTCTCAATGTACAGGGAGCCCAGACGGTTGATGATGCGTGCGTATGACACGTCCATGTCTCCTAGCTTCACCTCGATGATCTCCAGCGCCTTAATGAAGTACTCTTCGGCAATGTCCAGACGACGTGCCTCCTCGACAAAGTGCACAGATCCAAGACTGTAGGCAATGTCCGAGAGCAAGATTGGATAGGTCTCTGCACGTGGCTCGACGATACGCATGGCATCGTTGAGCATCTGTTTGGCCTCAGCGTGCATGTTCCTTGTGCACGACAGGGATCCGAGGAGGTTGAGTGTGGTTGCCACCTCAATGTCCTCTGCGCCACGCTCCTTGGTGTAGATGGCCAGCGCCTGACGGAACTTGGTATCAGCCAGCTCGTACTGGCACTTGGTGTGGTACATGTGGCCCATGGCACGGTCTACCTTGGCAGCTTCAATCATCTGCGAGTTGTTGGTGTAGAGCTCGCGTGCCTTGAGGTACAGAGCCTCAGAGCCATCAAACTGTGACAGCTCCTCCAAGAAGCTGGCAATGTTGAATAGCACGTCTGAGATGACCAGGCCGGAGGCCTGAGGGAACGAGCGTGCAATGAGCTGCTTGTACTCGTGTGTGGCGTTGTAGGGGATGGGGTCGTCTCTCTCTGCAGCGTTGCGAGGTGGCTTGAACTGCTTCTCCAGCGTGTTCCAGTAGCTGATGAGGTCGCCGCGGTGGCGTGGCACGTACAACTTCTCGAACATGTACAAGTTGAGCAACCAGGCCCTGAGCTCCTCCCAGTTGTTGGAGTGCACCAGCTGGTAGGGCAGCTCCTCGACCTTGCGCTCAGACAGGTCAGCGCTGCCAATGAACATCTCGGCAATGTCGGCATGAATCTCCATGCGCACCTTGTCGTTGGTGATGTACTTCTTCTCGACGGCGGCGGCAATGTCATCATTTAGGAAGGACAACAGTCCGGACGACGATGAGATGTAGGCCTCCATGAGGACAAGCAACGAGCTCCACTCGAGTGGATCGATGCCCTTCTTGGACAGGAGGGCTGTGAGAGTCTCGAGCTCGATACCACGTCGGCCTCCCCAGATGTAGCGAAGGAACTCGCGCACCAGACCTTTGCCCTTGGTGTCGTAGTCGCTCTCAATACGATCGAGGATGATCTCGTACAGCTCGGCAATGTTCTTGGCCTTGAGCAGACGGAGGATGCGCTCGTTGAGGCGTTCGTGATCGCCCAGAACACAGATGTCGTCCAGGAGCAGCTGGAGGAAACGGGGGTTGGAAGCAGTGGCCGAGTTGGCGATGAACAGCTCCTGTTGATCGGACAGCTTCTTGGCGAAGCGGTTGAGGTAGAGGCGGACCATGGACTTGCGCTCGGCCTCGGAGAGGTTGGTGAGCTGGAGCATTGTGGCACCGCGCTTCTTCATCACCTCGACGGGGCGTGTCGACGAGTTGGACGAGATGATGAACTTGACATTGGGTGGCAGGTTCCTGGGGAACCACAGCATGTCGCCAGGGTTATCACGTGAGTCCAGCTTGTTGAGGCCGTCCAGAATGATGACCACGCGGCGACCAGTGAGGGTTGGATGTGACATGATGAACGAGACAAACTCGCCAAAGTCGCCAACGATCTTGTCGACGGGTGAGTTGATGTCGGGTATCTCGGGGATCCAAGAAGTGGCCGAGGTGTCCTTGAACAGAGAGGAAGTCTCGCGAATGCTCTCACGCTCGAGCATGTTCTTGATCTCAGTCATGATCCTAACTAGTGCAGCCGAGTGCTTAGAGGATGAGGGCGTAGCTCCAATCCAGTGCGATGTGACGATGTCCTCGGGATGCTGCTCGCGGTGCTGCTTGAGCCAGTTGCAGAGGAGGGAACTCTTGCCCGAGCCACTGTCGCCGTGCACCATGAGCACGGATGACTTGGGCTTGGACAGGAAGGTGTCGATGGCCAAGAAGTTGTTCTCGTTCTTGATGTAAAGCTTGCACATGTTCTTGGCGAAGCCAGAGTGCAGGAAACGCTCCTTGGCATCGGGTGCCAGCTCGTGGCCGGCTGGGAAGCGCTTGTCAATGTACTTCTCGAGGTCCTCAGAGAGCACGTCGGCCAGGTTGGATGGACGACGGTACTCGTTGGCGCGCAGACTGTTTGTGCCGTGCTGCTTGGTGATCTCGGTCTTGAGACGGTCCAACTTCTCCTTGGAGCGTGGGCCCTCTGAGACAAAGTTGTTGCGGTCCTTGGCGCTGACCTCCTCCACGTAGTATGGGTCACGGAAGTAGAAGAGTGCGTTGGCGGCTTGGGGAACGTGGCCACCGAGGAATGCGCGGAACTCAATCTCTGTCATTGAGCAGTCACGCAGCTTGTTGACCCATGGATACTCTGCGACGGCCTTGTCCAGTGTCGATGTGAGCAGTTGCTGGGTCTTGGGGTCAGAGCGCTCCTGGGACGACCAGCCATAGCGCTCTCCGTAAAGACCGATGAGCAGGTTGCACTTGGTGAGCTCGCGGAGACACATTGAGAGTCCAGTGGCTTGCTCCACCTGGTTGTTAGTGACGCCCCAGCGCAGGTCCACGTAGGACATGATGATATCGCGCTCAATGCAGAGCTTGCGGATCTTGGGGATGACCACCTTGACGATCTGGTCGCGGTCCAGCTGCATGTCCTTGAAGGGTGATGAGATGAAGATCTTGATCTCGCGCTCCTCAAACTCCTCAGAGTTTGCGGGCTGCGCTTCTTTGCGGTCCTCGCCTGAGGACACGGACGACGCGTCATCATCATCGTCTGACTCGAACTCAAACTCGGGCTCGGACGACACGGCCAGTGGACGCCTGGTGTCTGCGGCGGGTGTGGCAGATGCGCCACTCTCTGGCATGAGGAAGAGCTGTTGTTGCTTCTCCTCTGTGAGCGAGGCGAAGCGCTGCATAAGCAACGACTCGACGGACTGGATGTTGGAGATGGCACGCTTGATGTTGGCCAGCTGAGACTTGAGGATGTAGGCTTCCTGCTCCGAGGGTGACGGCACCTTGTACAAGTTGGCGTCAAAGAAGAGGAAGGCAGTGGGGAAGCCGAATGACTTTCCATCGTTCGAGGCGGATACTGGAACGTTTCCAGCGCCACATGACAATCCATTTGGGATGGTCACCAGCACCGCGGACGACGAGTGGAACTCATAGTTTGTAGCGTATACAGTTCCGAATCTTACTCGGAATGATGGGTTTGGTGCGAAGCCTACTCCAAACACTGTGACCTGATAGCCTCCAATGTTTGATCCTGTGGGTGGGATAGTTCCAGGTTAGATTTGATTGATCAATCAGATTGGTGATATGATGATGGCGATACATTACCACTTGGAGGAACAAGTAGAGTGATCACGGGATCAGGCTCAACATTGTGATCGATGGATGATTGAATGGAGTGTGATGGAGAGGATGATGAATGTCCACCACGTGACAGATGTGACAAGGTGGTGTTGGTGTTGATATTATGATTGGAGTTTGAAAGTGATGAGGCAGACGAGGACAAAGCTAATGTCCTGCCGCCAGTTACTGGTGATAGTGTTGATGATGTGGTTGATGATGGAAGAGGTGGAGGTGCTGGAGTTGGGGATGGTGGTGCGTCTGGAACATCGATGCCATCCTTTGACAAACGCATCAGTATAGTATTGACACTGATGATTGGAATCTTATGTGTAGTGGCACTGGACAATGGATACTTATTCTCCTCAATTGCCTCTGTTGTGGCAATAACAAAGTCGACCTGGATAAGTGTGAATGTGAGTGAGTGTGTGAGTGTTTTGATCATTCAGCCAGCCTAGCCAACTCGATCGATACAATCGATGATGACGTACAGTTTTGGCAAAGCGTTTGGCAACTGTTGCCTGATGTTTCTCAAAGTATGTCTTGAATGAGTCCTTTAGATGTGAAGGTACATCACATAGATATACAGTCTTTTGTTTGAAGGATATCTTCATACTTTGTGCCTTTGATTGATTGAGTATACAGATATGTACAATGAATGATATTTAGTAATATGATATTGATTGATTGATTGATTTGAATGAATGAATGAATGAATACAAATGTTATACTAATATATATTAATAATGTTTATAAACAAACAAATATATAAACAAAACAAAAAATTAATAACAGACAGAAGTTGATGAATAGACAGATCACCACTACTATTTAAAGGACAACAAAGGGGCTGGATCATGAAATATATATTAATATCATCTTGATTTAGCTGTTTTTACATAAATTTCACTGAACCTGTTGATAAATGACTCGATTGTATAGTTTTTCAAACACACTATTCATGAACAAAACTAATACACATGGAACTAACCAAGAAATTAACACAAAGCGCGGCACAGTTTTTATACTTTGAACAAAATATCTATTTAATCGGACTTCAATATTATATTATTGAACATTTTATTCATTTGACTGAATATTGATCATGATGATATATATATATGTATATAAAAGGATAAGAATAAGAGATTAGGTTAGATCGAATAATGATGATTTAAAGGATGACTAAGGTTCTGATTATAATGATGAAGTGATTCTGGAGTGAAACAGATTGATAAATTGATTGGTCAACAATTACTTGTCGCAATGTTTGACTTGACATTGGTCGACGTCGACCATTGTTTTGACCATAAAAGGTAATGTAACCCACACTAACTCACATTCATTGTTGTCTCTTGGGAGTTCTCACCCACTCACTCACTCCATTACCCATCCATTTCACACCCATGGACATTCAATCTTTGTCCAACTTAGAAGGAAGGAAGGATGAATGGTCGCTCGTGCATACTACCCCAAGACCAATGAAACTACATCGTCGTCGTCTGAGGTATTTAGTGTAAGTCTGTTCGCGCACTGAGTTTGACTCTATTCATTGGCCTGAAGCAAGGGTGTAGTCCAAGCTAGATGGATGTGTGAGTGAGTGTTAGAAAGTGTGCGCATTATGTGTGAGTGTGAATGTGTGTTGTTAGATAATCTGACGACATCCCCACCCCATTATATGACACTCATTGAGTGACAATGAACTAACAACAAGGACTTGGACACATTCCCCCCCAACACTCTCTCTTAATTACTTACACTTTCTAACACACTCTTATTCTTTCTAACATACTCACTCACTCACTCGCCCATTCACACATACTCTTCCACTCACTCACATTGAGAAGACATAGAGAGAGAGAGTCTTTGGACTTTGGTCAGACTTAGATTTACCATTCCACCCTCTCCACGAACTTGCCTCTACATGTACATAGACATAATCCACTCTATATATCTCAAATAATCCATTTCACGACTCGAGTAACTGTTTGATCTTCATTCATTGAATATCTAACTTTTTCTACTCAAGTCCATCCACTTATCAATCAATCACATACTCAACTTTAATCATAGAGGTCCAGGTGTCAGATAGTTAGTTATGTCCATTATTTATTAGTTCCACACAGGTTGATATTATTCAAATATATATATATTCTATATTTATTGTCAATTCAATGTCATTCGAACAGCAACATTCAGAAAAGAATGATTCTAGTAGTCTACCGGTACTCATTTCAACAGAGTATCCGTCATTAGACTGTCCTGCTACGTCTCCATTGGACCTCAATTCACCATGTTCAGATGAAGGAGTACCAATATCAAATGGGGATAAACTTTATTTATCCGATGTGTTGGTGCCCTTCTCATCAACTCCAAACGCATCATCCGAGTTGAAAGGTTCAATGGTAATTATTGTTACACCATCGATAATATCCACATTGTTAATACTAATCAATATTTAATCAAGTCATCGAGAAGACGAAGTCCTAATGTGCACAAGGATCACCTGATATGTTACAAGTGTAAGACCACTACAACTCCTGAATGGAGGAAAGGACCAGATGGACCTGCAACGTAAGTATTCTCCTAATATTGAATGATTAATTGATTGCTAATCGCTTCATTGAATAGACTGTGTAATGCATGTGGACTATCATTTGCCAAGAAGCTTAAGATGGAACAAGGAAAGTCCAAGCACTCTTCGAGCATCAGCTTTTCAAACAATATCATCCCGTTCATTCATGAGAACTTCACCAATGTGCCACCTTCAACGTTCATCCCAGTGTCTCAGGACTCCCAAACACAACAACAACTACCAAATATACAAGACTCATCACAAAGCCTCACTGTACATAGCATCAAAGACGAGGTCCACACTCCAACTCAAACACCAACTCCTCCCACGAATCAAACTCCAACTCAAATTCAAACTCCAACGACAACACCAACTTCATCACAAGCTCAGACTCCAACTCCAACTCCAACCCAAACTCAGACTCCGTCTGTTCCAACTCCAATTCTTCGTCCGACTGCGGTGGCACCAATCAAATCAGAATCAAAGTCTTCATCGAGCTCACATAACAAGAAGTCTTCAAAGTCTTCCAAGAAACCAAGCAAGGACAAGTCGCACACCTTCCATCAATATACCAATGCTCAGAATAGCCATAGTTACATCCCTCCGCATACTCAAGTGGTTATCAAGCACTCCAAGTCCAAGATGAAGTCCAAGTCAAAGTCAAAGAAGAGCAAGAAGTCCAAGCACCCAGTGGTTCCCGAGATCCTGAACATGCCCTCGTCCACCATTGGTCCGGAACCTGTCGTCTGCACTCCAACACTCATATGCACGAATCCTCCACCCCTGCCTCCAAGCTTCTCAAGCAGCAGTGATCGAGCATTCAATCTCGAGAGTCTAGAGACCGTTGCAACATTGCCCACCGATGCATGCCCTGGCAGGGACTCAAGCCCAGACGATCACAACTACATCCACTATATTGATCCAATAACTTCACAGACATGTTTCTTCACCTACCCGCTAAATGGACAACAGTATACCAACGACAACAACTTTTCAATCAACTATCCACCAGTGGAGCCTACTGCCTTCCACGTCTCACAATCTTATCAAACAACACCAAGTAACCTACATTATTCATCATCATTCCAAACAACTACCTCATCACAAGGTAGTTGCTATCAACAATCGATTGACTATCAACAACAACCACCACAACAACAATGTTATCCAATTCACCAATATCCATCCTTCCATATTTCCCAAGCATCTTTACCATCGCCACCTGACACTTCATCTGATATCATTGACATGGACAATAGTTACATCCACAACAACAATATCAACAACAATGTTCAACATGGCTATGTCGACTACAACATGAACAACAACAACAACAGCTATTACTCTCATTGTGTCCAACAACAACAACAACAACCAATCATCCAACATGGATACTGTGGTGGTAATGATATCGGTTACTCGAACCAACAATACGAGTCTGGACAACACTACTACACCTATGGCAGCACGTCCTTTGGTGGTCTGCAAATGGACACCCAGAGCTGGACGACGCCAACACCTCCCTCCTACATGGACGGCGGTCATCAACCGACCAACACACCAACCATGATGTACTATCCCGAGAGCGACTTCTCGATGGATGCCTTTGCCAACAACACCTCTCAATCACCATTCCAAGTGTCACCAATAATGAATGGTGCTCCATTGTAATCCATTGCATTGCAGACAACATCAATAATACACCGGCAGACCTTGTAGTCTGCCTTGATCTTATCAATAAAGCGAGTCGAGTTGTTGGAATCAATAAGTTAGTTAATGTTATTCTCGAGAAGAATGAGCAGGATGAGACATGTACAAGTGCGCGCTTCCAATGATGTGCTTGCTCACTGGATGTTCGCTTATTTCTTTCTGCAAAGTGTTGACAATAGAAGGTATTAGAAATGAGCGAGGATAGGTCGTATGAGTGAGGTTAAGCTTAACTTACAAAGATGTAGTCGGTGCATGGTATTGACCTGGTGCTTGGTATTGACCAGGTCCTGGCGCTGGTGTTGGCGCATGGTATTGTCCAGCTGGAGACGGTGCATGATACTGTCCAGGTGTTTGGTATTGACCAGGTGCTGCTGATGGTGCAGGCGCTGGCGCATGGTATTGTCCGGGCGCGTGATACTGTCCTGGCGCTGATGGTGCTGGAGCTGGAGTTGGTGCATGGTATTGACCTGGCGCATGATATTGACCGGGCCCTTGCTGTGCGCTGGTTGGGGATGGTGCCCTGGCGCCATACTGTCCAGGTGCTGGGTTGGGTGTTTGTGACTGTTGAGGTGGGGAGTATCTGAATGGTGCTTGTTGTGGAGGTTGCGATGTTGGTCTTGGAGGCTGTCTGGTTGGTGGAGGACCATACTGTCCTGGACCAACTGGCTGTGATGGGGGTGGCGCTGTCGCTGCCGCTGCTGTGGACGCAGGCGCTGGCACTGGTTGTTGTTGTGGAGGCGAGTATCTTGATGGGGGCGCACTTGGTGGAGTGGGACGAGCGGGTGGAGGCTTCTGGAATGAGTTTGAGATGGCAGCTTGATTCTGATAGTTCTCTGGCGCCGTACCAATGATCGACTTGACGGGGTTGTAGTAGGGTGGGTTCTTCTCCAAGAGGGAAGCGTGTGATTGATGGTTGGACGAGATGGACGAGAAGAGATAGCCAATGGACAGTATGATGTTTTGAAGTGGACGATCAAAGAAGGCCTGCTTGTCTTCAAACAGCTGCGACACCTCGCACATGGCCTTGTAGTTGGTGTTGTCGTAGGACTCCTTCTTGGAGTTGTAGAGGTTCTCCTCGGTGGGCAGCTTGGTGGGGTCCTTCTGCGGCTTCTCCTTGAGCTCCTTGATCTTGTGCGCGGCCTTGTCCACGTCGGCCAACAGAGTGTCGCGCTCAGTGATCGTGTCCTTTGCAAACTTTATCTTTGCACAATACTGTTGAATCATCTCATAATTGAGCTTCTGGCTCGTGACCCAATCATTGAACGAGTGTTCCAACTGTTTGTTAACCTCTGTCGCATAAACATACAATGGATGATCATTTGTAAATGATGTCAATATATTCTTATTCAATCCAGATGGATGTATGAATGATTCTATGATTTTGTTTGTTTGTTCATTAGTTAGTCATGGTTCACATTCAATCATTCAATCAATAATTCAATCATACTCTTTAAGTTCTTGTCATTCTTGATCAAAGCATTGTAGGTATTATTAACAGAGTCTGACAATGTAGCAAACTCACGTCTTGTTGTCTCAAAGTTCTGGTCAACAGTCTTTGGTCCACTTGAAAAGGCAGACACGACCTATTATGACGTGTCATTTAATGTTAGTATCTCTAAAATATTGATCAATATATTCAATCACATACATTATTCTTCAATTTACTTAAACTCTTCATTTGTTTGTGTTGTAATATTATCTGTATCAATATCTATGTATAATCAATATTTGCTTGTACTCGAATAATTTAGTTCGAACTAAACAGGGAGTAAGTACTTATCTGTTGTTTCCCCCACAACATTGTTTTGAATTCAAATAACATTCAAGGTCTTCTAAAAATTAGACCTATTTGATGGATGTACCCCCTAATTCGTCTTGTCGATCACTTTCAAACACACATCACAAAATCAAACACACACAACAGTTTTATCACTTTTAGAGTTTTCTTTGGAATGATGGTCTTGGTTCCCTAGGCGCCCAGTGATATAACCATCATAATCTCCTTTCAATTAAGATTTATTTGTTGAACAAACAACACACACAATCATCACACCTTTATTTGATTGTTGATTCCAAAAATGGTAAACAATATATATATCAGTTATATTACAATCACACAATTGTACATTCATCTACCAACCATTCATTTATTTGTAATGATTTCACTCAATTATAATTAAAGTTCTAATCCATGTTTAAGGTTAAACAATAAGATTGATTATGGGTCGCTAAGTAAATGAATAACTTTCAAAAGTGTGGTAACGTTATTTTCCAACGGTTTGTTGTATTTTCAAACTTTGACTCACCAATTCGTCAATGAACTTGAATCCCCAAACAGATAAGATAAAGTAAATATATATATACATATAAGTAAAGATATTATTATATATATTATATATATTATATATTATATATAATAATATACTTAATAATAAACAAACAATAATGAAGAAGAAGTATAAGACCAAGTTCCCAAGAGAACGTATCAAGAAGATTATGCAAAAGGATGAAGAGATTGGAAAGATAGCATTGGCAACACCTATATTGATATGTACGTATATATTGATTGGTTGATGCATGTACTTACCAGGCATGGCATGGCATCCTAACAATCAAACAAACAAACACAGCGCAATGTCTAGAGTTATTCATGTGCGACTTGATTCAAAAGACTTGTAAGATAACACAGAGCAAGAATGGAAGAACGATGCAGGTATCTCATCTGTATGTATATGTACCCTTCACTCATTCATTCATTCAATCAATCAATCAATCAATCAATCATATCACTTACACGTCTCAATCAATCAATCAATCAATCAAACAAACAATCAAACAGAAAGACATGTATAAAACAAGAGTCAATGTTTGATTTCTTGTTGGATGTTGTTGAGAAGGTACCGGATAATGATGAAAAGTCAGAGAGGAAGGGAAAGAAGGATTTGGAAGAGGAAGAGGATGAAATGGATATGGGCGACGATGAGAGTGATAGTGATAGCGATGATAGTGATGACGATGATGATGATGACGACGACGATGCTCCTTCATCATCACGCGGTCGTGGCAAGCGTGGCAGAGGTAGTGCTGGCGGTCGAGGCAGTAGGGGCGGAGGCAGGGGACGAGGCCGAGGTGCCAAGGCAGCCCCAACATCGCCCGTCCACACATCAACTTCGTCGACTTCGACGACGACCACGACCACAACATCCACATCGAACCCATCGACACCACCTCCACCAGCAAGAAAGAAGAGAGCAGCAAACAAAGACAAAGAATCACCGGCCCTGACCTCATCAGCAGGGTCAGTGCCACCAATGATGTCTCAGATCAATCGTTCAATCGAGGGACTGGCACCCAGTCCAGCCATTCATTCAATGGCCCCAATGCAACAACTGCCACAACAACTTCAACAGCAACAGCATCAGCAGCAACAGTATCAGCAACAACAACAACAGGTTATGCCAACATCACCAGTTGCGCTTGGTAGCAGTGGTATCTTGAGTAGCTTCAACTCGTCATCCTCAATACTTCCTCCCCTTTCATCATACGCAAGCATGGTCAGCAACAACAACAACAACAACAATAGCAACGACATGCACTATCCCAAGCTCACATCATCAATCGACTTCTTCACATCAGGCACAATCTCCTCCTCGACTACACCCAACCTCCTCTCTTCTTCCTCCTCAAACAACAACAACAACAAGATGCTATTACATCTCAATCCAATTGATTCATCACCATCCACTTCATCAATGCATCTTCCAAGTCTGATGGCGACGTCGCCACTCAATCATCATCAACAACATCTTCAACATCATCACATCAAAACCGAACTGAATGGTAGCAATGGCAGTGGAATGGGCGGATCATCATCATCAACAACATCCTTACCCACCCTTGACAACAACAACGACAACAGCATCAACAGCAGCATCAAACCAAGCGCTGGCATCAGTAATAGTAGTGGTGGACTCAACTTCTTTAGCCTTCTCAACAACAATCCATCGACGCTCACCTCACTACCAAGTCTACACAGCAGCAGCAGCAGCAACAAGACGACACATCTCAATGATCTATTAAACATCAAGAAGCCGTCGACCAATGTAGAAGAGGACAACTACGACGAAGAATAGAATAAAATTTTGCAAACTGGCCTGCCTCCGTCAGCCAGTCGCGACACGGGTCGAGGTGAGTGACCTTTCAAACATTCAGTCAATCATTCAATTCATTCCATTCAATTCAATTCAATTCAATTCAATTCCAACAAATAATAACTAATGATCAAAGATGGATAGATGCGAGACACACAACAAGCAGTTAAAGTTGGTATGCTTGACATGCAAACAGTTGATTTGCTCCAACTGTATTGCATCGTCGCATAATAGACATGACATTGATGATGTCCTCAATATTAGACAGTCGTTGAATGAGGGTCGTAGTAGATACGCCTTTCGTTCAAAGTTGTTGTGGGACACTATTCAAGCATTGTCCACTACGTACGATGAGCTGACTTTGACCAAGTCTGTCATTGCCAATCAATTCAAAGAGCTACACGAGCTACTCGTCATCCAAGAGCACAAGCTACACTCGCCAATCAACACCGAGTTGGACAAGATACAATCATACTCCAAAGACATTGTAAAGGAGTTGATTGATATACACTACATTGTCAAACTATCAAGTCCTCCAAGTCCAACAAGTACAAGTACGAGTCCAAGCCCAAGTCATGGATCATTCAATCATGTTCATGATGATGATGCTGATACTGAGATGGACGACACAAGCAACTCAACAAGATTGATGAGAACGATCAAGTCAAGCCCATCACTCGATCACTTTATCAAAGTATCAACCGAATCGAACATTGACATGGCTACATTGTCAGAGGATATACAACTGCTGAGGGTTGTACAACAGAGTGCCCATACGCTGGAGACGTCCTATCCATTGAGGAAAATACAATCCTCGCATTTTGAATACGACCGAGCTACGATGGACCGTATAAAGGCCGACCTTCAGTTCGCCTTCAAACTGTGCTCTCTGCCAATGATCAACGCGCCATCTGGTTACAAGGGCCACTTGATCACCAACTCTAATCGAGGTGTCTCTCTGTTCAGCCCGCAGTGGGTGCCAAAGCTCTTCCCTCAGTCGGTGCCATGGACATGGAAGGACTTGCTGGACAAGGAGACCGACCCCTATCGATGTTTCAAATCCATGGTTTACGGCAGAGGCAACGTCCACATCTTTGACGCCGGGGTCTACACCAAGGCATCACTGCCAGACCTCAACAAGAGTATGTCCTTGCCTGTGAAGAATCCATACTTGCAAGACAAGACGGTAGCTTGCTACAATGGACATTGTCGTATCTATATGATCGGTGGCAACACGCGTTCCGAACATATCAACTACTTGGACATTGATACGGGCAAGTTTGGAATGTTTCCAAAGACCGTGCCAGCACTGCCATTGATCCCGTACACCTTCTTCCATCGAGGCAAGATATTCATTGCGGGTGGCATCGTCAATGGTGCAGGCTACTCACCCACCATCATCACTGTTGACACTCAAACACTGCAAGTGGAGACGTTGATCAAGGCAGACTGGCTGAACAGAATGAGTGGATGTTGCTTCGATGGCAATGACACCATATACTTGATTGTAAAGGATGGTTTCTACTCATTATCATTGTCAACATTGGCGTATAACAAGCTGGCACCAAAGCCATCGGCCAGCACATATAACTGTCTACACTACATTCACAATCAAGGTATAGTACACGTTGGACCATTTGGTGAGCATGGCGTATATTCAATCACCAACAACAAATGGATTGTTAACAACAGTTCAGAGATAAGAGTAGACTACCTCTGTCTCATTGGTGACTAGACTAGTCTAGTCGTAGTGTATATCCACGTTCAATAAACCAAGTCTATCAATCAAACCGAGGGTTTGGGTTAGGGCGAGGGCAAGGGTTTGAAAACTTGTGAACAATTGTCATTCATTCAAACTTGTAATTAAAGATAGATATTAAGATAGAGATAGATAAAGAGAGATGAGGAGAGGAGTCGGAATACAGGCTATACATAAACAAAGCCAACATCAGAAGCAGCTGCAGAATATAAGTGAACAGTTGTCAACTGATCAATTAAAGAAGGTCAATGAACAGTTGATCACCTTTAAGAACAATCTAGAGGAGTTTGCACTCAAGCACAAGAAGGACATCATCAAGAACCCAGAGTTTAGAAAGCACTTCCAAGACATGTGCTCTACAATAGGTGTTGATCCATTGGCTTGTATGTTGATGTTCAACACCTTATCATTCATTCTCATTCATACTAATTCATACTTAATAGCCAACAAGGGATTCTGGAGTCAAGTGCTTGGCGTTGGAGACTTCTATTATCAATTGGCTGTACAGATCATTGAGGTCTGCTTAAAGTATCGCTCAACTAATGGTGGATTAATAGAGTTGACTACACTGACAGAGCATATAAGAAAGATGAGAGGCAAGTCTGCCAACGAGATTAGCAAGTATGTTGGTTTGAATGATTGATTGAATGGACGATTGAATGGATGGATGATTGATCATAAGGTCTAACAACATGACATGGCATACTCATTAAGTGATGATGTTGAGGTATCAATATCAAAGCTAAAGGTACTTGGCAATGGATACAATATATTCAAGATAGATTCAAAGAAGATAGTGCAATCAGTACCAGTTGAACTGAACAAGGATCATACTGAGGTTCTGATCAAGGCACAAAGTCATAATGGTTCAATCACCGCTGCACAGCTGGCCAAACTTGGCTGGAACGAACAACGTATCAACAATGTATTGGTAGGTGATGCAATGTCCAGACTCATCCAATCAAGTTACTGACAACAATCCAACTACAACCACAACAGGATGTATTATTAACAGAGGGAATGGCATGGATTGATGATCAAGCGGATACCAAGGAGAGATTGTATTGGTTCCCAAGTCTTTGGTCAAACACTTTCGAAAGCTAATGGACTTGGATGTCTTGGCGATAAGCGATGATGGACATCACGCTACAAGCTCAGTTCAATACAGATTGGCTCGAACGAATGTATATATACATTTATTACATTACGCACATGTCTGTTATGGCTGGCGCGGTGTTGTACATGATTGATTGATTGGTTGTCTGTTGGCTTGCTGGCTGGCTGGCTGGCGCTGTATTCAGTCAGCCACATCCACTGTTCTCTCTCGCTCTCTTTTGCAAGAATCTAGAGGCTTCTGCTATCTGCTGTCCGCTACTCATGCTCCTCTCTCTTGTTGTTCGATATTGTCTCTTGACCTTGTTCATACTGCCTGTCTATCCTCTGTAGGTGAATCCAATCTTGCTGCCTTTGGTGCTGGTTCGCTTTGCGCCGGCTGTGGACCACTTGCTGCTGGCCGCGCTGCAGCTTTGATATGTTGAGATGGACTTGTCATTCGAACCGAACCAGATGAATGAGTCGCCACCCTTGAGGTTGGGCACTTCTAAAATAGCCGACACGGCATCGGCATGATTGCCCTTGATCTCTGTCGTCACTTCTCTCGACTTGGGCTCCCAAAGACGCACACAAATGTCCCATGTCGATGACCAAACCTCGCGTCCAATCGTAGCCAACACAAACAACTTGTCCCATCCATTGTTCTCTACTCTGTGCATTAGCTCATAAGTCTTGATTGATTGATTGAGGTATTTGTCGTTAGTCAATCATCCTGCAGTCATGTCGATATCGCGCTACACATACATTGGCATTGATGATCTGAATGGTGCCCTCGTCTCCACCGACCCAAACGGCCTCGTAGTCATCGGTCTCGACGTAGGCGATACGCTTGGGCCTGCGCTCAGACAGCTCGGTCTTGTGAAGGATCTCCTTGGTGTTGACATCCCAGACGTAGAGCAACTTGTTGGAGGAGCAGCCCCACATCCTGGTCTTGCCCACCCTGCATAGCGCCAGGATGAACATGTTCTGGTTGAAGATATCCGTGCTGATTGGTCTGATGGGTGCTGTGTCGGCGGTGGTGGGCACGTCGGCCAGACGATAGATTGAGATGACCTGGTTGCCAGCCACCCACATCTCGCCCAGTTGCGACTCGCAGATTGAGAAGGTCTCGCCTGGTATCTCGCCAATCAATTTGCCGTCAAGACTCCAGATGCTGGTCGACTGTGATGTGGCCGTCCAGATGGTATCGTTCGATGCGCCAACCATTGAGTAAACAATGGCACCCTGCTCACATATCGAGAACTCGTGGAGTAGTTGGTTGCTCTGTGAGTCCCATACCTTGAGCAGTCCCAGAGTGTCTAGACTGCACACACGCTTGTCCTGGTCGACCAAGGCCAGCCATTGCACCGACTTCTTGTGTCCAAGCATCTTGGTCTGGAGTGTGAGCCTGCCGTTGATCGATGGCAGTGGCTCCTCGAACAACTCCTTGTAGTTGACGATGAGTGCCTCGGCCAGGTTGTTGACCTTGTCGCTGGTGGCCTGCAGCTGATACATATCGACGTTTGACGTCTCCTTGCGCCAGAAGAGGTTTGGTCCAAAGATCCTGCCCAGGTTGGAGTGGTTCATGAGATTAACATGCGCGTTGGATGACACCATCGTCAGGAAGTGTACGAGATGCTGCAACAGTGTCTTGTTGTTCTCTGGCAGCTTGACTAGCACCTTCTTCAGCGTGTCCAGCGAGCCATTGACGACCTGATCCGAAGCGGCCAAGAATGTGTCGTAGAGTGCGTTGGTGCAGATGGGCTCGGGCAGCTCCCTCAGGAAGATCTTTACCAAACTTGTGATGACGTGATGGTTCTCATCCTTGGCCATTTGAATGTCACCCTTGTCAACGGCGGCCTTGCGCGACACAACATCCGCCTGTGATGCCGATATACGGAACAGTCCCTCAATGGCCAAGCCATTGACAAACAGGTGTTTCAGCGCGTTTCTTATGAACACTGGGATGCGTGATGATGGGTCGGACTTTTGGCGATCCATCAATGTGTCGAGCGCCACGCCAAAGAACTTGGGGTCGTGGGGCACGACGTTGGGTGCGGGCGCTGGCGCTGCATCCTTGTTGCCAATGGCATCCTTGCCAAGGCCTATATGTGTGGGTGATGATGTTGCTGGTGATGAGGTCGACGGTGAGTCCTTGGACTTTGATGATGGCGATACGATCGATGGTGATGACGATGATTCCTTTGACTTGGATGTTGAGAATGATGGTGTGGAAGTGGATGCCGCGTCCTTCTTTGACAATGTTGGCGATGCCAACTTTCCAAAACTCGATATTGGTACTGGCTTGAGCTCTGCTGCTGGCACTTGCTCTTTGGCAGAGGACTCCTTTGACGCCTTTGATGACTCCTTTGACGACTCCTTGGCGTCCTTGGACTCCTTTGCTGACTCTTTAGAGTCCTTTGACGCCTTTGATGATTCCTTAGACTCCTTTGTCGACTCCTTTGACTCTTTGGAGTCCTTTGATGACTCCTTGGACTCCTTAGAGTCCTTGGTTCTTAAATTGCCCAAGCTGAGATTAGACAAACTCTTCATTGAGGCCTGAGCCATACCCAATGCCAATGCTTTCCTCAGTGTTTCTTCTTCCTTCTTTGCTTTTGTCTGTGTGTGAGTGATTGATTGATTGGATTGGGGCCTAGGTTAGATCAGTTGGATCACCATCAATGACATCTTTATCATCCATCATACATTAATCTTTGTGATGAATGACTTTAGTGTTTCGGGTGTGCCTTCGAGACACTTCTCGTATTGGTTGCCATTTGACTCTACAATGAGCCTTAACTTAATCTTTCCTTTGTGGACACCTGATGGTGCACTTAAATATGCATCAATATCCATGTGACCCATTGTTGTATATCTGTTCTGAATCTAAGTAATATAGAATATATATAAATATATATCTTAATGTAGGTTTGGTTGTTGTAAATAGGGTAATGAATGAACTGTAATAATAACAAGTTAAAGAAAGAGAGAGTGAGTGGCAACAACGTCTGGAAAAGACGGTAACGTGTATGTATGAATAAATGATGATGATATGTTTTGTTTGTGTGTATGTATGTCTAAGCTAATATTGGCGTCGACGTCACTGCCATCCATCCTACCCATCACGATCAAAACACATACACACTTATCGTTTGTGAATCTCAGTTGTTTCCATGACCCCCGATGGCCCACACACCTAGGGATCTTCCTCGAACGGCTGGCGAGTGTGATCGATCAATCCATCACTTTGAAAAATGACACACTCATGGGATGCAAGATAGTTGTCTATCTGTCGCTGAGTGTCGGATGGATGGTGGATGGCTATTCACTAGCATCAACAGATAGACAACTCTTCAGCTTTGAATCCGAAGTGGAGTGTGTGGGCATTGTTGTTGTGGATGTCTTCTCGCAGTGCGGTGGTGGGTCCATCAATGGATGACAATGACACCTGTCAACTCTTCATTAGGTTGGTTGCCACTTAAATGTACAGGATGTGTTTGGCAATAGCGTTCGTAGTTGCCTTGCCCTGGTCTGTTTATTGAATAACAACAACACTTCCTTGTACCAACGAAGCTAGGAGCTACACCATCATAGGTGAGTGAGTGAATGATTTGAGTGAATGTAGTTCGTCTAAGCTCAATAACAGACTGACGAATGATACTGTTGTAGCAAGTATCAACAAGTACTCAATATGTTGAGTGTGATTGATTGACTTTGAATGATTGATTGTGCTTCATCGTGCTCAATCAGTTGTAGACACTCTACTACCTCGTCTCGTCTTTAGATCATATCCATGCCACCAAAGTACTTGAATACTAATCAAACATGAATGTAAACGTAGTCATTAGTCATTGTTCATTAGTCACAACATCATTCACAGGTTGGTGTACATACTCCTTGATATCAACATCTTGCCCAATGTCAATCCTACAGCTGCAATGAATGAATGATTGAATGAATGAATGATTGACGTAGTCCCAGGGGAGGAGTTAGTTAAGGCAAGGGTTGACGACGTAGTCCTTCTATCGGCATGACGACGATTGACGAGTGTAAATGCAATGATCACATTACCAAAGACTACTATCTTGTTAGACTTGTGCTGTTCCCTCTTCTTCTCCCTCTTTGATTTCACAACGGTCACTTCTGGGTTGAACATAGTCTATATCCTGTCTGTCCGGCTGTCCTGTCTGCTGTCTGATTGATTGTCGATGATATTAATGTATCGCGAAGTGCACACTTTGATTGATTGAATGATTGATTGAGAGTGATCACGTGAATGAGTGGGAATGGGATCACGAGCGAGAGTTTCAATCTCAAACACGCACTTATGATGAAGGTCCTTCCTGGTGGAAGGGGGCAGGACAAGGTGCTTGGAGGATGGGAATGTGGATTGGTTGATGGATGTTTGGATCGATTGTGACCCTTCTGTAACCTAACGACATTCCTAATTAGGTACAGGTACGAGGCAAAGACCGTCCGACATACCGACCCACCCAAAATGCCAAGCAAATAGTTAGTTTGAATATAACAAGCCAAGTTACAAGCGTAGGGACATCCCATGTTTAAAACATAGTATAAGTCTCTAACTTAGGGTCATGGCGTTATTCCATCGTCATGTGTTATCATTGGGTCCTAATGCCAATTGATGGCGACAGTTTACTGGATAAAGTAATGTGATCACAAATGTTTGCAGTGTTCGATGAAGTGAATGATCGACCCTGTGTGTAAATTTATGTTGACCAAACGATCAATAGGTAATACCGATAAATATCCTTTAACTTGGCACACGTACAGTGTCAGATGTGTGTTGTTCATAAGACCCTATGATTTGGTGATGGTACCAGTGATTGTATGAATAGCGCGATGCCAAGAGTAAACAATCACATACCAACATACTCCATTCTCACCATCATAAAATAACTTTGTTTATTTTATCGTCGTGTCGGGGCAGAATGTTCTTGTACTTTGATTGCGACCTCTGGAAGGCACACCAGAAGCGAACAAGCGTTGATCATTTGTGCCATCAACCACATCACCCCCAAACCCCCCAACATTTGCTAATGGGCGGTCCACTTCCCAAATCACCTCCAATCACATCCTTCCTTGCTCCTACTACCTAAACAACAAGTTGCCCACACAATGACCATTTTCTTTATTTAATTAATAACGATAGCCGATCACAACCTAACATTCTACATCTCATCCCTGTTCATTCTAGCATCATTCTTCAACAACTATAAATTAAGCACACTTAGATTCTATTTTGTTGTCAACATTACATTCATTATTATTTGTATCACTTCACATCACACACTCAATCAATCAATCAATCATTCAATCACCACTTTACTTTGATCAATACCATCAAACACACACACACACTAACAAACAAGTAATCGGACTTGACCTCTTTTAGGCAACATCTGACTTCTACTTCGGTCTTGTTCCAAACATTCCCCGCTTACACACTCACTCACACACTGAAAACAAGATTCATCGTTCGAAGCGACCCGAATCAACACTTCAGTCTAACACTCAACCTCTCAATTAATATCCCAAAGTGTTGACAATCCCCTACCCTCACACTCTATCATTACATTCATTTACATTCACTTATATTACTTACACATAACTTAATTATACATATATATTATATATACAATGGCACATGATACAAATGAGTCAACCTTGGACACTGTCGTCTATGACGATGGTGGCAAGAAGTTTGTCGACGACGACGAGTACAAGCCAATCATCGACCAAAAGTTGGTAAGTTACAGACTACAGTCACAACATAGTGGAGTAGGCTTCATACATCATGATGCTGACTATGTAGTACCTACCAAACCATAACAGGATGTTAAAGTAGCTATTATAATGGTGTTGTTGGGCACTGGCTACCTGTTCCCATTCGAGAGTTACTTGCTTTCGATGGACTACTTCACCGTGTTGTATCCAAAGTACAACATCTACTCGTCTTTCCCTTTTATCTACATGGGTGCCATCTGTATCACCTTCCTGTTCTTCCTCAAGTTCCCCAACTTTAGCTCACACAAGCGTCGTATGATCTTTGGATTCCTGTTCTATGCACTGATCATGATTTTGGTGCCAGTGGTCAACCTCACTGGAATCCGTGGATCGGTCGAGTCCTACGTCATCACACTCATCCTCATCACCATTACAGGTGTAGTCGATGGCTTTGTCCAAGGTACCATCTATGCCATTGCTGGTCTGATGGGTCCACGTTACACTCTTTTCACTCAAACTGGGTATGTACCATTGATTGGAATCATTCCAACCATCATCCATGTGCTTAATAACTGACTTCCACTCTTTCTCTTCATCTTTTGTTCCTTCTACACTAGTGTCGGTCTTGCCGGTATCATTGTCGTTATCACCAGAACAATCTCCAAGGCTGCCCTGCCTCATGATGGAGAGAAGAATGTGCTGATGTTCTTCTTGATCTCTGCATCAATTGTTCTTATCTGTCTCGGATCATTCCTTTACTTGCTCACATTGCCAGTCGCCAAGCAGCTGCATATCAGACAGTCGGACCAGGCCGCTCAGGAGGAGGAGGAGGAGAAGCCAAAGGCCAAGTTGTGGCCAATCGTCAGAGTCACCTGGCAGTTGGGTATGATGAACTTCTTCATCTTCTTGCTGTCCATGTTCATCTTCCCAGGCGTTGTCTTGCGTATCACTACCACCCAGATGGACGGCGGCTGGTTCGCCATCACCCTGCAGGCCACCTACAACCTGTTTGACTTTATCGGAAAGACCTGCCCTGTCTTCATCCATGAGGATGGCAAGAGAATCCCATCCTACCCAGTGCTCTGGGCCATCACCATTGGACGTTACATCTTTGTCGCCCTGTTCTTCCTTTGTGTCTACACCGAGATCTTTAAAAACATTGCCTGGCCAATCGTTTTCCTTGTCATCTTCTCATTTACCAATGGATACACATGCTGTAAGTAGTAACACGACACTGTACTCCAACAACCAATCCAATCATCTCACTAATACATTTGTCACGCACGCCATCCATCTCTATCATTAGCCATTGTCATGTCCGAAGGTCCAAGAATTGTAAAGAGAGACCAGAAGGAGAGAGCTGGAGTGTTCATGGTAAGTAGTGTCTTTGACTCTGATCGATGTTTGTTGGCACCTTCATTAACATACTCAATCAATCCCATTCCATTCTTCCACCAACACAGACAACAATGTTGATCATTGGACTTACCCTGGGCTCCGTTGCCAACTTTATCTACTCTACCCTTAAGCCTCAAGTCTGGGCCTAAGACGAGTTATATACATATACATATACATAATAATCACTTTATCACCTATCCACCTCTCAACTCTTCACTCTTCACCAACTACCACAACTACTCCAACTCCAACTCCTCTTTTGTCAACTCCTTGATAGCAGCCAGCCTTTGACAATCTACAACATATAAATATATGATTCGAATCAGCATAGCCATGTGGCATGGTTAGTTAGTGACCTTTCCGCCAGCCTGCCTACCAAGCCCTGCCACCCCACCGCCAATAAACAGGGTACAAGTGGACGATTTGCCGAATAATCGGCACTTACGTCTCAGTAGTACTACGTACATCCCTTAGTTGTTCAGAGCTGGCGCATATCTCCTCCATGGATGCGTTGGTCTTGTGTGTCATATCGGTCATGTCGTCCAGCGTTGATATAGTCAGGTCTGCTCTCTCGATCAGCTTGCCAAATGCCTTGTTGTTCCTTTGATTCTTGACAATGACAAAGTTGTCATGTACATCCTCCTTCATCATCTGCTCCTCTACAGCGGCACGAACTTTCAAACTCTGTAGTTCCTTGTTATGAGGAGGTTGAGAGTGTCGACTTGTCGTTAATGTGGATGTCGACCGGTTGTTGACCCCTACTATTTCCTCAACTGTTAGTGGACGGCCTGGTTTAGTTGGAGGGATTGTTGGGGGCTTGGTGGGGATGGCTGTTGTTGCTGAGGGCACTGTCATATTCTTTGGCAGCGATGTGGTGGTAGTGTTTGTTGCCTTTGGTTCTGGTTTGTCAATATCCATGCCATCGGATAGGAAGGATGATTCATTGAATATTTCTAAATGTAACATTCCATTGTTAATTGAACAACTAACCTTCTACTTACAACTTCTTCATACTTACTCTTTGTTGGAGCCTGTATAGAGGTATTGTTCTTTGTTATCTGACTTGATCTTTTACCGTGACCAAATAGACCTCTTGGATTCGGGATAATTGTGGATGCTCCACCAAGTGGTTTCTTTCCCTTCTCAATATCCATTATTACTACATCACTTGGTCCATCTATCTTTCTTGGTTCATTTGTAGACTTAGTCTTTGACACACCGACCTTCATTGTCTTTACATTTGGATCTTTATTTCCAACAGCTTCCAACTGGGACTTCCTTTGTTTGAATAAACTTATCTTGTCCATTCAATCAATGCCTGTACATCTAAATAATAAGTAAGTAGTAGTAATAAATAGAGATAATAATAAGTAGTTGGTGTGAGCATGAATGAGTGGAGTGAGTAGGAGAGAGTGTGTAGGATGAATACTTCTTCCAAGTATGGTGAGCATCACCTTATTAGGTAGTTGTTCGCTTAAGGATTCAGCGTACTTATTGGGTAGCGCTGGCAATGTTTATTCATAATGATGGATAAAGGATGTAGAAAGAAAGGTGTAGGAAGTGGGAGGGAGGTAGATGCGTGGAGAAGAGGACATCTCAACTCCTTGTTATTGTAGTTGTAATAATAATAATAATAATCACGCCATGTTAATGCTATGCTGTATGTGTAATGGTTTGGACGGTCGGCCCGTCCCTTATAAGTAGTATGAATGAATATGATTGGTACGTCATTGAGGGTACTGTACATTATAGACACATCAACCAATAATGCTCTGTTGCTGTTGCTGTTGCTGCTGCTGTTACTAGCTAACTAACTAGTTCTTGCTCATCTAGAACAACCTGTTATAATTCTTGTTGTTGCCCTTTCCATTATCCTTGCCATTGGGATTGGTGTTGGGATAGTAATCGAATGATTCTGCATTGGACTTGATGTCGGCCAGATCAATGGATTCATTGTTGATCTGGACCAGAGGCGAGTAGAAGGGCGGCAGATACTCCTTGCCCGTGTACTCTTTGAGCGACATGCACTGGTCGTGGAAGTGGTCCTGGTTGAGCAGTGCCTCGTTCTCATCGTAGGTGCACAGCACACCATAGCGAGACTTGTCCAAGAAGAGAGAGTCCACATAGTAGCCATAGATTGCGGTGAAGATGACGGCGATGGCCGTCAGGTTGCCCCAGTAGAACTTGTAGAGGTTGAACACGCCAATCATCAGAAGCTGGTATATCAGCAGGCCAATGATCGTGCGTCTGAACACGGACGGGTAGAGACGGCCGCCCGTCTGGTAGTTGGGCGTGTTGACCCAGACAATGTTGTACTTGCTGAACAGGTACGTGACGCCAAAGTACCAGGCGCCAAAGAGCAGGATGAATGGTGTCATTGTCGAGTATGCCAGGCAGATCTGGAGGATGAGCACGTTGCGCGAATAGAAGATGTAGTAGGGGAAGCCACCTATGTGCGAGATGTCATAAAACTCGCGTGGAGTCAGAGCCTTCTTCAGCTTGCTCTGGCGGATCATCAGTGGGATGATTCGGCTGATGCCCATCACGGCTGTGCACGCCGACAACATTGTCAAGTTAATCATCTGGTTGGCCTGGCCTGGCAACGAAGCCGCCAGCATCGATATGATTGAGGATGGGCTGTTAATGATGGTCGCGATCGAATCAAAGATTGAGCCAACAATTGATGATCCAAGGAAGACGTTGAATATCTGGAAAAGGAACAACTTCCTAAACACTGTAATTTGGAGAGGTTAGCAACCTGGTGTCGTAGGCTAACAATGCACACATGCTCGCTACTTACCAGACTTGTCAATGTCAGAGCGAGAGAAGTGTCCTTGTACTTTGGACATCTTGGTAAGGATTGGAATGAGAATGATCATGGCAAGGATGAGGAGGACGTTGGTCATGACACCTTCGAGGAAACCGAGCATGACAGGGTTCTCCTTGATGAAGCGCAGCACCCACTGGAAGGCGCCGAGTTGGGACAGCGACGAGATGTTGCTCACACCAGCAATGATACCAATGGGGATCATCCAGAAGAAGACCATGAAGAAGATGGCAATGCCAATCTCGATGGAGCGCACCCAGAAGTTGGTGTACGACATGTCGATATTGGGCCAGTAGATGTCCGACGGGTCGATGCCCGAGTAGCGCACCATTTTGAATGGGTGGCCCTTGTCCACGATGACCTGCTCGGCGATCTTGGCCGCCGACTTGGTCGTGAAGATGACAAAGCCGCAGCGGCCCTCCAGCGACAGACTGTCCTGCGCGCTCAGCTTCTCCACCTGTATCTCCCTGTCCAACTCGTTGATCTTCTGCTGATAATAGCCGAGTGCATTGCGGCGGTTACCAAAGCGACCGAGAAAGCCGTCGCGCACGTACTCTGTCTTGTTGGTGCGCTTCTCGCGCTCGGCGATGTGGTCGTACAGCTTGACGTAGCCCTCGCGCTCCTCGATCTTCTTGTAGACGGCCGTCGTCTGGACGATGAGCGCGACCTCTTTGATCTGGCCGGGGAACAGATGGTCCATGTGCGAGAAGAAGTCCTCCTGCGTGAACAGGTGGTTGGGGATGTCCTTGACGTAGATCGAGTAGTTCATCAGACGGTCCTGGTTCTTGAACTGGATGCGGCGGTTGGAGTAGTCCTTGTAGTCGTAGAAGATGAAGTAGCACACGACGAGCGTCGTGAGGAACGTGAAGAACACGTGCACCCAGAGCGTCTTCTCGCCCTGTGCAATGTTGGTCATCGATATGGTCGACAGTCCCACCACCTTGCTCTCGTCAGGTGCGCGCGTCTCATTGAACTTGCCCATGTAATTAGTTGGATACAATCCAATGGCCGTCAGAATAGCCATCAGTAACATAATATAGAAGCTTGAACGAACGTTGCGTAGATAGCAGTATGCGTCCTGATTGATTGATTGATTGATTGATTGATTGATTGAGTGAGTGTGGAGTGAGGATGTTAGTTAGTGCGACTGCACCGCGAGTGAATGATTGAGGTGGAGAGTGCATACCAGACCAGAGGATGCTATGATCTTCTCATTGCTGAATCGAAGAGTGCTCAATACCCAACCAAATAGGGATGATGAAGGCGGTGTGTCAATGCCATGATGTTGATGTTCATATCGATATTGATAGAGTTCCTTGTACTTGGGCCGCAGGAATATAAACACAAAGAATATAAGGCTTGATATAACTACGTTGGTGATCACTGTTTGTTGTTGGTTGATTTGATTGATTGAGTCAGTGAGTGAGTGAGATGTCGTGTCACGCATATGGGTCATCATCGCCAACAACCAACACCTACGGGAGACTACAAAGGCCTCATCGGCGACCAAGTATGGGTTGGCAAGATTGTCCATCTTGAATGAATGAACTCTAATCAATCTGATTGATGTGATCTAAAGTGCAAGGGTCGCGCACACTTCCTCCTTTCCCTATTTATGTTTGATTGTTTGTTCGTTGTTCAACGGAATGACTATTCTGTATGTATTAACTTCTATCTGTTGATTGGATTGGATTGGATGATGGAGGTGTGTCGGAGTGGATCGGATAGATAACTATGTTCTCCAGAGATGTTGTTGGAAAAAGATGATTGTCGTCGCACTCAATCGCCACTCTGCCTCAAAGATGATGGAAGTATTGTTGTCAAAAGTGGGCTTTTGTTATTTGTTGTTGTTGCGTGGGCAACAGCGTAAGAGACAGACATGTGGTTGGGGCATTGGTGGGGCTAGGTAAGGGCACTCACTTGTTTGATTGATTAACCCCACACTCATCTTTGGACCATACGCAGACTCGTGTTCTTTTTTGATTGTCGTCTAACTAGTCAATCACCCATCAACCTTTGAATTTGATCAATTTTGTCAATTATTTGTTTTGGACTTTGATGGAAACAACCTTTGAAAAGTCCTAGGACTGTAGGGTTGGGCTAAGAGTTGCGAGTGTTGGCGAGACTTGCTTACTTATTAGGTGATACAGACTTGTTTCTTACATCGTTTAATTAGTAGAAGGGACTTGTGTGTGCGTACCGAACAAGTCCAACGAAAGATCCAAAGTCGCGACCACCCCATCATCTCACCCTACACATCATAATCAAGGTAGTCCTGGTCTGTGAATGAGTCATGGTTCCCCAGCCCGATCGGTGCTTGATCCCAAGTTCCGAAGAGGTCTTACAAACAACTTCCAATGAATCGGAGTTCGATGATAGTTTGGATGTCGGACTTTGGTCGAGTGAGTGAATGTGATTGGAATGATTCCAGAGTGATGATTGTTATTATACAATATATTCGGTTTGTTTATTGTTGATTGGTGTATATATAACATGATGTATCCTAGGATGTGGCTCCCATGCTGATGGTCCACGGTGGCACTTCCAACTCACTACCTCGCTCACTTCAGAGAGACAATGGTAGGTCCTCATCCTCCTCTGCTTGAGACTTGTTGGAGAACATCTTGTAGTACCTGCCACGCTTGTCTAGCAGCTCGGCGTGAGTGCCCTCCTCGACCAGGTATCCCTTCTCCAACACAAAGATCTTGTCACACTCGCGCACTGCAGCGACCTTGTGCGCAACCATGACCACGGTGTGGCCCTGCGTCAGCTTCTTGATCGAGTTGGTGATGGCCTCCTCGCTCTCTGGATCGAGTTCGGCGGTGATCTCATCCAGCAACATGATCTTTCTCTTGGAGCAGATAGCACGGGCGACGGCTATTCTCTTCTTCTGGCCTCCGGACAACTGGTTGCCGGCCTGGCCCAGCTGTGTGTCGTACTTGTTGGGCAGCTCCAGGATGAACTCGTGGGCGTTGGCCATCTTGGCCGCCTCGTGCACCTCCTCCTCGGTGGCGTTCTCGATGGCGTAGCCGATGTTCTCGCGGATCGTCTTGTCGAACAGGTATGGCTGCTGGTGCACGATGGTTAGATGCGAGCGCAGGTTGTTGGGACGGATCTTCTTGACGTCGACGCCGTCCAGCTCGATGGCGCCGTCCTTGAGCTGGTAGAACTTGGCCATCAGCTCGAGACAGGTGGACTTGCCCGAGCCCGATGGACCGACCAGACCGTAGCACTTGCCAGGCTCGAGTTTCAGTGTGATGTTGTGAAGCACCTCAATGTCGGGACGGGTTGGGTATCTGAACGAGACGTTCTTGAACTCGATGGAGCCCTTGACCTCCTCGAGCTCGACGTAGTGCGATGGCAACATGGTCATCTCCATCACGGCGATACCAGTGTTCTCTTCGTACTTTTCCTTCTTGTCCTTCTTCTCCTTCTTCTCTCTCTTCTTTCTCTTCTTCTTGTCGTCGCCATCATTGTTGTTGTTGTCGTCGTCATCATCCGATGGCTTGTCGGTGTCTCCACCAGTTGGCTTGTCACCGCCAGTTGGCTTGTCGCCGCCCGTTGGCTTGTCGTCCGATGGCTTCGAGTCATCGCCTGGTGTACCTCCATTGTTGTTGTTGTTGTTGTCGTCATCGTCGTCACCCTTGTTCTTATCCTCAAGGTCCTTGGCGGCCTTGATCTTGCGGATCTCTTCCTCGAGATCTGCGCGCTCCTCCTCCAGAGTCGATCTCTTTCTTGGTGCCGAGCGCAGGATCATGAAGACTCTGTGCGATGAGGCCAGCGACTGGACGTAGCTCACGTAGATACCGAACAGGGATGATGAAGACTCGACCACGTAACCGACGTACAGCGAGAAGGACACGAGCAGACCGACCGAGAACTCCTTGTTGATCGACAGGTAGGCACCATAGTAGAGCACGGTGAAGGCCAGCGACTCAACCATCAGCCACTTGACAGAGCCCGAGAAGGTGTTGGTGATGATCAGACGACGTGCAGTCGTGAACACCATCCTGAGACGTTCGGCATAGTGCGCGACCTCGTACTCTTGCTTGCAGTAAGTGGTGACTACCTGCATGTTGACCATGGACTCGGAGGCATGCTGGGCAGCACGCGAGTTGTTGAACAGCAATAGACGTGTGAGCTTCTTGGTGAAGGTCGACTGTACCTTGGTGGTGATCAGCAGGATGGGCACAGTGGCGAAGAATGCCAGCGACAATTTCCAAGAGATGGTGAACAGGAACACCAAACTGCCAACAAACTTACAGATGGCAGTGGCGAATGTCATGATAATGCCGGCCACCGCTGATCTAAGCATTGGCGCATCAACAATCAACACATTGATCAATGTTGGCGTGTTGTTCTTGTGGAAGAAGCCCATGTCCTGTGCCATGATCGCGCGGAAGATTTTCTAATAGTCGCGTGCCGGGCATTGTTAGTATGATTGATTGATTGATGGATTGATGATGAGTGATGGTACTTACGTTTTGGATGCTCATTACCATCATCTCACTGGCGATACCAGATACCCATGAGCTGAGTGTGGAGAAGAGGAACTCGATAAAGGCGAGAACAAAGATGATGATGAACTGCACGGTCAGGTCCAAGATCGATTTGGTCGTTGGGATGTCTTGGATAATGATACCAATGTAGAATGGCTGCAGGATGTTGGCGGCAGTAGCGACCAATGAGCAACCAGTGGCGAAAAGAAGACGGTAGATGAATGGGCTGACTAGTGAGTAGAGCTCGGGGATGGTCACCTTGGCATCCTTGGGCTTCTGGTTGATGCTCAGGCCAAACTCGTCGTAGGCGTACTTCTTCTTGTCGCGGTGCTCGCAGTACTTGACCAGGAAGATCAGTGCGATCAGGAGGACCATGGTGGCACCGGCCACAATGATGATGATGTAGTTGTAGCTGAGGAACTCGGAACAGGTGTTGTCCAAGGAGTTGTAGCTGTAACCAGAGTTACATGAACTGACGATACACTTGGTCCACATGAGGTTGCTCTGGCAACTCTGCGTTCCAACTCCATTGGGTGGGTAACAGATGGCAATGTCTCCAGTACCACACTGTGGACAGAAGGTCCACTCAAAGTTGCCCTCGCCGCTTCCTTGGATCACAAGCGAGAAGTTCTGTGGGCCGATTGGAACACGAGTGCCCAGCACTGTGTACTTGTAGATGACTCCATCCTTGACAGCAGAAGTAGTGATCTGCTCGACGTTGTTGATGGTGTCTGGGGTGGAGGCCAGACCAGAAATCGCGTTGGCACCTCCATTACCGAGAGTGATCAGGTTGTCGACCTGAAGACGCAGGTCAAGGTTGTTGACGAGGTCGTAGGCGGCACCTGGGGAGGCGGGTGGGTCAGTCCAGACGAGGGTACCTCTGATGGAGGCGGGGTTGGTGGCGCCGTTGGCTGTGTACTTGACACAATAGCTGACGTTCTGGTTTGTGCCGACCTTGGGCTCGACCCAGTCAGATGCTTTATCCTTGCTCTCGAGGCCACTGATGAAGAAAACATTCTTGGCCGCATTGGCTATGCCATCAAACTTCATAAAGTTACCCAACTTGATGGCGCCCCAACCTTGGACAAACGATGCATCAGGGAAGGGGAGGTTGGCTGGGACTGGGATGGTCTTGCCCTCTGGATTGGTCATTGTGCCATTGAGTGGGCTGGCACTATTGATCAAAATGGCCTTGAGAAGAGCGGCCGATGGCTTGGCGATGATGTTGGAGGCGTTGGGGCTGCCGAATGGGTAGTAGCCCTCAGTGAGGTATTGTCTAAGGATACTGGCTGCAGCGGCAACGTGGGGAGTGGCCATTGATGTGCCCTCAAGAGCGAGGAGAGTGTCGGGCGACATGATACCAGCGCCAACACATTGATCGGTGTTGTTGGCACCGTTGGAGCGAGAGGACACAATGAACATTCCTGGTGCTACAATGTCTGGCTTGATACGACCGTCATGAGTTGGTCCTTTGGATGAGAACGGTGCGATGTTGTTCTGGTTGAGTAGTGCGGCTGAAGCTGGCTGGCTTGTAGTATTGAGGTCACGATCCTTCAATGATTGAGGGCAGCAACCTGCTAGACCTGGAACGGTAGCCTTGTCAGTGCAGCACTGAGTGGTAGTGTATGGGCAGTACTTTGGATCAAAGGCACAGAATGCGGGGATGGTACTACGATTGATTAATTGATTAGTTGACTGCACTCACTGCCGTGCTTTGCATGTTACTTACTTCTGGGCACTGGTGTCATAGTCGAAGAAGTCCTCATAGGTCTTGAAGCTGTCGAATGTGCTCATCTGAGCGCCAACAGTCAGACAGTTCTTGGCTACGGCTTGGGTCAACAGGGACATGTAGGTGTTGGCTCCCTCGTTACCTGCAGCTCTGACGATCAGCATGTCGGGATGAGTAAAGACAAAAGCGTCGATGGCTTGGCTTGGTGTTCCGTAGGTCGCGTCGTAGCCATTGTTTGAGTGTGAGCCCCATGACTCGCCCTGGACTCTCGCACCTGTTTCATAGACTGCCTGGTACATTGTGTTATAATCGCCTGGCTCTGGATTGGAGCCAGCAGTTGAGATATCATAGACGGCAAGCTTGGCATTGAACGCTGTACCTCTGTATTGGTTGATTGGCTGTGAGGGGCTGGCAGTGAGACCGGCCATGGAACCGGCAACGTGAGTGCCGTGTCCTCTGACGACATCCGAGTCATCTCCTAGGGTGTTGTTGAAGAAGTAGGCGACGACCTTGCGATGGTTGAGGTTGATCGTGTTGAAGGGCGTTGGGTTGTTGACGTCGCTGAAGAAACAATGAGACATGTCGACACCAGTGTCAGAGATACCGATGATCTGGTTCTCACCACGGATGGGGATGTCGGCGTATGAGTCCAGTGGCAGGTTGCTGCCTTGCGAGGTGGCCAGTGTGACAGTTGGTGCATAACGATTAGCGGTCTTGACCACTTCCATCTTCTCGATCCACATCGACTCTGGCTGTTCAGACAACCAGGTGTAGACGTGTCTCTCGGCACGTGACAGTCTGCACTCCTTGCCCTTTGCACAGCGGACAGTGGTTATCAGACGGGATGTGACTCCGCCAGACTCGGGCAGGATAGACACGGTGGCATGATCACCACGAAGAACGTTGTTTAGTTGAGTTGACCAGCGGTTAATCAATTCTGACTGCTCGTTGACGTCGTCGGGGGTGAAGGAGAGGACCACCAGTACACGGTCCATAGCCTCGCGATGATCCATGTCCAATCGCTGCTTACTGATCAGGATCTTGTTCTTGGCCTCGTACTTGCCGACCCAGGAAATCCACTGCATGGTATCGAGTTGATGAGCCTGCGCAGCGGTCATGTAGACGTGGTAGGAGTCGATTGGCAGATAGGCAAGGATGCGGGAGCGTGGCTGCTCGGTGAGGAAGTCCTCGAGCTTGGTGCGCAGCTCATCGTCCACAACATGTGCAATCTGGACAATGTAGTGGTTGAGTTGGTGTCTTGTCGCCGCATGCAGTGTCGATTGGCCAAGAGAGATCGACTCGATGGTGTGCGTGTCGATGGAGCCACTCTTGAGGAGGATCTTTCGGTGTCCAGACTTGGTCTTCTTGTGAGTACGAGCTGTAGTCAGAGCCTCCTCTGCTTGTGCTGCTGCCTTTACTGATGCTGCTGATTCCGTGTTGTCTGTGGAGAGGATGTCTCGGTCGGCGTAGGATATTGCGTCGTTCGATTCCCGGAAGTAGTAGTTGTTGAGTGAGATCACCAGACACAGCACCGCTAGCAGTGCCGCGTATGTTATACACTTGGTGATCATCCTTTGGAATGGTGTATTGTTCGCCATGGCTGGGTTGGGATGTATACAACTCAGTCTAAACTAATATAACAAAAGGTTGGTTGATTGATGAGGGGATAGAGAGCAAAGCTCAATGTCGTCGAAGTCGTAGCAAATGCTATCTAAGTAATTTTTGAATGAAGTGAGTCACAATTGTTAGTTAGTTATTTGTTTTGTTTGCCGTGTTTCCGTGTGTTGCCGCGTGTTGCCGGAATGTTGCCTTCCCTGTTTCCGTGTGGCAACTGGCAAGTTGGAAACTGGAAACTGGCAACTGGAAACTTGGTGGAAACAAAGAAACAAACAAACTTACTTCAAGATAATAATATTACACAAGCTTATTTTGTTAGCTTTGTAGAGACTCTATTGATTGAATGAATGACCGCCAATTGATAAGCTTGGTTAGTTCTTATGATATTGGACAGTGGGAGTGAAGAGTTGATGAGTGATTGAGTGATGTGAATTGAGTTGTTGTTGGTCTAAAGTAGGAGACCAAAGAATATATATATAATTGTTTAGCAATTGAAACAAGTAATGATTACTTGTTATACTATTTGATCGTAGCACTTTCCAATCAGGTTCCCAAGCTGCCCGGACTGGAAGGATGAATGGATGGATTGGAACGATGATGTAACTACACGAGTGGATTCAGACAACACACAATCATACACTGTTTGGATGTCGTTGCCAAGGTTAGGCAATCAGTTGTTGTTGCGCGGAGGGTGGGTGGTGGGTTGGCGGGCAGCTGGAAGATGGATGGAAGGATGGGACAAGTGTTTGATTGATTTGGCACAAGGTGGAGTGGAGGTGAAGATGATGATACTAACAACCAATGATTAGGTATATATATATTAAGTGTATATATATGTATATATATAAGTGTCACTAACTCTATGATGGTGGTGTATTATAATATATGTGTTTAAGTAGGAGGGTGATACTCTAATATACTATGTCCAGCTGTGATACCATGCAAGATATAGGTGTCGCCGGTGGGTGTTAATGATGATGATGATGACTGATTGATTGATTGATTGATGGATGGTGAAGATGATTGATGAAGATTGCAACACACACATGCTTCTAACATGTACACACTAGCGCTTAACTAAGTTAGTTAGTTAGTTAGTACTGACTCGATCGCTCAAACCAGAACATTGGTTGCCATTACCATGCGTACGGACACTGTACCCCGCACACACACGATCACACTAACACACGCACCCTCTGATCAGGTACATCCAGTGGACGCGGCCACTACACATCATTAATCAATCAAACAATCCTTGATCGATATTTTAAGCAATGTTGACCTTTAATGGCAATGTGATTGCCAATTCAATATGAATATTGGTGTTGTCACAATTTCTATCTCTCTCTCCTCTCTGTTTAATGGTTAAACGTGGTGTGTTCGTGTGTGTGTATGTAATAGACATGACAACAGATTAAGATTGATTGAGCACATGAACGCTGAGTGGGTGCGAGAGTGGGGTGATTGGGCTGTTTAGAACAGGCGGAGAGTGGTGTGATTGTGATGGTGATTGTGTGTGGTGTGTGTGGTGATCAGGAGGTCCAGAGATCAATCTGTTCACTTACATTTAAAAAGAGATAAATAGTTGTATGTGTATGAATGTCTGTGTGTATCTGCTGGTTTGGTGTCTCTGTAATGATGAGTGAGTGGGTTTGTTTATTACCTTTGGATGTCAGTCAGATGATTGATTGATTGAATGAGTGAGTGAGTGAGTGAGAAGTATTGCCTAAGGATTGATTGACACAATTAATAATGTCTTTTGATATTTGATTGTTGTTGTTTGATTGATGATGTGATGTATCTAACACACACACACACACACACATGTGTGGCAAGCCCATGCCTCCTCATTCTCCACACTCACAAGATGATGTAGAGGCCTCAAGGTGAATGTGTATAGGTACCTACATTTGTGTCAAAGGTCTTGTTCCAACCTTCTTACCTCCCTTGCTTTGAATGTCATGTCAGAGGTCATCAGACAGACATACCAAGACGAAGCCTTAACTACCTGAACACACATCTAACACATCTAACACACTCTATGCCTCAAGTTGATGATCGGTGAACCTATCATACATCTATTCAATCACAAACAAAGTTCACATAATTAATTAAGTTGTGTAAAAAMCGAACGGGTGTGTTTGGCTCAGATGTGATTGGTTGCGTCTCTTGACTTTCCCTAATTTGAACAAACCCCCACCCACGTGACCAACCTCAACCTTCCATCACATCTGACACACACAGACTTGAACTAACTTAAACAGTTAACGACAAACAGAATGATGACGTTGTATATAGATGTTTCAGACCTTCCACATCGATTGACAACTTATTCATCTTCATAGTGTTATATTAAAGTAAATCAATAATTCAATCAAAATCATGAAGGAACTTAGAGAACAAAGGCAAGAGTTTATGGATGTGATCAGATTAAATCAAATATTGCGATAGAATTTGGTTGGATTATCCCAGGTATTGTTGAATGATTGTAAACCAAGTGATGAGTTCTGGATCAGTGACAACTCTTTGGAACCAAGAGAGAATGTGGACTTGGAATGAAGTTGGTTGTCAATTGAGATTGAGAGGTATCTCAATGTCATTGAGAATATTGATTGTTCAAGATATTCCAACAATTCTTTGACTTGTTGATTGAGTGTACCTTCGACATGACTCTTGATCATCAATCCAAATGAGTTCAATTTGATTGTGAGTGATCTGATAGATGTCTGACACTGTGGAAGGAGCTTGGTCGCGATTGATAGGTCGGGCAGATCTAGTGTGAGAGAGTATTCTCTGTATGACTTGTAATAAACATTCAAGTATAACTCTTGGAGATATTTTGATTGATTGGCAATATGAGAATCAATTCCTATATCTATATTTTGTATATATCTAAAAGTTGAATCTGGCATTCTATATCTGATTGTAATTTCTCTTGCTTGGGTAATCAGACTGATATTGATATAGTTGATTTCAAATGGTAGTGTCAATGATGTAATATGATCAAACTTTGATGAATCTGTCTCATCACGTAGGTCTCTAGATGTCACAACACAATACTTATCACTCTTCCTGATGGATGAGTATCTGGTATCCATTTCTGGGATTGGGGAAGGATCATTCAAACTCCTATACATTGATATTGGGTTCCATGGATTGATCAATGATGTTGATTCATAATGAATGGACTCCAGCTTGTTGTCAATAGTGTTGTCAACATAATCTTGAAGTAATTGTTTGAATAGGTGAATGAACAATTCTTCTCTATTGAAGTAATATTTATCTTGATTTAACATCATGATATATTGATGGTCCGACTCCGGCTTGACATCCTGAATGATACTCTTGAGTTTGTATAGTTCTTTATCAATCGCTTGGACAAAATTGATTTGCTTCACATTGTATAGACATTGTGAAGGTAAAGATATTAATTCCAATCCTTTTGGAGTATTATAGCTACTCTCCACATGTCCAATGAAAGGGATAGTAAGGTGTTCCACCCGTTCAAGACATCTTGAAATATCCTTCGATTGAATGAATCCAGATAGAATATCAATAGCGTTAATACTCAATGGAGTATCTTGGAATAAACAGAACTTTGATCCAATACACTCGAGAGGTGATTGTAGTTTGATTGTAGGGATTGGAATGTTTGAAAGGGTGAATGAGCATATTTTGTGGAATTGTTTGGATACAGTTCCCAATGATACAATCCAAGCTGTATCAGTCTCAACACTCTGATCAAGTATCAATATCTCAATAATCTTATGATGTACAATATAAGGAAGTATTGGCAATACTTGAACATGCTCTGTACTTTGATCAATAATTGGAATTGAACTTTTGAATAGTTGAAGTTTGAATAGTTCCAATTCTATAAGTTGATCTTGACTCAATAACTGCAAATGCTCTGATGTCTTTATCAACTCAAACTTCTGCTTATCTAAGGTATAATTTATAGAATCCTTGAAAATTGAATATGTTGTGTACAAATATTTGAAGAAGTGGAATAATGGACGTGAGAAGTTGATCTCATTCTTATGTAATTGGATGTTCTTTGTCAATATGTCATATAAATCATTGTAATTAATATTAAATTGTTTATCCCAACTATGTGATTTCTGATCCAAAGGTGACCCATAATGTTGTCCTAATATATATATAATATATAATGTCCAAGCAGTTGATGGATCAGAGTATGAGTTGATAAATTGAAATAATAATTCTCTTGGTTGGTGAGCCTCTAAATAATTAGAATTTTTGATTATTTTGAATAAATTGATCAAATGAACATTATTAATCAATGATAAACGTGAGCATTCAATCAACAAATCTAAGTTATTTAAAGTTATCTGTTCAAGTCCCGGAAGTGATAGATCAAAGAAGTGCTTGAGTTGTGGTTGGTAATCATTGATCAATGTTTGTACCAGTTGTTGATGACCATCTTGTGATCTGATCAATAAGTATACCATGGCATTGAAAAAATTGATCTTCTCGGTATCCTTGAATATTTTAAACAATGCATTGGCTGTCAAATGAAAATTGCTATCAGAGTTTCTTGAAAGTTTCATCAATGAATAGTTATTGTCCAATGAGGAAATTAGAGTGGCAGGGAGAGGTTGACCTGCAGCCTGGAAACAATTTGTCATTCCATCCAATATTAAAATCCAATTATAATCTCTATCTCTATTCCAAATCAAATGATCTTGAAACTTTGGGTATAACTATATAGTTTGAATGTAAATAACTTTTTTTTATATTTATGATTTAGATACATACATTAACAAACTTTGGACCAAGTTGATTAATTAATATATTTTTTTTCTTATTGTTGATGTTTAAGAAACAACCTTCGGTAAATTGTTGAATCTTTGAAGGATGTATATTTGGATATAATATATCAAACAATTCTTCTGATCTAAATTTCATCTCTGGATTGCTCAGTAGATTAATCATTTGTTGTTGGTCCGATACAAAAGTGTCTGGTTGGTTCTCAAGTAGTAGTCCAAGACATTTAGACATGTTTTCTAAATACCTTGGTATTCCAGACCGAAGTACACTATCCAATGAATAATTTTCAAGTGATTTAATAATAAAACTAAAAAATAAATTAATCAATCATTCATTCTTTCGATCAATCAAACTTATAACTTACTTAAATATCTCAGTTCTATAAGCCTTGATATTATCTAGATCTTCTTTGTACATTATATCTACTATATAGAGTGCAGCACATTCACTTCTTCTGAGATTGGAACTATCTTGTAAGTACTGGAGCAACCATTTTTCCAACTGTGTACCAACTTGTTGTTTTCCAAATGCATTAACAACCTTTTGCCTATATTCTATAAACTCATCCCAACCACTAGATCCACAATTATTAATCACTGTGATGAGATAACCACAATAACTAACAAGTAGTTGTTGTCTTTGTTCTTCTGTTGCTGAAGATAAAAGAAGTGGAAAGAATTCTTCCTCAAACATAGCCCATATTCTTCTTGGTCTGACCATGCTGGGTTGTTCTGGCGATCCCAAGTATGCAAGAGCAATGTCCACCAAAGTAACATTAATTCTTGGTATAGATGATAAGGTCCTGGCATCGACTACAATTGCACCTCTTACCTTATCATCAGAACTGTTGAATGATATCTCACCAAATACTTCTTCTCCCATTGTTCTCTCAATGTCTTTATACTTTTTACCAATCTAATCATTCAATAATTATAATTTAAATGTATTAATAAATTTTCTTTATAATTGATAAATAGAGGTAACATACTCTAAAAAGTGATGGAATAGCATTTATAATATCAACTTTAGTTTTTAGATTCTTTAAGAACTCTTTATCCATTACATCGATATCTTTATATGTTTTTATAAAATATCCAAATGTTTCTCTAAATGAACTACTCATTTTTGTTTAAATATATATTTATTATATATTTAAAGGATGAAATAAAGAATTAATATTTGAATGAATGAAAGAATGAAGAGCCTCTTTATCCTAATATTTATATTATCAATTATTTTTACAGTAGATCTAACAGATTGTTAATTGAATAAACTGAATGTAATTTAAAAAAATAATAATTCAACTGGTCTTTTAAGATGGGGACCAACTTGGAAGTTCATTCTCATTAAGTACAATCAAACGATAGAACTTAGTGGGATTATCCCAGGTATTGTTGAATGATTTTAAACCAAGTAATGAGTTTTGGGTGAATCACAGATCATTTAAACTAAGTGAGAATGTTGAATTGGAATAAAGTTGGTTCTCAATTGAGATTGAGAGGTATCTCAGTGTCATTGAGAATATTGATTGTTCAAGATATTCCAACAATTCTCTACTTGTTGATTTAGTGTACCTTCTACATTACTCCTTATTAATTATGTTTTTATTATTTTATTGATTAGAATAATTAAAGAATTATTAATAATCATGGAAACGTATATTAAATTTGGTCTATCAATCAATAATGGAAGAGTACTGTTTAAAAATATTAATAGGAGGGCCTGAGTGGATGCCAAAGACCGGCTGCCAATCAGTTATAAATTATCCCATCTTTATTTGTGGATTGACCATTACATAATCATGTAGAAATGGGTTATGGCTTTTCTTGATGGGTATTAACACAAGCATCTTGTAACGAAGTTCTCTTGATTCTAGGTACTCCATATATTCAACTTTAAATTGCAATAGTACTTCTATAGTTCTTTTCAACCTCTCCAGGGTATAGATCACACCTTCAGGAGGCTGGAATCTATCATTTCCTATATTCTCCATGACAGCTGTGTAGAACTCAGCAATATCATCATCAAACATTCTTGTAAGTTCTTCAACCAGTTGTTGACGGGGTATGTGATTGAATCTATATTTGAAGCAAAGAGTTAGAACTTCATTGGCGCCTTATTTGACCATAAACAAATTTCAAAAAAAAAAAAGAAAAAATATAGATAATAGGTTCTGCCTTTTGCCGGGATCGAACCAGCGACCTTAAGATCTTCAGTCTTACGCTACTACCAACTGAGCTAAAAAGGCGACGAGCTTCACAAATCAACATAAATCGAATTTTATTCAAAAAAAACATTGAGTTTGAAATTAAACATTACCAATTACATGATTGAAGATAGGATGGTTTGTCAAATATATTGTTAACTTTATGTTTATATATAAAGGTGATTGCTTCTGTTTATCGCCAAATGATTGTATTTCATCGTTTGAAACAATGATGATTCGTCTTGTGTATAATCGTCACATCGCAGCGCTGAACCAATGCCCATCAGACCAGCAAAGAACGCAGTGGACTTGAGTGCACTGTTACCGGCAATAATAAACATCTTCCTGCCTCTGATGCCACTGGGCAGTGTGATTGCAAGTCCTATGAGCAGACCCATTGAAGAGCCGACGAGCGAGCCCATCAGCAGACCCATGCCGACCTGCTGCATGCAAGCGTTGCCCGACGTCATTGGCTTCTGACTCTTTCTTCTAGGGGGAGGTGGAGGAGGAGGTGTACGGAATGGCTGTGCTGGGGCACCATCGATGTTTGTCACGGATGATGGAGATTGTGGAGTGTTCATTGTGTAGTTTGTTTGTTCAAAGTCTTGGAGCTTGTGTCTATATCTTCTGTATCTGTATCTGTATGGATATCTGTATGATATGCTATGTTGTTATGTATACGATTGAGTGAGGTATATGTACCTGTATCTGTTTGTGAGCAGTCTGCCACGCATGTAATGAATCACCTTTTGTTGTCGAGCCTTGACTTCAACTTTTTGAAAGAAGAGCTCACTCATTCATTCCAACTTTATCAACTCATTCAAACAGATATAACATACATATATGTGTGTACTTGCATAGGCTGTAGATAGTGAGCGTTGTACAATCTTTGGTATTGAACTGGTCAATTGGAATGCATCATCGATTTAATGGATAGCAAGATCATACCCATCAAAGATACGCCAGAGTACAAGAAGTTAACAAGAACATTGGAGATATTGGAACAACAGAGGAAGGATAGAGAGAATGACATCGAGGCATTAAAGAGGCTACAAGCTGATGCATTGGCAGACCCAATAGAGTTTGTCGAAAGGCTGATAGCTGGTGTAAGTATTCATGCATGGCAGGATGGACCTGCATCACCCAATCACACTCACCTACTTCGTCGCCAACAGAGAGTCAACCTGCCAACGAAGCAACCTATTGAACCTGTACCCATTATAACCAACCTGTCGGGCTTATTCTCACCGACCACAAGCTCGTCTCCGTCATCCAAGTCATCATCCAAGTCATCGTCAAGGTCATCCAAGTCAACATCGACGACCACCACGACACAAACTACATCATCGTCGTCAATGTTATCGCCAACTGATACTATGTACTCTCCACCTGGTGACACAACACCTGAGAAGTCACTCAAACGTCCACATATATCAGATGAGGACCTGTCAATGTTGGTGGACTCGACGATAAAGAAGAAGAAGAAGAAACATAGTACGGATGGCGATGGCACGTTCAATCTATCATGGTCCACTGAGGAGCAGAGCAGACTCGAGCAACTGTTGGTGAAGTACCCTTCTGAGGCTGTGGCCTCACACCGCTGGACAAAGATCGCCGCTGAGCTCGGCAACAGAACACCCAAGCAGGTGGCCAGTAGGACACAGAAATACTTTGTCAAACTACACAAGCTCGGACTACCCATTCCAGGCAAGCCTCCCAATCAACCTGTAAGTCATCTGCGGACTGTCACAACATTACTTCCTCTCTCTAACCATTCATTCATTCATTCAATCAATCAAACAGTCGCTCTTTCCAAGGTCAACGCCAAAGAAGTCAAAGGACACTGGCGATGGTACTCCAAAGAAAAAGACAAAGAAGAAGAAGTATGAAGTCATCATGTTCCCCATCATCACATTATGTCCAACTCACTCAATCAATCATCCATTCATCATTATAGAACTCAGAAGAAGGAAGACTCAACAGATACGTCAAAGGCATCAACAAGCAAGAAACAATCATCATCATCATCTGTTGTCGATCCTTCACTACCAGTGCATGAAGGCTACAAGTGTGATGGATGTGATGTTGAACCTATTGTAGGCACGAGATGGCGTTGCCAGGAATGCATCGAGTTGGACCTTTGCGATAACTGCAACAACAAGTACGAGGAGATTGGCCAGCACAAGTCATCGCATCACATGAACTCATACGACACTGTCGACCCATACTACTACCGAGACGACGACTACAAGTTCTCCTACAATGGTGGCGAAGCCAACTATCTTGATTCGAACTACAAGCCATAATCGGATGGCCTAGTGTGATGTGACTATATATTTATAAACAAGATACTTGTTGCTGCGTTGACGACGACGCAGCATCAACCTACAGCGCCTCATTGAACATGTCAACGTACTTTTGCTCGAGATGGATTGTGAACTGCTTGGGATCGGACAGTGGACTCTTCTTTAGCATGGTACGCAGGTTGACGCGAAGACCATTCAGTCTATCAATGTCATTAGCCAGCTTGGCGGCAATGTCCACGTACTCTTTGGCATTGGTGGCCGCAAGGTCGCCCAAGCCAACGTTGTAAAGGATCGATCGGCCTACACATTGTGCATGCGTGTCGCCAGCCAGTGACACAAATGGGACTCCCATCCACAGTGAGTCCATCGATGTTGTCGTGCCAGCGTACGGGAATGGGTCAAGACTGATGTCCACCTCATTGAAGCTGTCATAGTGTCCAGACGTGTCCATGTTGTATGCCTTCATAATGACTCTATTGCTCGCCACTCCATATTGCTTGAGTCGCTCTGCGTACTCTGCCTTGGCCGAGTCGACAATGAAAAGTGGCGCCTTTATCAAGATCCTTGCCGTCGGTACCTTCTTGAGCAGCTCGCTCCATACGGCCCATGTGCAGGGCTGTATCTTCGAGAGAGTATTGTAGCATCCAAATGTAATGTAGCCATTTGTATCGAATGGCGACTTGCTGCTGATCTGATGTCGCTCAATGTGTGAAGGTTCAAATACAAGGAATGAGGCAGGCATGCGTATCAGACGCTCGCTCCACGGTTGCTTCGAGCTGACCGGGTCAGCGTGTTGGTCTGTGATTCGGTACTGGATGGCCGAGACACCGCTGGTGTTTGGGTAGCCCAAGTAGTTGACCATTATTGGTGCCGGTCGATACAAAGCTATCTCTGCATCGCGCTCCGTGTGCATGTCCAGACAGACGAGGATCGTGATGTTGAGGTCGTATATCTTGCGTGCGATCTGCTCGCACGGCATGCCTCTGGTCACATTGTGGAAGTTGCTCTGGCCCACGTAGGAGATGAATCGGTCGGTGTAAGAGTCGTGTGTTGCGCCCAACGATATGATGTGAACGTCGTACATGTCCTTGTTGTGGCACTTGAGTATTCCGTCGATGAAGTAGGCCACAGGATGCTCGCAAAAGTGTGAAGAGAGGTATGCCACTCTGATAGGATAGTGCTTCTTGTGCGACGATATCCTGTCGTCAGAGTAAGTGAATGGTGTGATGCCGCAGCTAGTGAGCAATGCCTTGGTGTAGAGTATCGTCTCGTCGTATGTCTCTTTGCCATGACTGTTGCTCTCCATGTAGTTCATGTAGAATATCTTGAGGAGGTGTGCTCGTCGCTTGATGTCCTTTGGCGAATCGGCCACATTGATGAGCATCGAGAGTCGCTTGATTGCCACCGCCGTGTCGCCAGCCTTTTGCTCGAGGCCGGCCTTCTCCATGTGCGCTTCCCACATCTGCGAGCCACCTCGCAGCGCCATGTCAATGTGCTTGTTGGCATGTGGTATCTTGCCCTGTTTGGCGTAGAGCGTGCCGACATAGAGGTTGATGTCTCTGTTGTTTGGGTCCTTCTCATGAGCAGCCGCCGAGATGAGGAAGGCTCGTTGAAGGTCGGCCTTCCTCTCACATTCCAATGCAATGGCAAACATCTCAATTGCCTCCAACTTGCTCTTGTCCACTGCAGCAGTTGCCGCAGCTACCACCGCGCTACTAGGTGATCGTCCAGTGTGATTGTAATACAATGATAGTCGCTCGCTTATGAACTTTATCGTTGGACCAAATTGAACTGCTTCTTCAAGCTTTGCAATGGCGACCTTTGAAGTTGATTGATTGATTGAATGAATGTAAGTATGAGAAGGGATGGCACTTAGACGTATGCATGATACATACATCTGTTGGTGGCTTGCAGGTGTCGACGTAACTGAATAGACTGACGGCCTTGAGCTGTTTGTAATGTGAGTTCTTGGAGTCCATTACAATGAGCTTGTTGGTCAGATCGAACAATGTCTTGTAATGTCCTGGTAACTCATTTGTAGTCTTTTGTGGTGTAATCAACAATAGTTCACGCACCTTATCAACTACAATCTGTTGTTCAATTGGTACAATCATTACATTGCCATTTACATTGCCATTGCCATTGCCATTGCCATTGCCATTGCCATTGACATTGGTACTTGTCTGTTGTTGTTTCTGTTGTTGGGTAGACTTTACATTCTTATTTGACATGTTGTTGTTGTTTGATATTAGAGAAAGAGATATGGTATCTCAATGAGAGAATCAGAATGCAATGATTGATTGTTTGAGAGATAGTAATGCACATGTAATTCAAACTCGTTTGTTTTGGGAATAGGATGACTTCTTTGAATCAGTTTCGTTGACTCACAAGTCTAACCACTCACACACACATAAACAAAACAACTTGAGGAGGAATGAGCAACATCATTGTGCAATGGTGGCGTGTGAGTAGTTCCTTCATTCCTCGGACAAAGGTTGGAGGTCACCTGGTCTATTATCATCATATTTCTCATTCCCACCTATTCATTCAATCATTCAAACAATCTTCAAATCATTCATTCTTTTATCTTATCTGTAGATATATATCAACCAATCAACCAAAAACTAATCGGTAATCGTCTAATTAATCAAGTAAGTCAATAATCAATCCAATCAAACCCAGTAATAATTAGTTGTCCATTTGTTTGGGCCCTGGTTTGGACCATTATGATGATCTCCCCCAACCACTTCACTTCACTTGGACCTCCAAAGAAAGATAACATGAAAAGTTATTTTATTTAATTATATATATATTTGGAAGATATGAACTTGTGCCTCACTTCTATCCTTTGGTGTGTGTGTGTGTGTTCATGTCTGGTGTGGGCTAGCATGGTGTGAGTGGGTAGAGAGGTGTGTGTTTCTTGTGCGCTTGTGACTGCAAGATAGAGAAAGTGAAAGAGTGAAGTGAAGAGTGTGTAGGAGTAAGTGATAGAGATAGAGATAGTGTGTAAGTGTAACTGTGTATGTGTGAATATTGTTTATTCACTTTCATCACATCATCATTGTGTTTGTGTATTATATTGACTGAGAGCATCGACTCACTCTTGTTTCCACTTGTTGTTCAAATTCACCATCATCATCATCATCATCATCACTCTCTCAATCATTCATTCACTCACTCATACTTCATTCAAAGGTGGAGGACTCATGCAGTAGTAATATAACATCCATCGTCTAACCCAACAACCATCCATCCCATCAACCTTAGGTATAATAATATTAACCAACAACAATATTATAAATATTTTAATATAAGTACATAACATTTAGTCGACAAAGACATTTCAGCTCAAGCTCAGATCAGATCGATCAAAAAAACAAGCCAGTCAAAGCCAACAACCAAAGCCTAGACAGCAATCAATCAATACATCACAACAACACACAACACCCTTTGTACTAGTTAGTTTAGTTAGTTAAATAGAATAGAAAGAGAAATATCATGGGTTGCGGAGGATCAAAAGGTATGTCCAGGGGCATCAGTCACTTGTAGTTGTGTTGTTTATACATTACATGATCACCTAACAACAATCAAACCTTCAACAGAGGAATCGAACTCGTTTTCAGTGACATCAAGTTCATCACGCGGAGAAGCTCATCCAGAATAGTATGTTATCATTGTTGATTGATTGAACGAATGGATCATTAACACTCCCACCCTGACATCATTATCATCTTTGTCTGCTTCATTCACAAATAGTGACATGCTATTGAAGATCCTGGTCATCGGAGACTCTGGCGTTGGCAAGTCATGTATGCTATTGAGATTCGCTGACAACAGGTTCACTGATAGCTATATAAGTACGATTGGTGTAGATTTTGTAAGTATTATTATGATTGTCAAAGACAATGATTGGTGCACGCTGGCTGGCTCGTTGACTGACTTACTAACCAATATAATAATAATAGTGTATAAGAACAATCGAGTTGGATGGAAAGAAGATTAAACTACAGATTGTAAATATATTAATGATTGGATTGATGGATGGATGGATGGATGAATCGATCACTAACATATTATATCTATAATCTATATAGTGGGACACTGCCGGCCAGGAGCGATTCAAGACCATCACAACCAGCTATTATAGAGGAGCACATGGATTGATCATTGTGTACGATATCACCTCGATGGACTCTTTCAACAGTATAAAGAGATGGTTGATTGACGTCGACCGCTTTGCCAGTCCCTCTGTGCTCAAGCTCATCGTTGGAAACAAGTGCGATCTTAACAACAAGAGAGCTGTAGACTTCAAGGTTGCCAAGGTATGTTCATTCATTCATCTTGCTCACGATCACTCATTGATTGGTACTAACTTGAATATTCAATCAATCAAATATAATAATAGAAATTCTCTGATGAATATAACATACCTATTTTGGAGACTAGTGCTAAGGACTCGACAGGCATTGATGATGCCTTCACACGTCTAGCAGCAGACATCAAGAAGAGCAATCCAGTTAACAAGTAGCAATAAATTATTCCCACTGTCCCCCCCTTCTTCAATTAATTAATCAACAAGTTCCCTAAATTAATCATCAGATACAGATATCCCATCCGATGGAACACGACATCATTGTCAGATGATGGTAATGTCGGATACCATTACATCATTCATTATATTGGGATCAGTCCCACGGTGTGTGTGGGGAAGTCCACAAGAATGAGTTACAGTTCAGTCGAGGGTGATGATGATGCCGTCAAGATATATTGACTAATTTGGTAATGTTATTCCTCATGGTGGGACTAGAAAGTTACTCGAGATGTGCTGGATCCAGCATAAATTTGATCAAGGTGTGAGTGTGCGAGTGGGCGAACACTTGTGTTGAGTGGGAAAAGGCAACAAAGCAGTTGGAAAAGTGTGCCATCCATCCCATCTTGCTATCTCTGTGTGTTAGTGTAAGTGTGGTGTGGAGGGATCAATAAATGAATGATTGGAATCTGAACTCATTCATTATCACTCACACACAGATAATTACAAACATACACACACATAACATATATATCTCACAGTAATATCATTGCTGCTCTGCCTTGTGTTTGTTTGTTGTTGTGAATAGCTCGCAGAACACTCATTGTAAGATTACTTTAATCACTCACAATCATCAACATCATTATAATATCATTGCAACAACAACTGATTGAAGTGTAAATACGTTCATACATATAATCAATCCTACTACTACGACTCACTATATAATTTATTATATCATTATCATCATCATCATTATTATTATTAATATTATTATTATTTGTTGTCGTCGTACATTGCTCGCTCGCTTGGAACATCCACAGCTCCGAACGGAACAATAAACGAACGGACACTACCACCAACCAACCAACTACCACTACCAACTAACACAATACAACTCAAACCCAAACTCAAACACAACAACTTGCGCAAGCAAGCACATAAACCTAAAGCACAACACACTGTCTCCATCACTCAGCCGACATCAGCTCATCGCAGGCCATTGTAAATATCTCTATCGTAGTAGTAGTAGTAGCAACAACAATAAGCCGCTGCCCTCATCCTGCTCGCTACTTCCACAATTATTATCCAACAACAACAACAACACCAACAACACCAACAACACCAACAACAACAGCAACGGCCATTCATCATTCATTCGCCACTTTAGCTCGCATACATATCCAGCGCCATCATCATCATCATCATTAGCTCAGCCTCCTACCCCAACATCATTCATAAACACTGATCCTCATAAATCAACACCAACATCATCACCATCAACTACATCATCAACAACATCAACAACAACAGCCAGTACAGCGTCAATATCATCACAAGCATTTCAAAGTAATCTCTTTAATACTCTAATTATGGCACCAGGAAACATCAAGGAGGAGGCATCAATCCTCCACTCTTCAATTCATACACTGTTGTTCGACTTGGACAACACTCTTTATCCAAAGTCATGCGGACTAGCCAACCAAGTCTCCAAGCGTATCACAGAATACATGACCACAATCATAAACTTACCAGGTATGTTATCTTTGTTCATCAGTCCACCAAGTCCACCGAGTCCACATGGCTGACGCCTCCACTCAATCAATCAATCAAATTATAGAGGATGAAGTTGACAAGATTAGGAACTTGTATTACAAGACATATGGACTCACACTGAAAGGACTGATGCTTAACTATCAGGTGGACATTCATCACTATCTCGACTATGTTCATGGTGGATTGGACTTGAAGAAGCACATTGGCAGGGACGAGCGATTGATTGAGGTGCTCACATCGATCAGACCAAACATCAAGAAGTTAATATTCAGCAATGCCGATCTGGGCCATTGCCAGCGCGTCACCAAGGAGCTGGGCGTCGACAGCTTCTTCAGCGACACCCTCGAGTATCTCGAGTTGATGGACTACAGCAAGCCACACCCCGTCTCCTACCAGATGGCCCTGAAGAAGGCCGGCACGAACGATCCCTCCGGCGTCGTCTTCTTTGACGACGTTGTCGAGAACTTGGAGGGCGCAAAGAAGGCCGGCATGATCACCGTACTGGTTGGCTCCACCTCGGACAGCCCTGCCGTCGACTATTGCATACAGGAGATCCACGACTTGGTCAACATCTTCCCATCGATCACTGGCAGTTCCACCGCCACCAGCTTCATCGCCATGGAGCACACTGAATAAACAAATCTATTTGTCGACACTACCATCATATCAGAGTGTCTTCTGTCCACTGTATCATATATTTGCCTGCATGTGGCATTCATTCTATTTATATAACTATTTGATTATTTTTAATATTTATTTGTAAAACTTATTCGAAGTTCAAGTTTATAAATTTTAATTTAATTTACCTAAAGAAGAATTTGTTAATATTAATATTTAAATTATTAACAAAAAGTGGAGTTTTGTGTTGTTATCAAGTTGTCACACTTCTTCTCATCCCAACATATTATCTCTTCATCTGTACATTTCTCTATCAGCAATGTCACTACCAAGTCAAGTTGACTTGGCTCTTGATGCCATTGACAAACAATCTAGTTTGTCAAATGACGACAAGAGCAAATGTGCGGCGTTCCTTGACAAGAACAACAACAAAGCATCGTTCATTCTCAGAGCATTATCTCAAGGCCAGACAGCCCTTGACTCGTATCTTTTTGAAATGATAGAGCCAACGAGTAAGTACAAACAATATCGGCGCAATGTCTTCATTTAATACTAACTTATACACTCAAATGTCAATACTCCCTTAGCAGCGTTTTATGATAGCTTATCAAAAGATGAATTGGTGGAGCATATACAAGTTGCTGTATCAACTTTAAAGAGAAAATATCTCCTATCAGACAAACCCCAACTCTCCAAGAGGAACAAACAGGCCGGAGAGGGACTCTTCTTCGGCCTTCATGGGCTATCCAACACAGTCGCCATCCTCAACATTGACCCACAATGATGATGAGTCATCCGAAGAAGAAGATGATGAAGAAGATAATTTTGAAGTAGTAGATGATGATGTCTTTGAAGACATAGCAGACACAGTTTTGCAAACAATTGCAGACATAGCAGCACAATCGATTGAAAAGATGATCCAAGACAATCGACAGAGTCGCGATATATTAGGAACGAACGATGAAGACATCATTGCACAATTTGAAAGACGCGGGGGCGCATCTTTAACATTGCACGGTAACTTGCAGACATTGGTCGAGTCTACAAACACCGTGCCATCTATCATGGACGTGTAGATTCTCTGGGCAATTACCTCTCAATCCTAATCTCACCAATGTTTTGTAAATTCAGTCATGCATCAGTTCTCATTGGCTCCAATTACACTCTCTTTTTGTTGGATCCGGCTGACTTCCATTCACAAGCTGTCAGATCAACCTTACCTAAAAGTTGGAAACTGGTCGTCATCAGATGCAAGAAGAATCCTCAGGCTCCAAATACAAAATGGTGCACTCTCTTTGCTTACTACTATGCTTACAAAGCCTTGGAACTGGACTCTCAACTCAACTTGTTTCAACTGGAAACCGACATCATCAAAGATCAGTTGACAACCATGTACAATGTCACCGTTCGGGAAGTACTCAAACTTTGTATCACAGATTGCGCAATGGACCTCGCCTTTGTTAAAACACCTGGCCAGTAGATCTTCCAACAGCCATTCTATCATCTCAACAACAATCAATCGAGAAATCAACAATCACCGATAGACCAAACACGGTCCACAATATTTATTGTAAATACAATTGGCAACTCTTACTCCTCACTCAACAACTCTTAATAAATAATTTTCCTCTGCCTTCACATTTGTATTCCTGCTTATTAATATCTTTGACAATCTGATCAAGTTTATCTGGGTCTTACCAGGGTATGTTAATGTTGGTATTGAATCTATCCAATCAAACTACATCGAAGTGGTTTGTACATTAGAATGTTATTGTTGTTGTTGTTTAATAGTGAATCAAGAAAGAATTCGCTCTCAATGAGCTCAATGGTGCAATGGATAGTGACTAATTTCGCTCGGATACTCAGACTGGCAGCCATGCCAACCAACCAACAAAACTAACCAAATACACAGGTGTTTAACCAAGAGATAGATATGGATGGAAGGACGTTACCTGAATATTTTATTTACCTGTTGGCTGAACGATTGAACAACCCTTCTTACTCATTGAAAAGTTGGTGCTCTCTGTCATGCCACGTCCACTACCAATCACTCCAACACGTCCGTTGACATTGTCAGGCGTTGAGAACATGCTGACCCTCTTCTTGTCCGTGAATGTGCCGGGTATTGACTTCTTGGGCTTGTTCTGGAAGTCTTGCCAAGCCTGCTTCTTCTTCTTGCTCTCCTCGTCGGCCTTGTACAGCCTGTTCTGTGATTTGATCAAATGTATCTTCTTCTGCTTCTGCTTCTTGACCTCCTCCGAGTCGTCCGGCAGGATCTTCAGATGCTTGGGTATCTGCTGCAGCGAGTCAGCGGCCGTTGTGTATCGCGACGACTGGTCCTGCACGGTGCCAGCCACCTTTTGTCGTGTGACGGGTCGGATGTCCGACACGTTGAGCGTCTCTGAGTTGCCGTACTCTGTGTATGTAACCTTGTATGATCCATCCTTGTTGATCTCATCAATGACTGCATCATACCATACACCATCGACCGAGTACTTTCCTTCACACTTAGTGCCAACCATCAGTTTGAACACTGTGCTATCGGCAGGTGATGATAATGTTGCTGTTGTTGTTGTATTTGTTGTCGCCGACAATGATGACTTTGTTGATGAAGATGTACCAGTGATGCCAATGGCGGCCGCAGCAGCAGCAGCGATCGAAGAGGAAGACAGTGTATCACTATGATTAGTTTGTGATGTTGGTGACGACACAGCGGCGGCGTTGTATAGTGGTGTATTACTATTAGCGTGCGATGATGATGTCGCAGTGGCCTGTGCAGCAGTGGCGGCAGACAGTTCTCTCTCCTTGCCAACTATCAGATCGGATGACTTCTTTATCAAATCGACCAACTCTGCTTTTAAAGTATGTAATTCTTCATTCGATGGATCTTCCTCAAGCAATGCCTCTATCTCTTGTAATTGTTGTCTATCATCATCAAGTTTATTTTTTAATTCTTGTAATGTAATAATTATACTACTACTACTATTATTATTTGTATTCATTGTATCTATCTGTATTCAATCTTAATTAACTGTTTTGTTTGTGTGTTTGTTTGTTAACAAATGAAAAGTTTCGTGTTCATCTCTATCAGGTGAGTTGTATTCTTGAATATTTGTTTGAATTCATTAAATAATGAGTTCATCATTCAATTAATCAACAAACTACCATTATCCATTATCGATACATTCACTAAAGTGTTGTCATCATGAAGTTGAAGTTCAGAATGTAAAATACAAACTGAAATCTCCAGTTGAGTTGATAATGGTCCAAATTAGACCCAATAAGGGTCGCTACTATTCCATTTTTATTAATTTTTTTTTGGTCCTGATTGATTATCACTCACTCCTTCAATCAATCATATCACGTGATTGAAGATCAATCACTTCGCAAAAACCTAAACTCAGTAAAGAGAGTTATATACTCATGGTCATCCAGATGGCCTCCAAGCTCAAGCCAGCTATCTCAAATGATCTGGTACTTTCCAAAGAACCAAGTTACAGCGACCCTGATTCTGCCCCTGCTCCTGCCCATGAGCTCGCCACTGAACCTTCAACTACCCCTGCTACTGAGCCTGCCACTGAGCTTGCCACTGAACCTGCCTGTGAGCCTCTGGATGTGGACTCGATCTCTTCAATAATGATTGATATCATCACCAACATACCCTCCGCTTCCTCCTCACCCTCCTCCACATCATCTACAACATCCTCAATTGATTCCTCCTCATCAGAGGAGTTGGACTCAGTTGTCAACACCTCCACTATGACCACATCTACAAGCTCCACCTCCACCACCTCAACAAGCTCCACCTCAACAACAACAACTACAACAACATCGACCTCATCCAAGAGCATCATCTCAATCCACGGATGATGAGGATGACAACAACAACAACAACTATATGATTGATGATCAGAAGAGTACGTGTAACTTTGGCGTAAACAACTTCAACTACTTCAATCAATTTGGCTGTACCCAACCAAGGATGCCAATGAGGCATGCTTGATCTACCAGCCTTACGATGTAATGTTTAAGAAGGTCTCCTACGTGCTCCTTTACTTGCCTCCGTACCTAATGGAGCCAAAGTACAAGGGTGTCGCCCTTGACTTTGAGAGTGAGACCAAACACGTGATGGCCTACACATCGAGAAAGACGTTTGTCCATTGGTACCGCCACCCCAAGAGTGGACTGTGCCCTTTGGAGTTCATACTCGACAAGGAGGTTAACGAGAAGGTCACTGATGAACCTATGGAGGTTGACCTCTTGATCAGATTCAACATCTATCATGAGAGTACATGTAGAAGGGACGAGCTGCCCCCACCGATCCGGTTGAAGGTCATGCTATACTTCACCTGCCGTACCGACCTTCTCCAGAATGCAATCGTCAGGTCATCGTCCCCCTTTGTCAACAATGTGCCCTTAGATACCATTGTCAGCGGTGCCATCGAGCTGACTTATGTCTTTCCCTGCCAATTATACTTTAAGGAGTGCATCATTGTCACAGACAAGACCGACAACAACATCGTATATGTCCACACTCAAGTAGTAAAAAAAGAGCAGGACGAGGAGGTGAAGGTAAAGGCTAAGGCGGATAACAATAAGAGAAAGAAGTCACCAACCAACTCCAAGACCAACACCATCACCAACTCTAACATCAACACCAACCCTGGCTGGACTTACTACCATCTGGACCTTTGGAACCATTGGTGGATATGGTATGCCAACACTATCCGAGTAGTTAGCATGCCGCTAAAGTACTACGATACATCACTCTACAAAATCCAGAGCATGCTAGTCTCCAATGAAACAAAGTTGGAGATCAACAAACCATTCTCTGACTACTTCTGTCAACCACCTAGCGAAGGTATATAATCAATCCGGACTAGTCCACTACAGGCTCTCGTAACTCACTCACTCATTCTCTCTTTCAATCAATTAATCAATCAATCAATAGAGAGTGAGCATGAGTCTCAGGAGAGATCATCGGGGAAGAGATCCAAGACCAGTTTCTCTCAAGACAAGTCAACGACATCAAGGGCTCCAAGGGGCAAGACTAGCCCGCGGGCTGAGAAGAGAGGAAAGAAAAAGAAATCTGATCCGGTCGCCCCTTCAGACATCAACAATCCCAATCTATTCCCCTCCAACGGTTTTCCTAAGACTGGTGAGCAAATCTCACCTACTCCAAGTCTGGGCATGCCTCTGTTTGACCCAAACTTCAATTATTCTCCAAGTCCATTGAAGCAAAGCGCACCACAGCCACAGCAACATCCAGAGCCACAATCAGAGCCCGAGCCAGAGCCACAGACACTGCCAAAGACAAAGTCCCAACAACCTCCTGATTCTCACCAAAGGCCACTGGATCAACCCATGACTCTGCCAGAGCCTCATCAGCAGGCCCAGCCTCAGATCTTCTCATCAGAATCTCCACATCTTCTTCCTGAACAATAGTTGACCAACAACTTGGATCCGATGGTCATTGACGAGCCAGTGTCTTCTGGTGATGTCAATGACGAAGACGATGAGACCATCTTTGGCCAGCTCCTCATCAATCACCCAGAGTCTTCTGGTGATGTCAACGACGAAGACGACGAGAACTTCTTTGACCAGCTCCTCAGCAACCACTTAAACTACATAAATGAGCAAAAGCCTTGCGTAGACGACGACGAGACCTTCAATGACAAGCTCCTTGCCGCCCACCCCAACTTCTTCGGTGAGCAAGAGTCTGGTAGCGACGACAAGGCCAACTTAATGGATACCACCTCTGCATCCCCATTATACTTCACAATGGATTAAAGTATCCATCATCCACCAATATCAATCAATCAATCAATCATAAATATATAAATGGATGTTGTTGGTATTGGAACAAGATCGTTTTATTATTATAAGGATGTGATGTGCTTGAGTAAGAGAGTGATTGCATGATCGAAAGAATGAACTGACTCAACCTCAATGCTTGATGGTGCTGTGCAGCTTCCTTGAATCCTCATACTTCTGCGAGTCGATAAACCTCTTGCGCTTGAACTTGCTCATTGGGTCGGTGGTGCCACGCTCGAGACTGTCCTGCTCCTCAGTGTCGTCATTGTCAAAGCCAGTGTCGTCCTTCTCGAATTGTCGCAGTGTCTTGTACATAAGCAACGCCTCCTGCTCCTTGCGATCGACCGGCTTCTCCAGGTCGTACAGGAACTTGCCGATCAGACCAAAGTCGTAAGGGTCGGTGTCCTTTTCGGGGATCTTGCTCGCCAGCAGGTCGGCCAGGGTCTCGCGCTTCTCCTTGAGGTATTGGCGCGTGATCAGCTTCTTGCCAGTGAGGCGCGCGATCTCGTCCGGGTTGACAAAGTCGGGCAGCTTCTTCTGAATGACGTTGAATATATTTCTCCACGAGCGTCTGCCGTACGTTCTAAAGTTGACTCCGTGCAGTCCGAACGACTCCATAATGATGTCCTGCTTGTCGCCCGACACTACCATCTCGTCATCGTCGCCAGTCTTGTAGAATCTGATCTTAGTACTTCTAAACTTCAAGTCCAGTCCACATGGAAGTGTCTTGTCCTGTTTCCATTGATTGATTGAGTTGAGATTGAGTGATATTAGCATCCCGCCTTATGGTCTGCCGTGCCAATGAGTCGCCGCGTCACATTGATCTCATACCTGATATCTGTTGATTGTAATCGCATTCCTCTCTGCATCTCTTGAGGCACGTTTCAGGGCGACGGCTGCTGTATCACCCTTGCCATAGCCGAGACCTCCAGTGCCTGCACCGTTACCAATGAAGACGAGCGTGGAGAAGGATTGGACACGACCACCCTTGGTGACCTTGACGTGGCGACCGACGTTCACGACGTAGTTCTCGCTCATCTCGTTCTCCTCGCCGTCGAGCTCTGGGTCAAACTCCTCGCCCTCGCCCAGATCCTGCATATCGTCCTCCTCGAACAGGTCGGGCTTCTTCTTGCCCTCCTCGTCCTCGTCGTAGCCGCCCTCGTTCTCGTTGGTCTCCACCGTGCCCGCGTGCACAGCTTCGAGCATCTGCTTGGTTGTCTTTATGCGACCGAGGTCCTTGGGCGAGAAGGCGCCCTTGAAGTTCTTCCTGTTGGGGTCGCGAACATAGTGACCAGAGTATGAATGCGGGTCGTATTGATTGTCCAATTCCTTGTTCAACAGCTTTGCCTGTGCGATATCATCGCGCTCTGCCTGTTCCTCTTCCACATTGATATTCTTCTTTGCGTAGCCATTGCGCAGTGTCAACGATGATGTCATTGTCGTCGATGTCAAGTATGTTGAAGTGGGGGCCACTCTTGACACCAACCAATGTCCAACGACACCTGTCTTTGATGCACAGTTAGACAACATGTCTCCTCCCTATCTATCTATTGTGTAATATATAATGTATGTACGTAATGTAGAGGAAAGAGATAATCGATTAATGATCAAGTACCCCAACACTTACCCTACCCTCGCTCACTCAATCATTCTTCGACTTCTTTCTTTCATTCAATCATTCACCAAAACAAAAAAACAAATCAACAACGTTACCCCTTCTAATTTCAAGGTCCTTCCCCATTCATGCAATCGACCACTCCTTGTGCACATCTTCACTTCAATTTAATTATTATTATTATTTTACATGAACATCAAGGAGCACCCTTTATGGGCAATCCATAAAGGACCCTCTCACTTCCACCCAAACAACATTGAACATTAAGTTATACAGTTAACATTCATTGTGAGTATTTAATACATTCGCCTCAAATCAACATCATCACACTATTCCGCTTGTTCATAACAGAGTCAATGTCATATTATTTTAAAGTTGTCCCTAAACAAACAATCAAACAATCAAACGTTGATAATCGATTGAATAGACAAAGTCTACAACTACTTTTACAACTCCGACACCCAAGTCCAAGCGCTACACTTCACACGCCGCGACGGCCCTTGCGATTAAACCATGGGTATTCTAAAATTATTCACATTTGATGATTCATTGAAATACACTCACCTAGACTTCGATGGATAAGAATTATGTGTTCACCTTTGTTTGTTCCTGTCTTGATGAGAAATAGAGAGAGTGAGAGTCTCAAACAATCAAACAAAGATGTATATGTCGTGTGATCGTGTGGTGATTTGTGTTGGCTGGCCTGGATCACCAACATCACATGGAAGTGACTGTTTGTTAGTTTATTTGTTTCTTGATTGTCACACGATTGGATTGATGTCGTGGGTTGGTGATGTGGTGGTCGGTCAGTCCATCAAGAGTGTGTATGTGAGTGTGTGAGTATGTTAGTGTTTGTGCTCACTATTATTATTATTAATCAATTTAATTAAGTACATTGTACCTATCAGCTTCACCTTCATCCTTCCTTCTTTGTGTGTGAGTCATCGTGTTGTTGTTCTTCTTGTCAATCAATATTATTATTAATTACTTTTGTTTGTTCACTTCACTTCACTTCACTTCATTCAATCAATCAAACAATCAATCACTATTGTTGGATCAAACAAACCTGATTAACTAACTAAGTTCATTAATTCATTAATACATTATAATATAATCAGTCATTAATTAATAATCAAAAGCAATAACATGTCAGATAACGGTAAGTCAATCAATCAATCAATGAATGAATGAATGAATGAACGATGATCAGACAAACACAGATGATACAGACAAGACAGTCAGCTGACACTTTGAAATCTAAATCACAAACATGTTTAGATTCAGTTGATCAAGTCGTCCAGGAGTTTGGTGAGGTAAAGGAGGAGATCCAAGAGAAGGTCCACGAGGAGGTGGAGAAGGCAAAGGAGGTTGTGAAGGAGGCCGTCGAGACTGTTCATGTCACCGCCGAGAAGGTCTCTGAGAAGGTCTCTGAAAAGATACAAGAGGTCAGAAGTGAGATAAAGGCCGGTGGATGTTGCCCATACTCTGCCTCTGGAGAGTACTCCATCTGTCACCAAACCGCCAAGATCTGTAACGCTATGAAGTCATTCCCATGCCACGACTGCTGTATGTATCTTACTTCTTATAACAATCTCCGTGACCATACTAACATTCATTCATTGATCCAATACTACTACAGGCAACAAGGTTCTTCTTTGGGAGGATCTCGTCCAGACTGGACTGTTGTTCGTTATTGGCAACCTCGTCTTCTTGTTGTTGTGCTGCTTCAAGTACAGCCTTTTGTCGTTGGTCTCATACACTGCCATGGTTGCTACCGTCGTCTCTATGCTCTTCAACGTCGTCTCTATCTTGTTGAACAAATATGCCATCAACCTTGACAACCCAGTCACAGACAGATTGAAGACATTGAGCTTCCACATCGACCAAGCCGTCGTTGAGAAGTACGTCAAGGGTATCACCGAGCTCATTAACGCTATCCTGAGCATTGCAAAGGATGTCCTTAGCTGCAAGAGCTTGATCCTCTCTGCCCAGTTCGCCCTTGCCTTCTTTGTCCTCGCCACCATTGGCAAGTGCTGCAGCGGTCTTGGTCTTTTGTACACTGGTAAGTATTATCCCATTCACTCACTCACTCAATCGTCACTTACTTACAACGATCAATCAATCACATAATATATTAGTGTTCCTGATTGCATTCATTGCACCAAGATTGTACTTGGAGAAGAAGCAACTCATCGATGAGCAGTTGGTCAAGGTCAAGGCCATCGGACAGGAGATCATCAACAAGTTGCACCCATACATCAACATGGTGTGCGGCCATGCTGCTCCAGCCACCCCAGCTTCATCATCATCTTCATCGTCGACTACAGCCAAGCCAACAAAGAAAACCAATTAAATAGCCTTGGCGTAGTTTATTACACGATCGTCGACCGGTCGGACCATACCATCATCATCAATCAGTCCAAGCAAATCCCCCTGGATGTCCAGCCGTCGTCCCCCTTCACCTCTATCCATCCATCCCATTATCCAATATCCATCAACTTCATCATCATCATCACCATCATCATCCATCCACCATATGTAATCATACCATTCATCCATGGTATGCTTTTGGTGCATTCATTGTTCGTCACCAATCTTTCCTTCCATGTTGTGCGTTGCACCAATAAACTGATGTTGTAAATACCATAATATTATATAATTGAAGATGTTCAGACTAGGTTGTGTGTCACTGGCCCCAGAGATATGTTCCATCATCATCGTGATGGGGTATCTGGTATCGAACTTTCTTCACCAAAGCCACTTGGTGGTATTGTCAATCAATCAATTAATAAATCAGACAATCAATCATTTGATGGGATGACAAGACACCAATGGTGGGTGTTGTCATCAAACCACCTGAACCCGATGCTTGTTGTCGAGTCTCACTCATCATTGTGTTAGCATAAACCCAAACAAACAGGTTTTTTATCAAAGAATAGTGGACCAACTTTCACACTATTCAGTGGTTGTGTGCTTGAGTCTTTGCATTCATTCATCCCATCCATCTCATTCATTCATTCAATGTCTGGGACCATCACTTGCCGTTCAACAACATAGTATCTGTATAAAGATAGCATTTGCATCGCACCGACCGAGCAAGTGTGCGCATTGCAACTGTACAGTTCATTCCAGCAAGCAAGCAAGCAAACAAGGACACGATACACAATCACACCTGGTCCATCCCTTATTTATTATTATTATTATTATTATTTATTATTGTTGTTGTACATCAGTGTATTCAATCAATCAATCAGTCAATCAATTGGCCATCAAGGGAGCAGCAAGCAAGCAAGCCCGACAACCCAACACAACCCACCAACACACCAACCCAACTCGTGTAGCGAGACCTTGACTTGACCTAGACAATAACATCCCAACGGCAAGAAGAATGTTACAGTTCAATCGATTCAGGTCCAAGTTCAAGAACACTCAGTTGTTCAAACAGGCTGGCATTATCATCAGAGACCAAAAGACAAAGAAATCAATGTTAAACGGACGAAGAGTAGTAGTTGTCGGAGACGAAGGCTCATTCCTCGCCAACCTCTTGTCAAGTGTGCTGATACAGTTTGAGTGCAAGGTATATCAGGTCTTATTAACAGATGGTAGTGGTGGTGGCAATGGTACAGCAGCGGCGACATTATCAACTTCATCATCATCTTCAACGTCAACATCATCTGCGACAACAGCAACAGATCATCCTCAGATCGAAACAACATCTGTGGCATTATCAAGATGTTGGACAAGGAGTGGACCAAACATGTCGGCATCAGTCAATCAGGAGGAGTTGGCCAAGGTGATGGCCGTGGTGGTGGACGTGCTACGCGACAAGGACATTGTTGTGATATGCTGCGAGTGGGCAGAGTATGGCAACCTATTCGATCAGCTGGATATTGTGTCGCGTTGTTGCTTTGCCGCCGCCACCACCAATGTCGTGCTGGCATTCCCGATGGGCGTGGAGGAGGACCTGTTCACAACGTCCTCGCCCAAGTCCATTGAATCGATCTTTGAAGGAATCTCCACCAGCTTCCTATTCTACTCGGCCCTCATGCAGTGGCTATTCGTCGGACCGCCCAATCACAACGGGGCCATCGAGCTCCTCATCAACGACGACCAAGACGAAGGCTGCTTCTGGCTTGATTGTGACGACTTTGTAAAGGTCATTGTCGAGTTGGTATTACAGGTATGTTGATGGAGCAACGATCACGCCACATCCACTGGGGAATCATCCCACTCACTCACCAATCACGCCACCCCTTTGTAGATATGTGACAGGGAACATCACTCCCCTAATAATGGCAACATGCTTGGCGACAGCGAGAATAGAATGTTTATATTGACGGGCAAGGAGTGCTTGACATGCAAGGAGGTGTCAAACATACTGTTTAGCGAAGCACAGATCACCGTGCAGGACTACCATCAGCAGACCAAGACACCAGACACCTCACGGCCCGACTCACAGCGCAAGTTCTTCAACTATCTCAAGTCGCCCATATCGACGATGCAGTCACCCGACATCGAGTCATTCCTCAACCAGCAGCCAACGACGTTCAGTCAGTTCATTGGAAAGGTGCAAACCACTCAGTTGTTCAGCAAGATCAGTCTGCGCACGTCCATCTCGTCGTCGGGTAGCAGTGGCGATGGCGGTGGCAGCAGTCGGTCTTCATCACCAAGAAACAGCTGTGCAGGCACTGGACTCACCTCGTCCACCTCCTCCTCATCCACGCCCACCTCTCCAACATCCTCACTCACATCCAATGCTGTCAAGTTTGTCTCATCTCCATTCACCTTTTTAAAGTATTCCAAGGCATTAAGTATGTATAGTTCGATCAATCCATTGACCATTCAATCATTCACTAACGTGCTCAATCGTCCGGACGTGTATATATAGTCGAGGAGTCAATATACAAATCACCTGCAACGTCACAGAAGAAGAAGAATAACTCCAAGGTGGAGACAAACACATGGATATCATTGCTATCGTCTGGTTTCAAGAAGATGCTGGATACAACAGATACTGAATTGCCACCTGTTACACCAGAGGACTTTACCAAAGAAGTACAATACGATATCACAGAGTATGTTGCATCCACTCAATCAATCAATCATCCTGGAATCATTCCACTCACTTACTTAATCATTCTCTTCCACACTCACAACCAGCGACTATCAATCAAACTGGACATTCACATGCTACTCTCCCAATGTATTCAACAACATCAAGAAGTTCTACATGCTGGAAAACTTCCTTGTAAGTGTGTCATGTGACGGAGATACCTCACTGATTGATTGATTGATTGATTGAATCACTGACACATCAAACCCGGTCACACACTTATGTAGAAGTCAAGTAGTAGTAGTAATGGTATATCAGAGTTTGAAGAGGTCACTACTATTGGCAGGAGTGGAAGCTTCTTCTTTAGATCATTGGACAATCGATACTTCATCAAGACGATACCAAACAATGAGTTTATCACATTCACAAAGATATTCTCATCCTATTACCAAGTGAGTTGTTGGATGCCATTCATTCAATCATTCATCAATCATACTAACTCCTTCATTCAATCAATCAATGAACAGCACATCACCAAGTACCCGAACAACTTGCTGCCTCGATTCTTTGGACTTTATAGGTTAAAGGGCAAGCTACATATTGGTGGAGCAGGGTCTAGCCTCTCACCAAGTCCAAACGTGGCAGGACGTAACTCGTCCGATGGTAACATCTCACAACAACAACAACCTAGCCAGTCAGGAGAGTCAGTGGTCACAAGAGACAGAGATGTTGTATTTGTCATCATGGAGAACCTATTCTACAGCACACCTCAGATTGAGTTGCATGAACGATATGATCTCAAGGGATCCACTGTTGGCAGATACGTGGATGTCGATGAGTTGGACGATCCAATCAATCACACTCTCAAGGACCTGAATCTCAAACGAAAGATATACGTCGGCCCGTTCAAGAAGCTGATGGTGGCGCAACTGGACGTGGACACCGAGTGGATGGTCAACCACTTCATCTGCGACTACAGTCTACTCTTGGGCATTCACATCCCAAGTCACTCCACAGCAACATTCGAATCAGAGAGCAACAACAATAGTAGTCCTGACTCGGGTAGTGGTGGCAGCAGCAGCAACAACAACAGGCTGAGGCTACCACCTATCGCCGGCGTCCCATACTCCTCCTCATCAACAACAACCAAGAGAACATCAAACACACAACAGAAGGACATCTCATTCTTTAAGAAGGATGGGCATGGAATGCTGTCATGTATGCAGAAGCCAATGCAAGTAATACCCATTCGCAATGGCAAGACTATCTCGCCAGTGCCAAGCAGTGGTAATGTTGTGGACAGTACTGGTGGTTTTGCGAGTACAGGCACAAGTAGTAGCAGTAGTAGTAGCAGTAGACCAGCAAGATCAACATTATCAATTGGTGAGAATAGAGTCAAGGTGATTGTCAGCGAAGAGAGGACAAGTGGCACCACGACTACTACGACGACAACGACGACAACAGACGAGCACAGCATCGAGGAGAGCGACGAGCTCGACGATTCATTACGATTCGAGGAGGGCACTGTATATTTTATTGGTCTGGTCGACACTCTGACCACCTACGACTTCAAGAAGCGAGGAGAGCATGCCATCAAGTCTGTTTTGTTTGACAAGGTATGTTCACTATGATTGATTGATTGATTGATTGATGACTTGGTACACACACTAACCATGATCAATCACAAACATAGACACAAATATCAGCGATCAGTCCAAAGGATTATCGAGTCAGGTTCCTCAAGTATGTTCAGACTATATTCGAATGAACCTTCCATTATTCTTCCTTTGTCTATATATTTGATTGTTGATTGTTTGTCAATAAAATCAATCAATTATTTATATTTCCAGAATCCAATCACAATTCACAAGATGTTGGATTGATGAAATTTTGACCAATGGATAATGTTGGATGGAAATAATTATTTAAAGGCTCGTTGACAGGTTTAGTATTCTTCACTTCTCAAAGCATAATTGCTTTGATCAAGTGTAGTATCTGTTCTAGAAAGCTTAATATCTTTCTGTCCCAACAAGTTTGAGGACTAATAAGAAATTATGTATTTATTGTAGAGGGATAACTATTGACGTTGTTGAGCTTGCTCACCATCAATATAATATCAAGTACCCGCTCGGTATTGCACAAATGTCCGAGTTCCTAGGATACACCTCCATCCACCTTTTAAACTTAAAGATAAACAAACTTCCAAATATTAATATAAATATTTATTTTATTTTGAAACATTGGAAAGAAGTACCATTAATATATTCTCTTTTTGGAATTAAAGTATAATCTCCAGTACATTCAGGATTAATGAAATCATGACAATAGTTGAAACCAGAGACTTGATAGACCATATTCTTTGGATTCTCATTACATTCATTGGGTTCGAAATTAAATTCCGGTCCACAATTAGTATAGTAGAATTCTTTTCCTCCTGCACCCTTAATATTAGCCAGTTCAATTGAGTATCTTTCGAATTCTTCTTTGGTAACATTCAACTTGTAACAGAATACTGGCAAGGGTTTAGAGGTGGCACGCATGGATGTAAATCCTTCTGGACAAGGTGATTTGGAGGAAACAAAGTTAAATCTTCCTGTGGTGCACAATCTGAGAGGTCTAGCATTAATAATGGTTAACATAACCAAAACAATAAAAAATAATATAAATATTTTCTTCATTATTATTAAAGATATTTTAATTATTGATTAGTTGATTGATTATATTAATAATATTGATAATGATTTATTTTATTTATTTGGTGAATGATTTATTGATTGATTGATTGATTATATTAATATCGATACAAAATGGCAATTATATTGAGAAAGGATTACCATAAGTGTAACTGGATTCAAGTATTGATCAAACTCACTCACTCACTCAATCACTCACACATATTCATATATAACCCTCAGACAAACGTATTTGTAATCATTTCAATATTCGGTTGAGATGATGATACCGAGATTAACAATATTGATCAAATAGTATTTCCATTGAATGAACAATACTCATATTAAGCTTTAATACTTACAAGTATTACTAATGTCTTGATGTTGATTGAATGGGAAGTCAATGAATGGTGTAAGTTTATCAAATTTTTTCATTTATCAAATGATGAAGGAGGTGTTTTGAAAAGCGAGGGAAAGTGATGATCACTTGCATCTGAACTTACTCGCGAGTAATTATAATTATACATACAAGTATATATATATATATAAGACAAAAGGATCGAGTGAAGTGATATCATTTGTTGTTAATGATATCATAGGGTTGATACAACCTTGCACCTTCTTATATCTCATCCATCAGTCGATCGATCGATAAGTCAGTCAGTTAGTCAGTCAGTCAATCAAATCAAACACAATCGATATACAATGCTCAATAACAACAACAACAACAGTAATGGAGTCATCAATCATGATGATAATGATGATAATATATTGCTGATAAGCAAACGAACTGTCCCCTTTTATCCACTGCCATCAACTGCACCCGATATGTTTAGTAGTGGTAGCTCCACAATGATGATTGATCAGCAACAACCGCAACAATTAAAGCAACAACATACTAGACCATCAACTTCATATATAACATCAGATGGCAAGTCATCCTACTTCTTTGACGACAATGAACTGTTCCTATTTGAATGCGCCACAGGCTACCGTCTCACAACATGGTGCTTCGTTGACAATCAACGCGAGGTATGTAGTACTTGATGAACATGCTCCTGCCTGTCTCGATACTAACAATCACTCACTCGCTCGCTCGCATACCAATCAATCACTAAAGATGATGGTCAAGACAGTGTCAGAGTTCAAACATGATGGCATTATATACTTGTTGGCGGCTGTGTCTGATGGACATTCGTCGCAGTTGAAGCTGTTGGATTGCCAGATTGGAGGCACATTGTTGTCGATAGAGATACAGGGCGTGATCTCATTCATTAGACAGTTGGACAACAACTCATCGGTAGCAGTCACTGCTTCGTCCTGCTCAACGCCAGACTTTGTCTCGCGACTCAGATGCCCAGTGGCCATCGGCACTCAATCATCGGCCCAGACCATCCTCATAGATCTATGCTTCAATCGCATCATATTCAACAACAACAGTAACAGCATCAACAATAGGACGACGTCAATAGGTAGTGTTCATTCACTGTTTCAGTTGGACCCAGCCACGTACGACGCCAATCAATTCTGGCAGCAGGCCAACAACAGCACGCTGATACCTTCAGTGGTCCTGCCCCAGTCTGGCGAAGTGGAGCATGGCAACAACCCATCGTTTAGATACCCGGTCGACGCGCAGACTCAGGGCCTGGTGGTGAACGCCCGCGACCCCCACTCACACGTGCAGACGTCGCGCATGGCCAACGTCTCGGTGACGGCCATCGCCTACTTCCAGCCGCTCAACACACTGGCCGTCGGCTACAGCAATGGCTGCTTCCAGCTGTTCTCCAGCGAAACTCTGCGCCCAGTCTACAGCTCGGCGCTCAAGGACTATCGCAGCCCCGTCACACAGTTCCTCTTCCAGGACCTGGAGGACGACGCGGCCGGCTGCATGGCCTACCTCTGGGTTGGACGAGATCACCTGGCACCATCCATTGTATTATACAAGCTGATCTTTAGCAACTCGTCAGCGGTGGCCTCTAAGAGCATGGGCTCGCTGCAGGACGTGGAGAACCTCCATCTCGACGTGGTGACATCGGCAAGCGAGCGCGAATCGGCCGAGCAGACAGGCAAACTCCTGTACATGGGCTATCTGCACGAGAACCACAACATCTCGGAGGACGCAAGCCTCCCTCGTTCCGTCTCCATCTTTGTCTTCCGTCTGGACGACTCCCCTCGCAGCTCCTCTCTCCACATCAGCATCTTTGACCTAAACACATTCGAGCGTGTCGACAACAATCCATCATTCCGCAATAGATACCTAATTCATCTAACAGATACATCGATCAATTGTTCATTCAATGTAAGTCCAGTTCATGATGTTCATCTTGCCAACAATCAATCACTTACTCAATCAATCACTCCAATCGTTACAGGCATTCTGGCTTAACCAGACATCAGTGTCGCGAAGGATATTCGAGGAGAAAGAGGAAAATGCGCCATTGTTGGCCATCGATCATCCCAGCTTCAGCATGACGTTGCTGACCGATGTCTCCATATGTACATACGACTACCAAAACCCACAGGAGCGTGCCATCGGCCTGATGGCCAAGGGTGGGTCGCCCGTCTTTGCTGCGCCACAACAGCTCTACCAGCGCTTCCTCGACGTCGGCATCTTCACCACCGCCAAGTCCGACCCGGTGCAGCAGAGGAACGACCTCATTCTCTTTGCCCTGGACAACAACTTGTTCTCATTAGTCATTGATTGTAGGTAACTTTGACCATATCCCATGCTTACCCATGCACTAACTCTTCAATGGCAACTGAACATCATAGATGTCCAAGATAGCCAACAATCACGAGACATTGAGGGTATCATCCAGGTCAAGTACTTCCTCGTCAATCCAAAGCCAGTGTTGGAGTTGGCATGGGACTACTTTGTTAAACTCGACAATGGATATGATGTTGTCGAGGTGTTCACATCAACTGCCGCGGACAACGCATCTGCGAGACTGCAGATCAAGCTCGAGTCGACTTACGTTCGCATGCTGGACGTGTTTGCTGTGTTTGAATGCCTGTGCGAGCGATACATGGCCGAGAGCAAGACAAAGCAGGTCACGCCACATCTGCAAAGCAAGTACGATGCAGTGCGCATGTCCATACAATACCTCGAGATCATCAAGTGGGCCTCCTCCAAGGGTCTCTTCCGCCAAGATGTTATAGCGCGTATGGAGCTGATGCCATCCAAGGTGACGGCCAACGAGCGTCAACAACTGAGGGAGACCATGGCTGCCTCCAACCTGCGTCCAGCAGCCGGCGACATTCAGACCGATGACGGTCTACTCATCGATATACTCTACCAACGACTCAACCTCAATGAGTCCTACCCGCCCACGTCAAGCCTTCAGCTGAAGCACTTCTTTGATCTATTCAAGAACCCAGCCATGAAGATCAACAGGCTGATCGAAATAGTAAGCATCCATCCTGCCAGACCAGTCAAGATTGGCCAACATATTAACCATCTCAATCAATCAATCATCCAGGTCTACTACATCCTCTTGGACTTGACTGTTGTGGATATCGTGCCATATGAAGTCCTTCAGTCGTTTGAATCCACATTCTATTTGTCGCCATGGAGCACCAACTTTGTCCAAGGCATCTGGGAGTTGGACTCAGCGCCATTGATGGAGGGCGACGTAATGGTCTCGATGCACACATCTCTCCACCATCTCAACCACTCAAAGAAGGCCAAGAGGTACGCCTACCACATCCTCTCGCGCTTCTACATCTACAAGGCACATCGTTGCGCCATCATGTTCATGAAGAGCATAGGCTTTGAGCCCAAGGACATCAAGGAAGCCGTCCTGGCGATGAGGATCCTCCTGGCCAACGGATGCCTGGTCGAGGCATTCCTGTTGGAGCGCGCCTTCCGAAGCAGGTTCCCCACGCTCCCTCTGACACAGACCGAGCAGCTCGCCACACTGTTGTTTGATCACTGCAAGAAGGAACGCAAGCTGGACAAGGTGATGGAGATGCACCTCGATGACTTTGAGGACCAATGCTTTGTCCACTACCTGTACACAATCAATGCCGCCGCACTCGTGCCATTGTACATGGTGCGCAGAGGTCGCATTGCAGAGGGCTGCAGCGTCCAGCACCAGCTGGGCAGCGCCGCTGGCTTTGACTCGATCAGACACTTTATTGGCAGCGTGGAGCAGTCACTGCCCAAGCAACAACAGTTTAGCGATCGCGAGAGTCAACAGCAGCAACAACAACAATCATCTGCTGCTGAGGACATTCCAGACTTGCCTCGTTCAGTGATGAGAATGCAACAGAGACAACAGCAACAACAACAACCACAACAGCAACAAGCAAAGTCATTCATGTATCCACCAAGGATATTGGAGAAGCCAATCACCAAGCTATACAACGACACTCTGGACTTTGCCGCCAAGGGCCTGGATACAGACACATTCAGGGGCTTCGAGATCCCCAACGTCCAGATGAAGGATTATCCACCCGCTCCACCCTACGAAGAGGAGATGGACTACCAGCAGCATCAGCAACAGCAACAGCAACAACAGCAACAACTACACGAGCAGATGGAAGACGACGACAATATCACCTTGGACACGGACATGGTCTACAACCCACCCGCCGACAGCTACATGGATTACATCATGCCGCTGGCAGATACAGTGGCGCACGCTGAGTCTCAACATGTTGATGAGCCAGCCCAGTTCCGAACACCACCCAACGACAGTGACGAGGAGCAAGACCGCTCGTCATCCATCACCTCCCAGGATGACAGCAATGGAACCTCGTCACCCATAATCATGCGACCACTCAAGTCGGCGATGAAGGTTCAGGGCACGCCATCCAAGAAGAAGAATGTCAACTTCCAAGAGGACAACAATAGCATAAGGTGGATTGAGGCCCTAGAGAAGAAGGAGGTTGAGGACTACGGTGAGGACGAGTATGAAGAAGAGGATGACTTTGATGGCGAAGAGGGCGAGGAGGACGAGGATGACGACACATATAATATCGGCAGCGGCTACAACTACAGCAACAACATGCAAATGATGGACGACTTTGATGACGACAACTCTGAAGAGGATGAGGACGCTGTCTATGACGAAGACGACGATATGATCATTCACAACGACGTCCCCAACGAGCCACCTTCGTACCTCAAGAAAATATGGTCCAGCGGTTCGGACGAGGAAGAAGAGGAAGCGGAAGAAGACGACGACGATATAGGCTACGATCAGGATGGAGGCTACGGTGGATCTGATGACCAAGAACTACTTACCAATGGCACAGAGGACCAGCCCATCTCCTTGGACTCTGACGACGACGATGATACTAGCGCCAAACCAATGACCACTGCACCTCCATCACAAGCTCAAAAGAAGCCAGCACTAAGGTTCAAGGATGACTTTGAGGACGACGACGAGGACAGCGACTTTGAGGACTATGACGAAGATGAGGAGCCTGTCGAGCCACTGGTCATGACATCAGAGGAAGAAGATGAGGAAGAGGAGCAAAGAGTTACATCAAGAGTCAAAGAGATCGAAGAGGATGAAGACATGGGACAACAGCAACAACAACAAGGAGGTGATGGTGGCGAGCATGAAGGTGATACAGAGCAAGAGGAAGAAGAAGAAGAAGGAGTAGAGAAAGGCCAGACATTGGAGTTGCACTACGATGAAGAGCCATCTCCTGACAGCTCTCAACCAAAGATCCTCAATATCGTTACTGAGATGCCACCCGATGTGAAGCCAGAGGACAACAACGAAGAACACGAGGCTGATCAAGACACCGACGAGCAAGTGGAAGATGAAGTAGAAGCAACTGAACAGACAGCAAAGCGAGTAACTGAGATGGACGAAAGTGGTGATGCTGGTGATGAACCAGCAGCCAAGCAGGAAGATGATCCAGAGCAAGAGCAAGAGGAATCGTCGACGCCATCCACAGAAGAAGAAGAAGACGAGCAAGAAGAAGACGAACAGGACCGACCCAAGGCATCGACCAAAGGGAAGCGCAAGAAGAAGGTCAGGGCCAGCAGAGGCCAATAAACAACCCTTTACCCTTACCCTTACCCTTGTTCACTCACTGCACGCACTTGATACATGGATGCATGGATGAATGCATGAACAGACCTTCATACCACTTCCCATTATAGATTCTCGAGATGGAGTTGATGTCTAGGTTTGGTAAACATAACCTTTTTTGGCTTGTAGATGCGTAGTAGCATCGATGTGGTTTCAGATCACCCTTTGTACCAAATCAGGTAATATTACCTATTATGTATAAACCATACTTATAAATGTGTCCTATCATTCATACCTTCACTCTCTTTCCACTCATTCATTCAATTATAAATAGAACTGTTCTACTCTTACATTCATTCATTCAATCATTCAATTACTTGTTACTTCCAACTCTATCTCTAATAATATTAGAATACTCTATCAACTACCAATTATTATCAAACAATCATGTTTTCTCTCAAACTTAATATCTATCTTTTAGTTGTCCTTGCTGTCCTCGTGTTCCTTGGAACAATCCGTGCCCAGTGTAAGTAGAAGTACTTTCAAGTTTGCTAGATCAATCAGCACTTACTAACCAGCTATTTCATAGCTGGTGACGATACTTCTGGTAGTGACTCCAGTGGAAGTTTCTCTGGCAGTGACCCTATGTCTGGTGATATGAGTGGCAGCTCTACTGGTGACTTTGGCTCCTCTGGAGACACCAGCTCATGAACTCCTTCAACTGTCCAACGGTTTCAACTACTGGCTCCCACTACTCCCAATGTCCAAGATATCTAGTAGGTGTCAGTGACCCTCAACCAATCAACAAACCAACTATTTATTGGATGATTCATTTATCCTAATAAATCACATCTCTCCAGAATATTATTGTATTACCCTCTCTATTCAATCATATTCAATATTGAACTTCAAATGGAAGCATTCCAAATTGAAAAGTGTGTGTATCCTTCCCATGTTCATATCAAACTCAATCATTTGCCTTTGTCTCTACACTTATACTTGACATACATATACATACTGACTTACTGACTGACTTTGTTATTGTCTAGACAACAACAACAATGACCAGCAAGTTAGACGAACTACAGTGTAGGCTTACAGACTACACTCGCCTCAAAGGGTGAGGCTGTAAGATACCTCAGAAGGAACTGCTCGCCCTTCTCGAAGGTATCGGTGATGGTATAGGTTTCGATTGTGCTATAGTCCCAACAAAGTTCCCCGGTATAGTGATGGTTACAACTACTGATGTATGTACACCCCTCATTCATTCATTATCATCTCACTCACTCATCTCTCTAACAATCATAACTAGTTCTTCTTCCCCAATGTCGACGACCCTTACTTGATGGGTAAGATTGCCTGTGCCAACGTATTGTCTGATCTCTATTCGTTCGGTATCGATGAATGTGACAACATGCTCATGCTACTTGCTGCCTCAACTGATATGTCTGTTGAGGATAGAGCTTGGAGTACCCGTGGTCTTATTGAAGGCTTCAACGGTAAGTAACATTTCGTGCAATACCCAACGAGCGCATCATCTAACATATACATGTATACACAATAACAACAAAGATCACTGCAAACTAGCCGGTACCAAGGTTAGAGGAGGTCAGACCGTCAAGAATCCATGGCCAATCATTGGAGGTGTTGCCACATCAGTTGTAAAGAATGAAGACATGATCATGCCTGTTAACGCAGTACCTGGTGATGTGCTCGTGCTGACCAAGCCACTGGGCACTCAGGTGTGCGCCAACTTCCACCAATGGATCAGACAGCCAGAGAAGTGGCAAAAGATCGAGACCATCGCTACACACGAGGAGGCGAGAACAGCCTTTGCCTACGCCACCAAGTCGATGGCCCGTCTCAATCGCACTGGTGCACGTCTCATGAGGAAGTACCATGCCCACGCCTGCACTGATGTGACGGGCTTTGGTATTGCCGGTCACTCTGACAACCTCGCCAAGAACCAACTGCAACCCGTCATCTTTGAGATCCACACCCTGCCAATCATTGAAGGCATGCGTAAGATTGACGAGCACTTGGGCAACAACTGGAAGTTGACCAGCGGTCTCTCAGCCGAGACCAGTGGTGGTCTTCTCATTGCCATGCCAGAGGCAGCCGCCAAGGAGTTGATCAGCGAGATCGAGGAGGTTGACAAGCAACCCGCATGGATCATCGGTCGTGTCCTCGCATGTGAGCCTGGCGAGAACAAGTCAGTGATCCTGCCCAACCCAACAATCATCGAGGTCAAACCCAACCAGAACTTTGACTTCTAATCAACATGGAACAAACCATCCTATCACCATCAATCAATCAAATCTGTACCAATCAATCAAAAAAAAGTAACAATCAACCAATCAACAATCAATCAATCAACCAGACAGACAACAGCGAGCAAATGCACTTCCACAACAACAACAACAACAACCTATACTACAGCCAATTCCGAATGAATCTGAGCAGAGATATCATTCGAGGCGGTAGGATAGCAGTGGATAGTGTGTTGGCAACACACCACATATATGTGAAGAGATAGAACTTAGGAATAGCGATGACCTGTAATGACTTGTAATGGAATAACCTCAACGAAGGACTCAATTACAACGACAACCTTGTCAGCACTAAGTCCACCAATACTCCTCAATCACATTGTTGCCAACAATAAATGCCCGCATCACTGATTTGTACATGTACACTTGGCTGTCTGTCTGGTTCGCCAGTTGTCTGGCAGACTGGATGCTGGCTGGATTGGCTGGCTGGTCAATCAATCAGATGTCTCTAACTCTTCTCCAGTTCGCATAATCATTTAATTAATCAACTTGTCGATGTGGGAAACTTACTGAACATCAAGATGGGGTTGAGTGTGGGTGATTAATCAACTGATCCAGAGTGTTGGTTTGACAGACTGTGATATTATATCACCTGACTGTACAATTTAAGTGAATGTACTTAATACGATTGATACTGGATAAGGATACCATGAATGATTAAAAATAACTCTAACTGATTGTTGAATTATAATGATGAGCTAGCTGTCAAAAGTATCCTTGGACAATCCAATCAACTATTTAAGGCCACCAATATCAATCCCAGAAGATATCAAATCAATCCAAATATCTAAAGTCTAATCAATTAATCAATCTAAAATGCTGTACAGTAAGTACCAACAACAACAACAATTATTGAGTTGTTCCATTATTAACAATGATGTAACAAATTTAGAATCACTTGCCAATCTCTCTGGAATGACCTCCAACAACCAAATGAGCAACAATGGACAGGTCCAATCAAAGAATACCACATCAGGTGTTACTCAATCATCCAACTCCACTGCATTACTCCATGTTGATGCTTATATCAACCTCCTTAACATTCTTGTTATTAATAGATTGAAGATTGATATCTAAATCTTCCTTCTTCATACCCAATCATCTTTGTATAACTTTGTATTAATAATAATAATTAAGCGAGAGATAAAGAAAGATAACATTCTTTGTAAAGAATCGTCTCCATCATCATGGCTCTCCGATGTCGGACACCCAACAACAATGCTACAACATAACTCAAAAAATCAAAATAGGTGTCGTTTGTCGTTGATTTAGAAGATGGGCGACGCATCTTGGTTGTGACGCCTACGAAAGTTAAGGTGAAATGCTATTTTCCCATGAATCTTGGGTATGTGGTTGTAGCCAAAATTACCCCAAGAAGGACATCGTTGTTAATGTTTTTTTGGTGCTGATATTAATATTATTGTTCGGTTTTGTTTGTAGTTGTGGTGAGTATGATTGTTCCTACTACCTCTACCTACAATGTCAATAACAACAATAACAACAATCATTTGATTTCTTCGTACTTTTATTCATCATTCATTCAATCAATTATTATTATTTATTATTTGTTTGATTATCTATCTATTCACACATCTTACCCCCCCTCTCATTTTGACTTTTCTATCGAACAGTTGTCAACTTTGCATCGTCGACAATTATCTTCTGACTCTCACACACACAACACACATCATTCAATATTATCACACACTTCAAACAAACAAATAATAACATTACTTAACAAATAATAATAATAATAATGACAAAGAAGAATACTTCAACGGCAACAGCCGCGGCAAATAATGCAACAGCAGCACCGGCAAGCCGCAACCCACTCAGATTCGTATCAGTGATCCCAAAGTCATTGTTGCGCTCATCACAGAATATAACGAGGAAGGGATGGTCAATGATCCGTCGCCTGCCAATTAAGAAGCCACCTCAACTTATCCGCTGGGACTTGCTGGGCGTCACCGCTTCCTACATATGGGGCCTGGTCAACCGTCGTCGTCTGCCTGTTGCCCTTCGCTCGCCACTCTACTCGGCTTGGGCCTACACATTCAAGTGCAACATGGACGAGATCCCCGCACCACTGGACACCTACCCATCGCTTGCAGAGTTCTTCTCACGACCCATCAAGGAGGGCACTCGCCCAATTGCCGAGGGCGGCATGGTCAGTCCCGTGGACGGCCGTGTGCTCGCCTGTGGCGAGGTCCTCGGTGACAAGGTGGAGCAGGTCAAAGGTGTCACATACTCGCTACAACAATTCCTCGGTTGTGAGCCATCATCTCTATTGCAACGTTCAAACACCAAGCTGTACCAATGTATCTTATACCTCAGTCCAGGCGACTACCATCGTATCCACTCCTCCGAGGATTGGACCATCAACAAAAGAAGCCACTTCCCAGGTAACTATCAATCAATCAATCTCCCTCTCATCCCGTAATCATCACTTGCTAACATCCACTCACTCAATCAAACATTTACAGGCACTCTCTTCCCTGTAAATAAACCATTCCTTAAGTTAATTCCCAGTCTGTTCGCATTGAACGAGAGGATCGTTCTAATGGGCGACTGGACACAGGGATTCTACTCACTGACCGCCGTGGGAGCATACAATGTAGGCTCGATCTCGCTCAGCTTTGACGAGGTCAACTCGAACAGGATCACACGTGACTTTAGATGCAAGAATTTGGAATACTTCTCGATGAAGGGTGTCGGCAGCCACTCCTACGACAGAGAGTACGAGCACCCTGTCGAGCAAGTCAAGGGTCAAGAGATTGGTCAATTCCATCTTGGCAGCACCGTCGTTCTCATCTTTGAGGCTGAGGACTTTGAATTCAATGTCCAAGCTGGCGACTATTGCAAGATGGGTTCTCTCATTGGCTCCATCAAGTCATAAAGATACTACTACTACAATACTGCCTCTTCCTACATTCTTTCCTTTTTCCTTCCTAACTCATCATACACCTTTTAATCAAATAGACCTCCATTGGTACACATCATAAGGGTATTCAATAAAGTATCATCAAACTATATTTATTAGAAATGACCAGTCGGTCCCAGGTAATGAATGCATTGCTAAATTAGACGTCAACATCATCATGTGATCAGAGCCATTCTCCGGGGTGAGTCCGAAGTGTTTCCCGTCTCACCATCATCAAACACACTAACACCACACATCATTTTTATCACGTACCACTTCGAACCCATGATGGAAGCTTCATGAACGCCTTCCATTTCGAACATCACATTTAATGTCATTTCCATCTTTGACCATCGATTTAATATAAATATAGTCAGCTGACTAAATATAATCAGTGTTAATACATACAACAATCAAAAATAACATCTTTTACTATCAATCAATCTATCAAACGAACAACAATGCCTATCGTATTAGTACTCGGAGCAACTGGAATTATTGGCAATGAAGTAGCCAGTCAATTCATCAGAAAGGGATATGAAGTATTTGGTTTGGCCAGGACTGAGGAAAAGGCCAATCAATTGAGACGTGTTGAGAGTATGTATCGCATCATCAATCATGTCAGCTGATGACAACAAGACATCAAACTCACAATCAATCAATCGATCAAACATCACAGTCCAACCAATCCTTGCCAATGCCCAAGAGACGAACAAGTGGATAGATGTAGCCAAGAAGGCTGATATCATCATTGAGGCGATTGCAGACTACTCAAACAATGATGTTCAGTTTGCTGTGTTCGAGGCTTTGTCAACTATTGCCAAGGAACGCCCATCAGTTGTGATCATCTACACTAATGGTGTCTGGATGTATGGCAACAACAATGGTCAGTTGATCACAGAGAACCAACCAATGATCAATAGCAACGTGATCTTGGCACCACGCATCGAACTGGGCAAGCAGTACTCAAAGTTGGGTGCAATCACCATCTTGCCCTCGCTCGTCTATGGAGGAAGTGGAGCTCACAGTGGCGGCTACTTCAGAGCGATTGAGACTGGCGAGATCACATTGTATGGTGCTGGTCAGTACCAAACATACATCCACTACATTGACATTGCTGCAATGTACATTGCCGCTGCCGAGCGTGCCAATGAGCTGCGCGGTGAGATCTTCATTGCCGGTGCCTACGTCGACAAGGTCGAGGACATTGTTCAAGGCATTGCCAAGGCTCTTGGCAAGACGGTCAAGGTTACTCACGTCCAGCCCGCCGACCCATACCAAGAGTGTCTGGCACTCAACCAGCGTGCCTCCAATGCCAAGGCACAGATCAAGCTCAACTGGAGACCTACCCAGCTATCACTTATCGATGGTGCCAAGAAGTATTATGAGGCCTGGAAGATCTTGGCCCCAGCTGCAACCAACTACAAGTATTAAGGTGGAATAAACACATTATTGTCTCGTCGGACACCAGTTCATAGACTGGCTGGTGTCCATCATATTGTATAAATGAAGGAAGTAAGTGCAGTCGCCCACCTCGATCATGGACCATGTTGATCATGGAACGCCATGCTCCAAGCAAGGTGTGCAACTTGCAAAAGTTGTTACATGTTATTGATTCGTTTGATTATCTCGTTGATACTACACTACACTACATATATGTTGTTACTTTAGACTATTGAAAAGTCTATCCAGGATAGATGTGCTGGTTGATGGTGTGATTGATGTCCTCACGCCCGGGCTACTGCTAGTGGACGATGAGTTTGTGGATGGACTTGTTGATGGACTGGCGGTGGATGTTGATGGCTTGGCTGTCGACGTCGACGTTTGTTTGTGATCGTCCTCATTGTCGGAGCTGCACGCTGATGTGTCTGGCGACTTGTAAGGTGTGTCGACCTCGTTGACAGAGGTTCGGGTCGATGAGACTGGCGTGGTGTATGATGAGGATGGCGTCATTGACAGTGGAGATTGAGATGGAGTGACTGCTGACGAGGAGGTTGTCGCGCCCTCCACCGCCAGCAACTCTGATATTGTCTGTTTGAGTTGGAAGTTCTGGGGAGAGATCATGGTCATGCGCGGTTGTCTGGTATGTGGCTTTCGCGATGGCGTTGGTTGCTTGTCCATGTTGTTCTTTGACCACATTGGACTGAACGTCAATGATTTCTCCGTCACCTGATTGATGACCTTTACAAAGTCCTCCTTCCAAGTGATCTTATCCTCCTCCGTGTTCAAGCAAATGACTACAGCGCACTCCAGTGTATGTAGTTTAAAGAAATGTCTTTCCTCAACTACATTGATTGATTGATTAATTGATGTTAGTGATGTGCTCCAGGTTGGATGTGATTGACTCCTCTGGACTACGTACCTGGGGTGGTCCTACTCCTCTGGAAAGCCATGGATATATTGCTAAAGTTCAAGTTATTTACATTGCCAGGAGTGCTCTTGTTGTTGTTGCTGACTCCATCCTCCTCGTGTCCACTGTCTTCCACACTCTCTGATCTATTCCTACTATTATTATTATTATTTACACTTGTCGTCGCCGACTCGCTTGTGTTTGACTGATCATGTTGTTGTTGCTGTTGCTGTTGTTGTTGCTGTTGTTGTCTACGCTCTGTTTTCTTCTTATAATGATCAACTATTGTACTGTACTCTAGGCTGACCACCTTCTCCACCTCATAATATGCCTTCATCTTCTTGGTGATGATGAACATGTCGTTGAAGAGGTAAAAGTAGCGCAGACTGACTCTGGTCGTACCGCCCTCGCCTGCCACCGAGCCCGGCCTGATCGTGCCGTACTGGGCCTCGTGATTGCCGCCGTCCGTCCTGATGATCTTGCCCTCGCCCTCGCGCACCAGTCGTCGATGTGGCTGGAACAGGTCGGGCACGGGCGGTCGCAGTTTCTGGCATATCTCAAACATCGCTTTTGAGCTGTCGTCCTCCTTCATCTGACGATTGATCAACTTGGCAATCTCGTCCATCATCTCGTATGCCTTGCGTATATTGTTGTAATCTGCATCAGTCTCCAATGTATATTTCAGTAATTCTCGCAGCAGCAACGCGTATCTGGGTATCCTTTGTATTGGCATGCTAACAAATGATTGTAAGTCCCTCTTTCCAACTCTATCTATTGCCTTGCATTGCTGTGTTGGACATGGTTAGTTATGTATTGATTGATTGATTGATTGATTTCCGGAACTATTCCAGCCCCCGCCAAACCCCACCCCACTCGACTGATCACTCATACATACCTTGATGAACTCGATAAAGGATGGTCGTTTGGATGCATTCTCAAGGACTTTGAGACATCGAGGAAAGTTGGTGATGTAGTGACTGTAGGGCACTTTGAGGAAGTGGATCATGTCGAGAAAGACGTCGCCAATCTTGATGGACTCGTCCCATTGGTCGTGCACACGCTCCTGGATCTTCTCCAGCAGCTGTGTGTTGTAGAGCATGATCACCTCGATCTGTGAGAAGACGATCTTGACCTCGTCCAGTGTGAGAGGCGGCTGGTCCATCGCGGCCAGCTGCTCGAGCACCAGCAGTGGAGGTGGGACAACGACCGTCGTGGTGTTTGTTGATGCATTCAGCGATGAGTACGATGGCAGAGCGGTGGTTGAGGCCGACATTGATGACATTGATGGCAGATGGTGATCGCGGTCACCTGTAACAGAGCCCTCGACCGCAGCACTATTACTCCTGTCGCGTATTGGTAGTATGAACGATGGCATCGATGACAAAGTATCAGCTGCCGAATCATCGCCCTGTGCCTGCAGCGCCAGCGTCTTCAACGGCAAGAAGTAGATATTGATAATGATGTGAATGAAATGTGTATAATCCTGCTCTGACACCAACAGTTCCTTCATAACCTTGGACTTGCATACTGTATTCCCGAGTTAGTATCTAGTTGTGTGCAACACAAACATCGTCGACAGTGGATACATACGGAATAGTCCCCACTTCCTCCTTTGTGAGAAGCCCTTCCAATGCTTCTGAATCATGATGGCAGACTTGGCACGCTTCTTATCTTCGAGCTCATCGACAATGCGCGGTGTGTATATTATGCGACGAGTCTCGGCCTCGGACTCGGGCGACAGGCCTGATTCGACATCGCCTTGTGAACCGTATAGTGTACCTCTACTATGTTGACGATGTACCACACGATCATCACCTGGTTGATTCTTTGTTGTATCGTCTGATGTCGACGAATACGAAGATCCCATCCTATATGTGATGGATGTGCTGGTGGTATATTGTCCACGCTCCTTTCACCTCTTTGGGAGTAGCTTGGTCAAAATGTGTCGTCGCGAATGAATGACTGAATGATTGTGTACAACGTTTCTGGATTTGTTTGTTTTGTTTGTTTTGTTGTCTTTGTGAATGAGTGAATGAGGAGGACAATGATGACTTGGCTTGTATGATTGATTGATTGATTGATTGCAATGATGTGTCAGGACGGCCAATCGATCGTTTCGTTCAATTTAAGATATATTTATATTGGCTGTGTGGCGCGCTTGTTAACTTGTTGTTGTTGTTGTTGTTGTTGTTGATAATAGCTGCAAATAATTCTAATGTTGTCTGATGTCTGTTGTCTGTTGTTATTGTTGTTGTAGATAAGATTGGTGAATGAGACAGAGAGAGTTGATTGAGTGTGATGGTTTGGAAAGTAAGCAAACACAAACAATCAAACAGGTGGTGGTTGCCCAAGCTTCCAGGACGCACACAACTTTTCGAAACACAATCAGTTGGATTCAAGTAATTTTCAATCAGAGATTCACTCAATGTTTGATCTCAATACTATTATGATAGGGTGTCTCTCTTTAATAGAGATAGAAAGATGTTATATGTATATATATCAATTTGATCGATCAATCAATTGAAGTTATATACTTATCTGGATGATGGTTTATACTTGTGACAAAGTATTTTTGATGCATGTTGACATGTGACAATATAATTATCAATACAATATTTGAATGAATGATGACATGAATGAATGACACTGTTCTGTATTAGTCTGATTATATGTATTGATTATCTATCTATTGATCAGTCACTTGATCTGTATCTGTCCAAATTTAGCAATCTATGACTGATTTTCAATGAATCTAGTTCCGACCTGCAATCCAACAGACTGATTTTTTTTTCCGTATCACTCTCAAGTGATGGGTCTTGATCATCGGTATTAAGGTCTTACAAACAAACAAACAAGTGATCATTCCAATCAATCATTCAATTCAAACTTATAAGTAGGTAATAGTACTACACCTTATACAATAATGGAGTCTTATTTTGTTACAAACACCTTGCCCTACCTTTTCACTCTATCACTTTCATTCGCAACATGCCCACATGACATGCGGGCAATTCAAACCAAGTCAGCCAACCAAACAAACCCAAACCCAACAATTTATCCAAACTATCTGTCAATCAGTCGACGGTGTTCAGAAGAACCATCGTCAATCAATCAATTAATCAATCAATCTTGGCATCATCGGTGTTAGGAGTACTCAATCAATCACAATAACACCGACTACCTACACTACAACAACACTGCAGTGCCATTCATTGGCGAGCCATTCACATTACTGATCGGCACACACTCACACACACAAATCAACGAACAACCAACCATTGATTGATTGAGATTGGCCGTTATTATTTGTCATTTTCAAAAAAACATCTGACATGGATGGAGCAGAGCGGCCCTCAAAGTGTGCGCTTGTGTTCATTATTGTTTGAATGAATGGACCACCCACCACACCACCCAGCCCAACAAACATGGGTTCGTTAATGCTCACAGATGGGCGCTCAGACCCTCATTGTATGGATATTTGTGGATTTTATTGACTTATTTATTTGTTTTTTTTTTATTGTCGCCAAGTGTTTTGTGTATGAAGTGTGTGAGTGTGTATTAGAGACAAGGAGGATGAGCGAGTAAGAGCATACATTGACATTGAGTTAAGTGTGGCGTGTGGGGGGACTGTGTGTGTGTTTCGTCCAACAGCAGGCGGGCAGACGGACTGGCTGCAACGGCTCATTCATCAACACGCCTTCTTCAACTAGTTGTTATTATTTACACATAACAAATACTTACTTATTAGTATCTAAACAATCAATCAAACAGATAATTCAACTCTTTGTAATATACCCTCTCACTTTTTTTTTTAAACTTAAACTTAAACCAATCAATCAAGAATGACTGAGTACAAGCTTGTTATTGTCGGAGGTGGTGGTGTTGGGTAAGTAACAACAACAACAACATAAGAGATGGATAGATAGATGGACAGTAGTGGTGGCATCTTGCATCAGCGACAGAGTCACATACCTCAGTCATCGTCATCATCGACAAACAAATGGCTTGACCTCACTTTGCGATGAACTTAATGTCCTCATGTACAATGAACGAGTCATTCTCGAGTAGCTACACCTTTCATCTGAGCACATTTGCACAAACAAGGTTGACAAAACAAAGACATGACAATGATGCGTTTGAAGATGGACGGGAATGGATACTCGAGATACTCTCATGCATGCAGGGGATGGTTCAAGGCACAAAGTGGGTCAAACCAAAGACTTGACCACATGATATACTAACAATCAATAATCAATCATTAACAAACATAAACAGCAAGTCTGCCTTGACCATTCAGTTGATCCAGAACCACTTCATCGATGAGTACGATCCCACCATCGAGGATTCTTACAGAAAGCAAGTTACCATCGATGATGAGACTTGTCTGCTGGACATTTTGGATACTGCTGGTCAGGAGGAGTACTCGGCCATGCGTGACCAGTACATGAGAACCGGACAGGGCTTCCTTTGCGTCTACTCAATCACCTCGCGTTCGTCATTCGATGAGATTGCCGCCTTCCGTGAGCAGATTCTCAGAGTCAAGGACAAGGACAGAGTCCCAATGATCGTCGTCGGAAACAAGTGCGACTTGGAGTCCGAGCGTCAAGTCACCACCGGTGAGGGACAAGATTTGGCCAAGTCTTTCGGTTGCCCATTCCTTGAGGTATGTTATGTCATTGATTGATCGCGTATCCTTTAGTCTCGCAGTCACTAACTAATATCACCTCTTCACTCTCTTCTTTATCTCTCTCTCTTCTTCTCTTTCCCTACTTCGCTCCCCGCCCACCCCGCCACACATACTAGACCTCTGCCAAGATCCGTGTCAACGTCGAGGAGGGATTCTACACTTTGGTCCGTGAGATCAGAAAGGACTTGAAGGGAGACTCCAAGCCAGAGAAGAACAAGAAGAAGAAGAACATCATGAACAAGTGCACTCTTCTCTAAAGCGTCTGCTGTGTGCTTTAAATTAGTGTTGCGCTCAAGCGTGCGTTCGACTTTAACCAATTACCGACCAATATTATCAAATCAATCAACCAAGTGACATCAAACTGTTCTTCCAAACATGGATCAGCTGACACCAACGAACAATCAATCGTCTTTTCAATCAAACAACAACAACAAACAACATGCCAACCAATCAACCAAACTTCATCCACTTGGTCTACAACCGAGTAGAGCTTATTTCCAAACCAGCCACATACATGTATTATACCTCCAACTCCCGTACACAATAAATAGTTGCTTGTTTCCTTCCAACTCCACTCCAGTTGTCAACTTTAATTGCCCTACCATTTGGCAACCTTTCCAAACATCTTGACACAGTTCTCCAGTATTGTATCCCATGTTGTGATGAACGTCCTTGATTTCTTGTCCATTGCCAACAAGTGTTGATCGTCGAGACGCCTCACTGATACAAGTATCTGTTTGTGTTGGGTGATTGATAGGTTGGGTATGCCAGTGTCCTTGTACTGTTTTAGCTTGGATCGCAATACACTTGTGCTCGGTAGATTGTCCAGGATCAATGTGTGTAAATTTCCGTTGAACTCGCTGTTGTTGGGCATCTCATCCATGTTATCATAATAGTGCTGGTGATCAAGTTTGATGCATTGTATGCGACAATGTTGTAGGGCCTCTGGCGGTATGGACCCTTTGTTCGAGCTGAAGCAGTAGCTGAGGGAGGTGAGTGACGCCGGAAGTATGTAGACAATGTCAACGTGATCGCCTAGGGAGAGATCTGTGAGTGATTGAGGTAGAGAGTGTGATTGCAGGCTGTGAGCATAGTCCTGACTGAGAATCAGTGTCTCCAGAGAAGATGGTAGAATGCCTGGACCCATCACATGATTGTAGCACTTTCCCATATAAAGATACAACATTGATTTGGGCAAGGCTCCAATCTCCAACTCCTGGTTAAAGTCGTAGCCAAGCTTCAGTTTGGTCAATGAGTTGGGAAGGACATTGGGCTCGAGAGGTCTATTGAATTGTTCATCAAAGATGAGCACTCGAAGTGTTGATGGGAGAACATCTTGTTCGATAGGTTGGTTGTACTTGTAACTAAATCTGAGCTTGATGAGTGACGCAGGAAGGGTGCCAGGTGTGATGAGCTGATTGAACTCGCCAAACCATATGTATGTCACTGATGAAGGTAGTGACCCAGGAAGGAGAGGCAGGTTGAATCCACCCGTGCTGATCATTGTAAGTGAGCTTGGCAGTGCGCCCGGGACAAGTGGTACCTGGTAGTGCTTGCCCAGCCAGAGGTCTTTGACTGAGTGCGGGATGACACCTGGTTCAAAGGAATGAGAGTATGCGGCACCGAGCCACAATGATGTTACACTGCTGGGTATCGAACCAGGCAATAGGCGTTGATCAAAGTTCTCACTCATGTTGATATCAGTGATGGTATCAGGTATATCACCGGGCGCAATGGGAAGGTCGTAGTCACCCATGAACTGTAACTCATTGACATCATGAGGGAGCTCTATCTCTGACAAAGGAATGTTCACAGGATCATTGAATGTTGCCACTACCGTAATACCTCTTGATATTGTGAATGGTAGTCCTTCTCGACTATCTTCGACTATTCTTTTATCTGTTATTCAATGTTGTTGCAGCAACACGTGTTAGTCTGTCAACATTGTCATTGTATTCTTTCATTCAATCAAGTTGATATATCATATACATACTATCGGGATAACAACGATGAAAGATTGTAAGATTGTTGTAGTTTAGGTGATAGGTGAAGTAACATTCACAAGTGTCTGGTGGACGTGCAATTGAAAGTCGATGTTGATATAGTCTCTTGGTTGATAATATGAAGCAAGATGCATCCAATTGTTCCAAGTAGTCAACAATATGTTGAAGTATAATTATTGGAAGTGTGTTCATTCTTCATCAATCCTGATATTAGCTAATATGCGATTGATGGTTAAACAAGATCATAAACTTATGAGACACCGTCTTTTGTTTGAAAAGTATCCCCCATCATGTTTGTTGACATTCTAAAATGTGCACTCTTGGAGCAGTTTAAGTATATTTATTATCTCATCAATCTTTAAGCGATCTGAACTTATGTTCAGAGGGAGCAACACTAGTGTTAGAGTTATTCAAATGGTATCATCCTGAAGTCTAGTCTTGTTGGAACAAGATATCGAATAATTCAAACTTCTAATAATAATTTAAAAGTAATATTACTTTTCTAATATATTGACAAGGAAGTAGACTTTATGATTAGTCTAGAAAAAAGATTCAGATATACAGACTAAGAGGTTATAGTACTAGTAAATTAGAGACAAAATAATAATATTAATAATTATTAATTGAATTGATGATCCAGGTAGTTGATGATCATATAAATATAGGTTCCTTTGTTCCTAGTAACTAATGTCCTTTCATATAACTTTGGTTGACCAATCAAGACTGTTTGACCTTGATCCACAAAATAACAAAAAGCAGTTGGAGTTGTTTGGAAAACTTTGACAGGCCTTTGACATCTGTCCTCTGTCCAATCATCTTGGGGGTTAAGATAGGAGACAAAACCCCCTTCCACACCCACACTGTTTCGTCGTCTGTCTGATCATCACCTTCACCATCCAACCCACCCAAACTACACAGTCTCTGACACACATATTGTCATGTTACACCATCAGGTGATATGTATCATGACGAGATTGATTGATTGTATGTTGTTCAACCACCACCATCTTTTCAGAAGTCCCTCATTGTATCTCGTCGTCGTCATCCAGGGCATCAACCATGACCCATCCTTCATCCACTACATAAACCCAACCTCCAATCTTGGTCCAGATAACATAATCAATTCTTGGATTATTACATTGTAACATATACTAATAATCTACATTTATTCATACCACTTATATATAAATATATATATATATATTTGTAAAAATACAATAATATAATGTCTATTAAACAATTAATAATATTTTCAATATTTATAATATTATTAATCAACTTTACACAAGTCAATGGTATGTCCATCGTACTTCCATGTCTGATCAAATTTTCAAAATAATGATGATCACTAACTAACTTACCAATCAATCAAATAATCAATCATATAATAGCATCACTCAATTATACACCATCAGATTATTGCCAAGCACTTCAATATGCTCTAACTTTTTATAAGTATAATAGAGCTGGTACAGTGCCAGATGGTGACATACCATGGCGTGGCAACTCTGTATTGCAAGATGGTCTATTCTCTGGAGGGTACTTTGATGCTGGTGACCAAGTCAAGTTCTCATTGCCAATGGCATACTCTATGACTATGCTATCATGGGCATTCATTCAGTACGAGTCCAATATCCAAGCTTGTGGTCTAACTCAACTATATTTGGACGACCTCAAGTGGGGCATGGATTGGCTGATCGCATGTCATGTCAGTGACAATGTGATGGTTGGTCAGGTTGGTTCAGGATACCAAGATCACTCATGGTGGGGTCCACCCGAGCTCAACACAATGAAGCGTCAGGTGTACTACTTGAACACTTCATCGCCAGGTACTGAGGTGGCAATGGAGGCATCTGCAGCACTGTCTGCAGCATCTATAATCTGGAAGAGCCGTGACCCCACCTACTCAAGCCTGCTACTGTCCCATGCCAAGTCACTACACACGTTTGGAGACACATACCGAGGTATCTACACCAAGTCCATCCCAGACGCTCAATCATTTTACGACTCATACTCTGGATTCAACGATGAGATAGTTTGGGGAACAATTTGGTTGTACAAGGCTTCAGGTGATCCTGCACTACTTACCAAGGCCAAGTCAGACTATGTTACCTTTGGCATCGGTGCAATGGGCAAGGGTAACTCACATGACTGGGATCTCAAGGCACCTGGAGTCAGTCTACTCATGTCGCAGGTGATTGGTGGCACACCCTACACTGCAGACACTGAAGGATTCCTTAATTATTGGTTGCCAGGAGGTGGTGTACCCTACACACCAGGTGGTCTTGCATGGATTAGACAATGGGGACCTTGCAGATACTCGGCAACAGCAGCATTCCTCGCGTCAGTATATGGTGGGGTCAAGTACACAACATTCACACAAGCTCAGATCAAGTACATGCTAGGTGATAACCCCAATCAACAATCATTCGTAGTTGGAATTGGCTCCAAACATCCCATCAATCCCCATCATTCTGCTGCACATCATTCTTTGACCGACAGTATGAATGATCCTATCAACAATGTGTATTTGATCAAGGGTGCACTGGTCGGTGGACCCTCGCTCAATGATAGTTATCTAGATGACCGTGCAGATTACATTAGGAATGAGGTGGCATTGGATTATAATGCTGGATTTTGTTGGTGCACTTGCATTCATGGTTAATCCAACTGGACAAATGCCCTCAATCACTCCTCCAACTCCAATATCAATACTCAACATTGATCAATGGCTAACAATCAACGATGGGAAGATATTACCAACCCGACAGCCAACCAACCCTACACCCACGCCGACAACCCAACCACCAACTCAGCCACCAACACAACCACCAACTCAACCTCCAACTCAGCCTCCAACTCAGCCACCAACCAAACCACCAACTCAGCCACCAACACAACCACCTACTCAGCCGCCTACTCAGCCACCAACCAAGCCACCAACTCAGCCACCAACTCAACCACCTACTCAGCCGCCAACCAAACAACCAACACAAACTCCAACACAAACTCCACCAACTCAGCCACCAACCCAGACTCCAACCCAAACTCCACCTACTCAACCACCTGGCAAATGTTTGGCTGACCTGAATCAAGAATTGTTGAACACATGGGACTTGAATGGCGTCAACTACACCTTGGTTCAAACAAGGATCAAGAATGTCGGACACTCCAAGATCAAGGCCATGCAGTTCATGATTGCCGGTCCAGTCGAACAGATCTGGGGTGTAACAGTCAATGGCAACATCTATGGATTGCCTGACTACCAGAATGGTCTAGAGGTATCTAAGGAGTACATCTTTGGATACATTGCCAAGTCAAGCAAGCAACTTACAATGACAGCTCAATCATTCAACTGTTGACCAAGTCATACACATACACATCCGATAATAATAATTGTATAATAATAACAGTTTGTCTTTCCTTCTTTTATTTAAACCATAGATTTAATGCTAGCATTTGAGCACCTTGTTAATGATACCAGGTGGAACTGTTCCCTTGACAATTAGGCCAAATGAGAAGGTCTCTCCAACGTTGACTTCTTTCAGGTACGAAGGCAGTGAGTACTTCTTTCCAACGGTGGACACGCCCCATATGCTCTCAACAGGTTGGCTGATCTCGAATACCAATGACTTGACCTTGGCACTTCCATCATTCGTAACAATGGTATCAACAACACTGAATGTCTCTGAACCGCTCTGGAACTGATTGAGTACTCTCTGGTGGAAGGCAACCGAGCATCCTGTTGTAGTTGGATTGGTTGGTGTTGAAGTTGGCTTAGTTGTTGGTTGAGTAGTTGGTTGAGTGGTGGGCTTGGTTGTTGGTTGAGCAGTTGGCTGAGTTGTTGGCTTTTCTGTTGGCTGAGCAGTTGGCTGAGCAGTGGGCTTAGATGTTTCGGCTGGTGGAGAAGATCCAGCCAAGGCTGCAAGGGCTCCAACGAATCCAGCATTGTAATCACAGGCAACTTCGTTCTTAATATAATCAGAACGATCGTCAACATAGCTGTCATCATTGCCTGGACCACCGACAAGAGCACCCTTCAGAAGGTATGTGTTGGTTCTTGGGTTGTTGATATCGTTGGTTGAGGATTGATGGGCAGCGCGATGATGTGGGTTGACTGGGGCGTTTGGACCAAGGCCTACAACGAATGATTGACTCTTGGGATTGTGGCCAAGAATGTAGTCAATCTGCTTCTTGGAGAACTGATTGTACTTGTCACCGCCATAGACAGCGGCAAGGAATGCGGATGTGGCGGCGTAACGAGCTGGTCCCCATTGTCTGATCCAAGCGAGTCCATCTGGAGTGTAGGTGACACCACCTCCTGGCAACCAGTAGTTAAGACAGCTCTCGGCATCTCTGATATGGTTTGGATCCTTGGTGATCTTGGCCATCAGAATGGTGGCACCAGGGGCCTTCAGATCCCAATCGTGAGAGTTGCCCTGGGCCATCGAAGCTATGCCGAACGATGTGTAGTCAGCCTTGGCCTTGGTAAGGTATGCGGCATCTCCAGTTGCCTTGTACATCCAGAGTGTGCCCCACACAATGTCATCCTTGTAACCGGACCATGAGTTGTAGAATACTTGGGCATCTGGAACAGAGTCAGAGTACTTTCCACGGTAGGTATCACCAAAGGAATGAAGTTGACGAGCATGAGATAGACATAGGGCAGAGTAGGCTGGATCTCTAGTCTTGAACACGATGGAAGCGGCAGCAAGTGCAGCAGCGGCCTCCATTGCTACCTCAGTACCTGGGGCACCTGGTGACAAGTAGTAGACAGGACGGACCATGTTGAGCTTCTCGGGAGGACCCCACCATCCGTGATCGGTACCACCTTGACCAACTTGTGCAGCAAACTGGTTTGGACTGATGTGTGCGGCGATCAGCCAATCTGTTCCGTACTTGATGTCTTGTAGGAACAGGTCGGTAACACCACAGGCAGCAACGTTCTTCTCGTACTCGATAAAGGACCATCCGAGCATTGTCATGGAGTAGGCCATGGGCAGTGCGAACTTGACATGGTCACCAGCATCAAAGTAGCCACCTTGCAGTGTGCCATCGATCAACACCGAGTCACCTCTCCAAGGTACATCATTGTCTGGTAGTTTACCAGCTCTATTATACTTGTAGAACATCAATGCATACTTTAGACCTTCACAATAGCTTGCTGGTGGATCAACAGCTGTTGTTATTGTTGTTTCGTAGAATTGAATGTGTGAATGTTAATGAAATCAAAGTGTTAGTATCTTTGTCGCACATGAATCTGAAGTCATTATTATCACTCTATCTTATTAAAAGAATAATAATAAATATATAATTACCTTTAGAGATATCAAAAGATGTTGCCAATATGGCAACTAGTAATAATAATGATAATATCTTCATCCTATATATATATTTAATTTAATGATGATAGTACTAATAATTATATAATATAATTATCTGTTTAAGCCAAGTTATAATATATATATTATATTATATATTACTCGTCAGAATGTCAATGTAATCTAATGGAGTAAACAGAGGGCGAAGAAACTACAATCTTATATATTAATGAATTTGGGAGGATGAGCCACTTAGAACAATTAATACTAGGTGCGAGTGTCTAACTGAGCCTCCAAACGGTTGTCCAAGACCTCACCCCCATCATAGGCTATTGACACCCTGTGATAACCAAAGCCTCCTCGATCTTGTGTATGCTCAAACCCAGTCAGTCGTTTGACAATACTATTTAGGTTGGGTGATAACACTTTTGTCAACATCTAAGTTCGTTAGATTGTTCTTCACAGTTCTATGGAACTAACTTTGGAAGCCCCAATGATAGTTGAACTGTCTAGACGTGCAAAACTAATAATCAACTGAACATCCAATGACAACGAGATCTCAAATTATCCCTTTTTTGGTCAAAATAGATTTACCCGCAGGACAACGAGTGTGGTTGTGGGGGCAATAATTGTTAAAAACGACTTGTCGTCTTGATTAAGTTCATTATGACATTATAATATTGTCATTCAAAGAATCAAACAAACGAATGACTAAAGGATAGATTGACCAAGACAAGGCCTTGACTAGTCAAACAGATTGATGGATAAAGGAGGTAAGGAAAGAAGATGTGTAGCTAGCACACATCACTTGGATTGATGGATGGATGGAGGGAGGGAGTTACACAATCAAACCATTTTATTGATACTGTTTGTGTCGTAATTGTTGTTGCTGCTGCTGATGTTGGCCTGAGTAGACTCTTTCAAAGATGCTTTGGATGACTTGGCAGATTTGGTCGTGTAGCTGTGCTTCAACTCCAGGCCTACGCCCGTGAAGAAGATGAGCATTCCCCAAACGTGGTACGGCAGCATTGTATCTTTGAAGAATATGAATGAGATGATAATCGTTATGAACTTGCGGAAGGTCGACACGACATTCGCATAGAACGAATCGCTAATCTTCATCAAATATAAGAATGATATATTGGCATAGTAACCAAGTAGAATGAATATCTTGTTTGATTGATTGATGGATACGGTGTTAATTTTTGATAGAAACTGGATATACATTGGCGGACTACTACCACTTACAATTAATAATATTAATATGTTAATATTGTCTCGGAAGAATACCAGTGAGTTCTGGAATTCTCCAGACATGAATACAATGGGTAGAGTAGCAATTGAGCTAAAGAAATTGGTGAACAGTGACTGAGTAGCATGGCGGGGAAAGGGAATGTCAGTGATCATGTACCAGCCAACAAACAAAGTTACATACCAACTCCATCTCTGAAGAGAAGTCTCTTAATATCTTCTCGTAGAGGATTGACTTTGTGGACTCGACGAATACATAGACCATCACGATAAGTAGGCCCATAGGTGAAAAGGTTAGAGATGAGGAAGAGTCTCCGATTGAGAATAGGACCAGGCCGGCAGTCATGGCCAGCACAGAGATGTAGTTGACCAGTGAGTAGGATCGCTTGAACATGAAGCCGCCAATCACCATTACCGGTATCAGCTTGGACGACTGGAACATCACCCTGGTTTTGTAGTTGATGAAGCGTAGCGATTCGTTCGCCAGGATCTTGGTGGAGATGAGCACGAGCGAGAGGATGATGTACAGTCGCAGCTTGTTGAACGACAGTCGCTTCAAAAAGTGGCGCATCGACGCAGCGGCGTCTGGCTGCTGCTGTTGCTGTGGGTTGAGCGATGGTGATGTCATTGGCTTGATAGAGTCGGCGGCCTGTCTAAGGACGCTGCGCACAGATATGAGAAATGATACAAAGAACTGAGAGAATGAGTAGATGTTGAAGAAATTGACCTCCTGCTTCTTGAAAATGAACTCTTGCAGCAGGCCATATAGCAGGTACAACAGGAGCATGTTTACGGTGCACACCATCACTTGGAAGAATCCATTGCTCGCTGCTGATTGTGATGACATTGTAAATTGATCGTGCATCTGTTGTTGTTGTTGTAATAGTTGTTGTTGTTTCTCCTCGTGTAGCAATGCCTGATGCTCTTGCATCAGGGTGTGTGTCGGATGAGCCTGAAGCAGCTCTGTTCTTGCAGTCTCCTCATCGTTGCCAGTGGAGTAGATATCAAAGTTGCCCTGACTGTCACCAATCGATATGACATCATTCTTTAGCACAACATTGTTGTTATCAACAACGGCACCACCTACTCCACCTCCTCCACCTCCTCCCATATTCATATTGGCACCATCTATGCGAGCTTGTTGTGTATATGTCGACGCCGTCAGAGTTGGACTCTTGTCGCCAAGCAAACCCGACAGCTTACTGAGCAATGATGCTGCCGATGGTTGACTGTTTGCATACTTCTGATGCTTATCATCCTCATCATATGCATTGCCATTGACGTTGACGTTGACATTGTGTGGTTGGTGTCCAATGGCACTCCTACTGTTTGTTCTATTGCCACTGTTGTTGTTGTTATTGTTGTTGTTATTGTTAATGTTGTTGCCTGTTGCCATCGACTGACTCATGAGGCCAACACCACCACCAAGGTGCTTTGATTCATCTGTGACGGTCGACAAGATTGGCGAGCTGTACATCGGTATCAGCGAATGAATATCTATTGATACTGGCTCCACCATGTTGTTATTATCCTTAATTAAATAAATATATATTACTGTATTGTATTATTGTTATTATTTAATGGTAGTAATGAAGAAAACATCCAGTGAAGTGAATATACTACAAGTTTGGGTCGATCATAGAAGGTAAATCAAACAATCAATCAATTAATGACCTATATATTCTCTATGTATGTATGTATGTATGATGAACAACAGTTGTAATATGGTTGTTGATTGTGTAGTGCTTGTTGCCAACAAGGTAAATGAGTGTTCGCTTTTTCATTGATTCGTCGCAGCACTGGGAGTGTGTGTGTTTTCAGCATAAGCGAGAAGTGCGTGTATCCCTGTGTGTGTGTGGGGTTAGAGAGAAGCGATGAGTCACGCACTCATTGTGATCACTTGGTCAAACCAAAGTATAACTTAAACTAATAATAACTATAGTCAATAGATTCCTTCAAATTGTGACTAAACAGTCATACAATTAATATGAATGAAATAACTAGATACTAATAACTTTCTCAACTCATCAATCACCTCTCTCCCCTGCAATATAAAGATAATAGGGTTGTTATGGAGAAGGTTGGACTTAAAGTTGGCGGGCAACCAATGATCAAACAAACCATAAAACAAAGGTCGTTTGATTTGTGGGCGAAGATGCAAATGATCAAAAATCCGTGCATAATGGATCGATCAGGCACATGTGATGATGTGTCCTATTCGTTGAACTGATGTGTCTTATCGCAGAAGGCCTTGCGAGGGAGAATCTGATCTCAAAACCCTCAACTCACACACAACCATCATCATTTTTATTTATTTATTTATTATTTATTTTTGGTGTACCCTTGTGGAGGATAGAGGGCTTAGAGTTTTTGGCACACACGACAATCAGGACATCAACACAACAATCAAAGTGTTTTATTTTTGTTTACCTTTTTGTTTGTAACTATTGTTGTTGTCCAATTCAATCAATCAATTGAATAGTATCTACCTACCAGCCAGCCAGTCCAATCCTGTTACCTTCCCTCCAATTACAGACATCAACATTAGCTTGTTTAACGAGCGAGATATACAGACAAACAGGAACAGAGACACCAGTAATAGATACATTCATTCAACAATCAAACAATCAAACAAATATCAGAGAGTACAAAAGTATGTCATGTCAACATTGATTGCCTGTGACAACAATCACACACTGTGATCGAACCATTCATCAACAATCACATTCGCACACACCACACACTCACACATATGATTGATTGTATCTCTATTTTTATCACCAACCACCACCAACAACACTGTTGTGTCACACACGACCAATCCCAATCCCAATCACCACACTCAAACCACAACACACAAAACACATCTTATCTTTATCTTTATCTTTATCTCTATCACACACACACACACTCAACTCACTACTTTGTGTCTGTTGCATATTTATAAAGTATTAATACCCAAATGCAATGAGATCCAGATTCTTGCTCGCGCAGACCTCAACCAACTACCCAATCAATCAATCAACAAACATCATTCATTCATTCATTCATTCATTCAATCAATTCAATGTTGTTTAACTCTATTACAAACAGATATTAATCAATCAATCATATAACATAATAGACACACTCAGACTGATATAATATAATATATTCTCTGGATGACGGATACAGCAACAGCAGTGAACGTAGAGATACGAACATCGAACGAGTCATCAGAGATGGATTCAGGACTTACGACACCAAATCCGACGACGCCAATTGATTTGGGCTCATTCTCAGACAGTGATATATTGACGACGACAACAGCCACCAGCACCGCCACCAACACCACAACCACGTCAAAGATGGTGCTGGCCGGCAGCGATGGCGTCAAGGCCGACAACAACAATGTAGACACAAAGAGCACGATCACCTGTAACGAGGGCAGCAGCAACAGCATCGGCGATCTGTTGCCAGACAATGTGCTGTCCTCCAGTGGCAACGCCAACATCGTCACACTGGACGACCTGCTGCAACAACTATGTCGGGAGCTTCAGTCCGACCTGTACATTGGTGACCTCAACACAATCCTCTCACTCAACCACCTACAGCTCAAGGAGGGCCAGCAGGTGCGCTGCATTGGCTTTGACAGCTCCATTGAGCCCACAACAAAGTCACAGAGGGTGAGTACTCGATGTCCTATCTCCCTTCCCTACCATACCCTGCTCCATTACTGACTAGTCCTTCACATGTCAACAGTTCTTCCAATACCAGATCATTGAGTTCAAATCACAAACCGACATCTTGTCCATCACTAAACAGTTCGACGACTTCTCACAACTCATCCTTGGTCGTGGACGCGACACTCCATGTGTGATCCATGAGTATGTGTCACTCACCCAATCACATTCTGGAACTATTCCTAACACTCACGCAATCAATCAATCAATCAAACAGGTGTTGCTTTGGACTGATACTGGCATCTATATATCTGATCAAATACCAAATGTTCTCATTGCCACAGGCCAGCGATATTATTGGCTACAATGACTACCTTCCAACATCGATGAAGCACTCTCACTTCCAAAAGGTGGACTCTTGCTCATTGATTGGCGACGTCACTGCATATTACTACCGCAACATGACCAAGCGACGAATTGCCACACCGCAAAAGACTGCTGATCAGCAGCCACAGACACAGACACAGACACCAAAGAAGAAGTCATTGCTTCAGAAGTTGTTCTCGAGCAACAGCAGCACAGCCTCCTCCAACAAGAACGACAAGGACAAGGATAAGGATGGCGCTGGCAGCGATAAGGACAAGGACGACCACCACGAGGAGGGCGATCTGCCCAAGCAGGACAAGAACACAAAGAAGATGCCCAATGTCATCGCGGCAAACTTTGACGCGCTGCCCGACCAATACAAGGAGATCATCAAGAAGTGGAACATAAAGCCCGAGAGTATCGCGGCCAACTGGGAGCTCACACTCAATCTGCTTTACTTCCAGACCAAGGTCAAGTTCTTCTCGTCACGCGAGCAGGAGAGCGAGGTGAACAGCAGCAAAGACGCCAAGGAGAAGAAGGAGAAGGCAGCGGCGGCGTCGGCCAGCGACCAAGTCGCGCCACCAGCAGCGCCACCAGTGGTTGTAGTCGCAGCAACAACATCGACATCAAGCATGGGCAACAGCACTAGCAGTAACACCAGTAGCACAAGCAGTACACCTCAACAACAGACCACACCACAGCCATCCCCCGAGCTCAGCGGCACCACCAGCACGAGTGGCGGCAGCAGCAAGGACCTTGGCAAGGATGGCAAGAAGAAGGAGTCGTCATCAAGGAGCAGGACAGTGCCATTGGATAAGCGAATCGCATCGATTGTGCCAACGCCCTATGTTAAGAAGTCGCCCGACCAGCTGATCAAGCGCTCATCGTCCGAGTTCCGTAAGACGTTCACTATGAAGGAGCGCGTGGGCAAGGGCGGCTTTGGCTCAGTGTACGCCGCCAAGAACAACGTCAGCAAGCTGAAGGTGGCGCTCAAGAAGCTGCCGCACGACACGCAAAAGAACAAGAAGTTCAACTACAAGGAGATCCGCGTGTTGGACTTTTGCAAGCATCCCAACATCATCACCTACCACGACACATACATCTTTGGCGACAAGGCCTACATTGCCATGGACTTTATGGAGGGAGGCACGCTGTCCGAGGCCTCCTACCAGTACCCCTTCCAGGAGACCAACATTGCCTACGTGGCACAGGAGATTCTGCTGGGCATACTGTACCTGCACACCAATCAGATGGTGCATCGCGACCTCAAGTCGCAGAACATTATGATGACGACGACGGGCGACATCAAGATCATCGACTTTGGACTGACGACCTCGCTGTCCAAGAAGAACTATCGCGTGCGAATGTGTGGCTCCCCACTGTGGATGCCGCCCGAGATGATCCAGCAGCGTCCACACACATACAGCGCGGACATTTGGAGTCTTGCCGTGTGTCTGCTGGAGCTGGCCAATCGCAATCAGAAGCTTCGCAAGGATCCCATTCGCACCATGTTCATGGTGGCCACGGAGGGCATCAAAGAGCCGTTTGAGGACCCCAATCAATGGTCCGACACGTTCCAGGACTTCATTTCACAATGTCTGCGCTTCAATCCAGCAGAGAGACCCTCTGCGATGGACATGCTGCGACACCCCTTCATCAAGATGGCCGACTCCAAGAAGAGGATGGGCAAGATCCTCTCGTCCATCTTCCTCAAGAACATCGTTGGTATATAGAGAGTCAGAGTGAGTGAGTGAGTGAGTGAGTGAACAAAGGATACAGTGACCCAATGGTCTTTCTGTTCCTTTCCAACATATATCTTACCTCTGTCAAACAATAATCAATAATCAATCAATTACATCCATCCATTCATCCATTCATCCATTCATCCAACAAACCTCCTCCTCCTCCTCCTCCATCCAATCAATCAATCAATCAGTCAATCAAATGGATGATTAATTAAATGTACAACTAGGTAATACAATAAATACCATCTCCAAACGTGTATTATTGTAATAATCAAGATTGTCTTTCCTCTATTAAGGGAAAGAATTCTCCGCGAGCTGGATACGCAAGCTATGGCTGCTCTCCCCACGAGAGGGATTGATACCTAACCCTTAATACGGCTTGGTGGACCGGACCTACAAGGCAGCACCAACTGTCTTTTCAACAAAACACCAAAAAGAATCCCTCAAAAGAGACTGAATTGGATGTTGTGAAAGTAGCTCAAATATCTAACAAACACGATCATTCAATCCGATCAATCAAACAATCAATCGAACCAATCACAGACAATTTAGTCAAGGCTGATTCAACATCATCCGATCTGAACACACCTTGTGCAGTCATTCCAATACAACAGATTCCATACTGTTGGATCCAGGCGATACGAGAAAGTATGATTTGACCTTGATGTACAGTGTCTACCCACTGCCAGGCAACGTCATCCAAGCACTCAATGAGAGGATCAACAGCACAGATCCAGATCACTGCAGCTCTATCCCCGAAGGCACATTAGGATACGATATGTTTGCGCAGGAGGCAATGGAGAGACTGAGATATCAACCAGTCAAACTCACCGATAAATGTGCCGCCAGCATCGCCACTTACATCTGTACAAAGGCATTCAGAAGTACGTGTTCTGGGAGTGGAATGAATGGCTCAGCGAGACACTAACATATCACAATCACACTCATTAACTTCAACTATTTAGGCCCATATCCAAACGTCTTGCCATTCTGCTCAGATGTCTGCACAGCTCTGTACAATGATTATACATGTGGAGGATATACCAACTTCACTACTGAGGTGTTTGGACATCCTTTCACCTATATCCCTGCGACTTATGAGGAGTGCATCAAGGGTAGTGTCTCAGGCAGCAACTGCACCGCACTGAGTATGACTGCTCAGCTCATTGGTTGGCAGTGGGTTGGTCCAGATGGCGAGTCTGGCATCGACATTGACTTGTGATTACACAAAACGATTGTGATGAATGAATAAAGATAGATCAGATTGGTCCAGGACAATTCGAAATGGTGTGGGGGTGGAGCCATTCCCGTAGTTATTTGATCATTCAATTCAATCGGGTTGTGCAATCATTCATACACATACGTACATATTATATATATATATACATACATTGAGGGATGACAAGAGGTAAAGATAGAACTGTTGTCGTCACTATCAATGATGATGGCGACTTTGAAGAGCAGGAGGAGCAATCTTCATTGTTGTTGGATCATGACAACAACGACAAAAACGATGACGACAGCAGCAACAACAACAATTCAGGCGGAGGATATGTACCACTTCTCTCAATTGATAGAGATGTGGAGGAGGGGGACGAGATGACTGAGGTTCCAGCAAATGAGGCACCACCAATCACCTCAGTTGTTGTTGGAAGCTCATGCAAGAAGGGATGTTGTGGCAAGACTCAGTCACTTGTGTCTGAGGTGCAACCCGAGACAACAGCAGTGGAGCAGGTTCAAAGTCAAGATCAAACTTCAATTGCCAATGCCATTGCCATCGCCATTGACCCAGATGCAGCAGCCGCAACAGTCGAGCTGGGCACACTTACAGTCACAACTCCAGCCCCAACACCAAGCACATGCAAGAAGGGTTGTTGTGGCAAGATGTCACCACCTGCATCTGTGGAGACAGCAGTAGCAGTAGATGTAACAGTGGCAGTAGAACAGGATGACAAGAATGTGGATGTCACACAGGTGCCTGAAAAGCCTGCTGGCAGTTCATGCAAGAAGGGATGCTGTGGCAAGAAGAAAACGCAGCAGGATCAGGTGACGACGACTCTTGAGCAACCACCACAAGTTCAACCACTTCCAGAGGTTGCCATGATGACACCAGAGGTTGCTGTCACGACACAGCCATACGACGCGTCCATTGCCAAGCCAACAACAGGCTCATGCAAGAAGGGATGCTGTGGCAAGAAGAAGACTGAGGTTGCGGTCCCCCAGCCTCAAACAGTCGACCTAATTTCGATTGTCACTCAATCTGATGCGACAACAGCTTTGGAGCAGGTCACCCCATCACCCGCCCCAGTCGCAGTCCCAACTCCAACGACAAGCTCATGTAAGAAGGGATGTTGTGGCAAGAAGACTCAAGTTGTTATCCCAGAGCCCCAGGCTCAGGTTGAAACGATCACACCTTCAGTCTCAGCCACAGTCGCAGTCCCAACTCCAACGACCAGTTCATGTAAGAAGGGATGTTGTGGAACAAAGTCCAACAAGTCAAATGTCGACAGTGCTGCACTGACACCAGATACATCAAGTTCCAACATGTTGCTTGTTGACGATGTCCAACAACAATTTGATGATGAATCACCTGAGACATCACTCCTTGCCAAGGACGTCGTCGTCCCCAGCCCCATCCAAGAGGAAGAAGAGACGGACGCCTGTAAGAAGAAATGTTGTTCGACCAAGAGTCCAGGTCCAGCTCCAGCAAAGCAGGGAGTCTGTCCCGTGGCCAAGCCCAAGGCCAAGGCTAACCTCAAGCCCAAGGCCAACTCTAAGTCGACTGATCGCTTCTGCTGCGAAGTGTGTCTCACTGGCCCATGCTGTGGTGTCGACTGCTGCAAGACACAGTGCTGCCTCACGATCCAAATGGACTATGGCGGCAAGGACGGTTTCATCTACAAGTCCAGCAGCAAGAAGCGTGTGTTTGCCTCATTGCTCTACAAGAACTGTGGCAGCTTGTTTGGACTAAAGTTTGGATATGAACAACAGGAGGACACACCTGGCGATGATGGCGATGTGGGCAATAATGATGTGGAGCTGGCTGGCGTTGAACAGACTGTCATCATCAGTCTGGAGCCCACTGGATTGACCTGCTGCTCAGACTGTTTGAGCAACGTGGACAGCAAGTTGCTTGCACTTTCAGGCATCATATCCGTGTCGACCAACCTCTTCACCCTTAAGTCAGTCATTGTCTACAACAATGGACAACTCACAGTTGAGTAAGTAACCTCATGGAAAGGATTGATTGAGTGAATGAGTGAATGAGTGAGTGATTGATTGAGTGAGTGAGCGAGTGTGATTGATTGATTGATTGAGTGAGCGATCCATCATACTTGGAATAATTCCACTGACACTACCGCTGATATAACTTGTAGCGACATCATTGGTACGGTCCAAGCCATTGGATACAAGGCCACAGAGGTGCCTCCAGCTGATATTGATCAGATTGCAATTGATCTCCAGGGCTGCACTACGACCCAGGCAGATAACCAAGACTTGGCAAAAGAGTTAAGGACTTTGGACGGTGTTGTGGACATCACATTCGACCAAAATGCACTGTTGAAGGTCAGATATGATGGAGACAGGGTTGGCGCAAGAGACATTTATGCCAAGGTTGAGGCGGCCGTTGCGCCAGATGAGTGTCTTTTGAAGTTGGCCGATCCCCTTGGATCGAATGGCGGTGCGTCGCAGTCTGTGCATGCCGCTCAGCTGGCCACGTTGCGTCGTCTGCTCATCCTGAGCATCGCGCTGTGTGTGCCCGTCGTCTTGTTTGCTTTCATCATCCCAGTGGGCCACTCATGGTTGGACTCTGACCTCGCCCGAGGCCTATCATGGCGCATCCTATTCAACTGGATCCTCACTACCCCCATCCAATTCTACGTCGGCCTGCCCCTTTACCAGGGCGCCTGGAAGTCGATCCGCTTCCACCGTCGCGCCAACATGGACCTGCTCGTGATGATGTCCTCATCAATGGCCTACGTCTACTCGATCATCTCGCTCATAATGACCATGTCGTCGACCACCTACGAGGGCACGGTCTTCTTTGAGACCAGCGCGCTCCTGCTCACACTGATCATCTTTGGTCGATATCTTGAAGGTGTGGCGCGTGGACGTGCCTCAGACACCTTGTCCAAGCTGCTCTCCCTCCAGTCCAAGACAGCCACACTCATCGTCGATGAGCACGATGCCGCCCAGGACCGTGAGATTGATATCAGGTTGGTCCAGCGCGGCGACTTACTTCGCGTGTTGCCCTGGTCCCAAGTGCCGGCGGATGGCGCCATATCTGATGGCTACGAGGCCTTTTTAGACGAATCAATGGTGACGGGCGAGTCGACCGTTGTGCACAAACAAGCGACGCACCTGGTCTACGGCGGCTCGATGAATCAGACGTCGCCATTCACCATGCGAGTCACTACCAAGCCCAGCCAATCGACCCTGGCCAACATCTGTAAGCTGGTCGAACAATGCCAGTCATCCAAGGCGCAGGTCCAGAACCAGGCCGACCTCGTCGCCTCATACTTTGTGCCATGCATCGTGCTCGCATCACTTCTCGTCTTTGGCCTGTGGATGGTTTTGATCAAGACTGGCGCGGTGGCCGCACCGGCTGGCGTGGGGGCCTTTACCTTTAGTATGTTGTTCGCAATGTCTGTGATGGTGATATCGTGTCCCTGCGCCGTTTCCCTGTCCACGCCAACCGCCGTCATGGTGGGCAGTGGAGTTGGCGCCAAGTTGGGCGTGCTTTTCAAGGGTGGCGAAGTGATAGAGCGCACAAAGAGCGTCAGCACAATTATCTTTGACAAGACTGGCACACTTACTAATGGTCGCCCCAATGTCACGGACCATCAATGTTATGGCTCACATGGCTGGACCACCAAGGACCTGTTCTACTTTGTTGGCTCGGCCGAATTGGGTAGCGAGCACATCATTGGAAAGTCAATCTCCAAGTATGCCCGCGAGTCCATCCAATGCCAGCTCGAAACTCCAACCGATCTTCAAACAACACCCGGCCGTGGCCTTACCTGTCTCGTGGATGGCCGCCAGGTCACCGTCGGAAACCGTGCATTCTTTGCCGAATGTGATCTTGCTGTCGCCCCCACCATCGTTCAACGAATGAAGAGCCTGGAGTCCGAGGGCAAGACAGTTGTGCTAGTTGGTTTAGATCGTGAAGTCATGGGATTGGTTGCATTAATGGATACCCCGCGTCCAGAGGCGCGAGCAGTGGTCGATCACCTCAAGACAATGGGCATCGACGTGTGGATGGTCAGTGGCGACAACAACGCAGCAGTGCGATACGTTGCCAAGGAACTGGGAATTGATCACTGCGTGGGAGAGGCCACGCCAAAGTCCAAGAGCGAGAGTGTCAAGCAACTCCAACAATCTGGTCGCGTCGTGGCGATGATTGGAGATGGTGTGAACGATGCCGTGGCGCTGGTCCAGGCCGACGTGGGCATTGCCGTGGTCAATGGAACTGATGTAGCGCTGGAGGCGGCCAACATTGTATTGATGAAGCCCGACCTCTATGGCGTGGTCAATGCGATCGACCTTGCTCGCAGCACCTTCCGCGTGATCCGCTTCAATCTCTGCTGGGCCTTTGTCTACAACCTCATCGGCATACCTCTTGCCAGTGGACTCCTCTACCCCTTCACTCACTTCTCCATCTCGCCCACATTCGCCGGACTCTCCGAACTCCTCTCATCGTTGCCAGTGATCCTCTTCTCATTGCTTCTCAACCTCTACCGTCCACCCAAGATCTAAGGTTCCTTCCATCCTTCCTTCGTTCCTTGCCTGGCAACACATCATCATCATTCATTCATTCATTCATATCAACCCCAATATCCAATTCATTCGAATAAAGTGATGGATATTCACATTCAACCTATTATTGTCTCCATGTTCCCATTCTTCGCGCTCCGCTCGCCACACCACACAATGTCAGCGAGCGCAAGGTCCAAACTCAATCACAGTTAAGGTCTAATTTAAATATGTACATAATATTATCTCTATCTCGAGTTAATTAGCTCAATCAATCACTGTCAACTCGTTCCTTAAACATGCCCATGGACCATCTGTCAGGTGATGATTTTGATGATGATGGCAAGGCAGGCGATGAGCAAGGAACACCATCATCTGCCTCCACTCGCAAACAACCCTTGCAATCACAATCCTTAATAGCCCAACACCTTGATGTATTATTAAACACCACCAAGTTGGAAGAGGTGTGTGTGATTGATTGGGGCTTCAAGTCGGTGAGTGTGTGGGCGAGTGGGCATTGATAACTCTTGTCAGGTGATCGAGTGTTTTGTGTATGATTGATTGATCTATTTGTGTTATTTGATGGCAATCTATTCCAATGTAGTTGTTGTTATTATTGTGCTTAATGACTATAAGTAGTGTTTATGTGAGTCTCAGGATAGATAGGGTTAGGGCTTGAGAGTGTGAGTGAATGAGCCAACAACAATGTTGTTGGTTAAATGTATTATTACTCTCTGGCTTAGTGTATGCCCGGGCCTGCAGCCGTCGTCACAAAAAGCCTATCTCCTCACCAGAAACACATAATAAAACACAACCTCCTCCAATAGCTTGATAGAGTTGACATCAATAGTTGACAATCAACAAGTGAGTGTGATTGATTGATTGTTTGATTGATTGATTAGTCTGTGTGTTTGTGTTTGTGTGTGTGTGTGTTGTGTTGTGTTTGTTTATCCATTTCCAGGCCTCATCCTTGAGTCTACCTTCCAACCATCTATCCAGCCTCTAGTTATCACCATCATCACTCTCTCACTAACTCAATTAGTCCTCCAGGATACATCAATATAACAATACCTGCCGTGTATCATATACTTATATAAATATATATAATATTTCTTTCCATCCCTCAAACAATCATTTACAATCTATAAGTTGTTGGATTAGATCCATTGTTAGATAGTGGAACAAAAGTATGTGGAATGCATCCCCAGCTTGGATTCAGGTCAAACCCATAAATTAACAATTCTTCCATATTACAACCAAATCCAAGTCAAAGGCAAGATGAATAGTTCATCTTTAAAGTCATTGATTTATAATGATAGGTTCCTAAGTGTGACAAGATTGGATATTGGACAGGTGACAGAGGATTTTGTCTATGAACATGTCAATGTCAAAGGACTACCATTAGTAATTGGTGGTTTGTCATCATCCTCCAACACTACAACAACAACTACAACTATACCAATGTCACCAATGTCACCAATGTCACCAAGGTCTCCACTACCCAACAATAACAACAACAACAGTATATTCACAATCGACTGGTTATCAAAGAGATACAGTGAACAAGATATTAGTGTACAACTTGATAATGGACTAAAGGATACTTGGAAGTTTGGACAGGTACTTCAGCACATTATGGCTGACAAGACCTCGCCCGACACTAGCATAGCAGGAGGTTCAGGTGATAGTCCCATTGCGACGGCAACCACTACGCCTATCATCAGGAGCAGGATCGCACTATCCGCACCTTCAGAGTGGATCAGTAACATTCAAGACTCAAACACATCAGCCGAGTACCGAATCCCAACATATCTCAAGGACAAGGGACCCAATGACATGGTCTCCGACCTGCCCCTCGAGTTCCAAAAGGCCACGTCCGTGCGTCTGGTCTTGGAACAGGACGACTGTCCAACGCCGGCTTACCGCGAGCCCAATGCTGCGATCGGACAGATACTGATGGTGGGCAACGTTGGCACCAACGCTTCAACGTTGCTCTTTTGTACTTCTACCGAACACAAACACATGGTCGACAAGTTCTGGAGCGAGCACACAAAGGGTGGAGGCGCGATGAGTGCGATGGGCGACGATGGAGAGCAGCCCGTGTCCCTGTCTGTAAACGACTTGCTCGGCTCAGGCATCCCATTCTATCTGGTCGAGCAAAAGGTCGGCGACTTGGTCATTCTGCCCTCATGCAGTCTACATCAGAGCATTAATATGGGCGGCAAGAGTATCAAGATGTCTTGGCAGCGTGTAGTCGCTCACTCATTGTCCAACACATACGACTACATGTTGCCAATGTATCGCCGCATGCGTCGACGCGAGACTCTGCCAACCAAGCTCCTGCTCTACTATGGCCTGATCGGACGCGTCAACAAGGGCAAGAAGCTTGCGCTCGAGGCGGGCGTCAGTGTGGACCGCGTGATCAGGTTTGTTCGCGAGACATTGATCGTTCACCGCATGATGGTCGACGTCAACTGGAACGACCGCATACACAATGAGGACTCTGTGGTACGCGCAACCGACATTGAATTCAAACAGATGGAGCTGGGCTCACCAAATCGCTTCTGCTCAGGCTGCCACGCCTATATCTTCAACCGCTGCTACCGCGCACAACAGATGCAAAACGCACACTTTTGTCAAGAATGTGTGGCCGAGGGTAAGGACTGCGGCCTGATCAACGAGCTGGAGCTCTGTAACATATTCCTATCCAACTCGGTTGTCAATGATCTGTTGGTCGACTCAAAGATGGTGCTGCGCGATCTGCTGATGATGGCCAAGCTGTTTGAGTCCAACGACGTGTTTGAGGAGTGCTTCACATCGATGATCTCGCCATCAAAGGTGTCAATGGCCACGCTGGCCCATAGCCAGCTCGCTCTGTCCAAGACTGAGCCAAGGTCCACGTGCCATCAGTGCAAGCTGCCCAAGCCAAACTCAAAGATGGCACAGTGCACCAATCGATCGACATGTGGCAAGATGTATTGTGGCCAATGTCTAGCGACACGCTACAACACCGTGTTGATTGATTGCCAGAAGACTTCGTGGCTGTGTCTTCACTGCAAGGGTATGTGTACATGCAGCACATGTCTGAAGAAGACCATGACGCTGCCTATGGGCGGTATCGTCGACAGTCCGCTGCTCAAGAAGCGTGGTAGCATCCAGATGTTCGAGGCTAACTCCTCGCCACGCAAGTCGATGCTTGAGGCCGGTTCATCGCCACGCAAGCCCCTGAGCCTCGAGGCCAACTCCTCGCCACGCAACGCCAACAACTCATCGCCACGCAAACCACAAGACGAGTACCAGGTGTGCGCTGGCTCGCCAAACCTATTTGACTATAGCTACTTCAGTCCAACATTCACTGGACTGGGCATGTCTCCCCGCAAGCGCGACTCACCCCTGTGGAATCAGATGATGGGAGCGCGCACCCAGACTGGCAACTATGTTCAAGCCAATATGGTGGTCCAGGTCGGACCAGCACAAGTTGAGTACACTTCGCCCTACAGCGGTATGGGACTGGATCTGGACTCAGCCGTGACGTCAGACTACTCGTCACCATCCACCATCCACCTTCAGAGCATGCCACATTCAATGAGTATAACGCCTACTCCGACCTCACCATCACAGGCCATCCCCGGCTCACCCTTCCACTACTACACCAACTTCCCCCAGTCACCAAATATCCAGTCCAAACTGTTAGAGTCTAAGCCCCTGCCACTGGCGGACAATAGCAATCATATATTCAACAACATCATAGTTGATCAATCAATCCAGCTGACACATCATCATCAGACCTTTGGCGCACCAGACATCACCATGGCACCTCCAATGGACTATGATGGAAAGTACAATAGCAACATGTCTCAGCAGCAAGGCAATGAGCGAGGTGATGATGTTAATGGAGGATCATCCTCTAACAACATATATCCTAATGGAACAGGTGGCGGCGGTGGAGTTGGGCCAACAGGTGGCGGCGGTGGAGGTGGAGAAGACACTCCCAACAATGGCGGCAACATCAACAACAACAATAGTAACAATAACAACAACAATAATAATAACAACAATAATAACAACAGCGGAAACAGTTCATCATCAACATCAACAGAGACTTCAAAGAGCAAATCTAAGAAGTCCAAGAAGAGAAGATCAGAGGAGCTCAGCAAGAAGGAGTCCCAACAGAAATCAAAGAAGGCCTCGCCACCAATTGTAACAACGCCGATTGACCCACAGGACGACCAGCGTCCTAAGCTGACCATGTCAGTTGGCTGTCCGCCTCCACCTATGCCCTGGTACGATGGCACTCAGACAGAGTATGGCGCAATGAACTCAAATGTTCCCACACCTACCAACTTTGCTGGCAATCAACCACCCAGAGGCATGGTCGGCAGCAAAGAGGCATTGCCGCCTGGTTCGATGGTATGGGCTCGTCTTGGCAACCTCTCACAGTTCTATCCAGGCAAGATATGTTATCCCAATGAGATACCTGGGGTGATACGAGTTCCAGATTGCGCATCCTACGTCTTCTTCTTTGGCGACAACTATTGTGATATGGTCGAGAACAAGAACATCGTGGCCATGTCTACTGGCAACGAGTACAGTGCACCATCCAAGGCATTTGAGCAGGCGGTCAAAGACGCAGTTGAATACAAGCGACGAATGGATATCAACAACGCAAGCAGACAGCAGTATATAATGAGTGATGGGGCCACCATGACTATGAACCCAGGCATCCCAATGCCACCAATGCATTCTCCATTCCAAACTCCAGATGCTCAATCGTATCCAATGGTGGGAGGTCAGCCAATGATGGGCGCACCTGTGATGCCCATGCATGGACAGGCACTCCAACAACAACTGCATCAACAGCAACCACACACTGGTCTTGCGCCTGCCGACTTCCAGCAGCAACATGTGATGCCTACACATTCGCAATCAATGTCTGGGCCTTTCAGTCAACAGTCGCAAAAGCTTCCAGGACAACACAACCTGAATGAGAGCAGTGGAGTGGTGAGCACATCCAACTACTTCTCATCAATGTCACTCAATAGCACTGGTAGTCTGGAGCAGTTTATGATGCCAAAAGAATTGCAACCACAGGCTGTTGTAGGTAACGACGCCTCAAGGTCTACGACAGGTGCAGCACCAGGCAGTGTAGTTGGCATGTCCATCCCAATCAAACAGGAGTCGTCGTCACCAGTTCCAGTCACATATCAACAGGACAACAACAACAACAACAACCAGTCCTACTCTCTTCAACACTTTATGTCTCATCCCAACAACCACAACACCAACACTGGCATTGTAACATTCGCCACACAGCAGCAACATCAGTCAGTCCAACAACAGCAACAGCAACAGCAACAGCTACAACAGATGTCAACTATGGATGAGACCAAGTCGAATTCATTCATAACAGACTCATCTAATGGTGGTGACCTGTTTGACAACATGTGGAGCTATCCAGGATTGGAGTGAGTGTATCCCATCAATCCAGGTGCGTCAATCAAATAATAATCAATCATTGTATTAAATTGGAACAGAGACAGTCTCTGTCTACAGTACTTCTCAATATATAGTATTTATTATTAACTACCTATTCCACTGATTGGATTGATAGTTATTGTACTGTTGTTGTTGTGGAAGTTGTTGCTGTTGAAGTTGTTGTTTGTTCACATTCATATTCACCATGTTGTATTGCTGTTGCTGAGGTTGTTGCATGTATTGTTGTTGATTCATCTGGTTCATTGGCATTGGATTCATTTGATTCATCGGGTTCATTTGATTCATTGGCATTGTGTTCATCTGGTTCATCGGGTTCATCTGATTCATTGGTATTGGATTCATCTGTGTCATCTGATTCAATTGATTGCCAACATAGTTGGCCTGGCCCATGTTGTTGTTGCCCATTTGATTCATCATGTTATATTGTTGTTGGAATGGTTGTTGTGGAAGTTGTTGCTGTTGTTGTTGAAGTTGTGGTAGTTGTTGTTGTTGCTGTTGTTGTTGTAGTAACATCCTTTGTTGTTGTTGCTGCTGTTGTAGTTGAAGTTGTTGTTGTTGTATCTTTTGTTGCATCAACTGTTGTTGTTGTAGTTGTAGTTGTTGTTGTTGCTGCTGCTGCTGTTGTAGTTGTTGCTGTTGTTGTTGTCTCTGTTGTGCCACCAATTGACTCTGATTCATTTGTGCCATCTGTTGCTGTTGCATCTGTTGCTGCATTTGTTGTTGCATCAGCTGTTGCTCCTGTATCGATTGTTGCTTCAGCTGTGCCTGCTTGTTGCTATTATAATTGATATTATTATATCCAACCTCTTTGCTATTGATCTGATTGAGTGCATCATGTATCTGAGTGGATGTGAGCGGTTGGATGTTGTTGCCAGACGACTCCAGCTTGCGTAGATTGCTGTTGATCTTTGGCGCTTGCTGCGTGCCCTGAGCCAGCCCTTGCAGAAGCTCCTGGAACGACATTATGTACTCGGATAGGAGCACCTCTTCGATCTCGTTGAGCATTGTCAGGTCACGATCATCTTCCTCAAACATTGCCTTCTTTTTCTTGAAGTCATCCACTGCTGATTTCTGTACTCTCTTGTTCTTGCCCTGTTGAGTCCATCGCTTCAATGAACTAAAGTCCACATCCCTGTCACTAAACTGATTGCTAGCATTCTCAAAGTTAAGTGGTGCCATGCCCTTCTCCTTTCGTCTGTTCTGTATCCAGTTGATGAGTAATCTTCAGGTTTGACGTATGGTATTAGTGATCGAGTGAATGAATGAGGTCCACTGATTTCCACACCAATGAATGACATACTTGATATTTGGTATGATTGCGGCGAACTGATGTGATTGTCTACTATGTACAGTTGGTATATCTTCAATGCTGTGCCATTTGATCCTCTGATTGATTGAATGATGTGTCAGTTCAGTATAGTGATCGATCAACCCATCCAGTGATTACACTTACACTGATCTCATAACGAGTATGTGTTTCAAAGTCGGCTTGCTCATCCACTCCTACAATAACAAAGTACTTCTTCAATACTCTATATGTGATTGGCCATTGATTCAAGAAGTCAAGTTAGTGAGTGTCTTTCCATGCCATGCCGTGCCATGCCATGCCTGCCATACCCGTGTGTCTCTTTCTGTATATAATCCTCCTTCTTAATATATGGCGCTATATCGAATCCAATCTCTTCAAAGACCTCTCTTGCTGCGCTTTGTGTCTCTGTCTCGCCTTCCTTGCCTTTGCCCTTTGGGAAGCCCCAGCCCCACCATTGTTCTTTGACCAATACGACCTGATTGATTGAATGATGGCTGTCAGTAAGTCTAAACAAGTCAATAGTTAAATACCAACTCACCTTTGTCATGTCCTTATTCAATATGATGGCACCATATCTTGGTATCAGCCTCTTGAAGGATTCAAACTTCTTCATCATCTCTCCATAGGTGGAGGTAGTAAGCAATGCTTCATGCAATGGTTTGAGACGTTCATTGCTCTTTAGTACTAAACATCACCGTAACAACAACATAATGATAAAAGGATAGGTGTAAGATTGATGTAACTCAGTCACTCAGTCACTCAGTCGAGGATGCACGAATGATACTAACTTAACTCGGCAAAGTTCTGAAGATCAGGCTTAGGCAACCTTGGATTCTGTATTAGATGAATGTCAATGTAGTACCAATAGGCCTCTTCAATGAACATGAAGAGATCCTCAAACGACGTCAAGTTGGACTCAGTCGAAATGAATGTGTCTGCCAGCGACGTAAGTATCTCGCGTAGCTCCTCTGTTACTGTTTGGTCTACTACCGCTGTTGCTGTTGTTGCTGCTGCTGCTGCTGCTGCTGCCGCCGCTCCCGTCATAGTTGTTGACGCAGTCAATGAAACAACATCTCCACTCTGTTGTTGTTGATGATGTAGTTGTTGTTGTTGTTGTTGTTGTTGCTCTGAGTTTGTGGCCACAACAACAACAGCATTCACTGGTGACAAAGTCTTTGATGTCATCGTACTTTCCTCTCTCTTTCTTTCTCTCTCTCTCTTTTAATTGTTATTACTTTTTCTTGATGTTTATATAACTTTAACAAGTGTAATTTCAATTGATTGACTGATTACCTTTTTAGCATCAGAACCCTATTTAGTTAAATAACATCAAGTTGCAACTTGATGATGACTTTCCTGCCGGAATAATATTTAATATATTAAATATTAATAATTGTTATCAAATAAACTTCGAAAAGAGTTAATAATCGAGGAATCAGTAAGTTGACAAGTATTGAAACATTCAAAGAAACAACATCAAAGATCGTTTATTTCTTAACCACCCAAGCGTTGACACGAACGTCCTTGTCCTTGAGGGTGAAACAATACTTTCCAACATCGTTGATAGCTCCGGACTCTGGTGGCATACTGATTTGGTTGGCCACACTTCTCTGCTTGACTTGGTATACTCCGTTGGGGTCCTTCAGAGTGACACAGTAGTCGCCAGGAGCAACACTTGGGAATGCCCAGCCAGCATTGTCACCAGTTGATTGGGCTGTTCCCATCACTGTTCCATCGCTCTTTGCAAGGGTGGCTTCGATACCGGCAATGTATTTGCCACCTCCAGCCTCTCCATCATTGACGTATCCTGAGACCTTGTACGTCTTCTTTGCAGCCACCCAAGCATTGGCACGAACGTCCTTGTCATTAACGGTGAAGCAATACTTTCCAACATCGTTGATAGCTCCGGACTCTGGTTGGATACTGATTTGGTCTGGCATATTTCTCTGCTTCACTTGGTATTCACCCTTGGGGTCCTTCAGAGTGACACAGTAGTCGCCAGGAGCAACACTTGGGAATGCCCAGCCAGCATTGTCACCAGTAGATTGGGCTGTTCCGACCACAGTTCCATCACTCTTTGTAAGCGTAGCTTCGATGCCGGCAATGTATTTGCCACCTCCAGTCTCTCCATCATTGACGTATCCTGTGACCTTGTACGTCTTTTCGACTGGTGTTGTAGTTGTACCCACAAACGCGTTGATTCTGGCGTTCTTGTCAGCTATTGTGAAGCACTTCTTTCCAACGTCGTTGATAGCTCCAGACTCTGGCTGAATACTGACTTGAGCTGGCATATCTCTCTGCTTCACTTTGTACACTCCAGCGGGGTCCTTAAGGGTCACACAGTAGTCACCTGGAGCAAGACCCTCAAACTTCCATCCAGCATTGTCACCAGTTGACTTTGTTGTATTGAGAACGGTTCCATCACTTGATGTAAGAGTTACATCCAAGCCTGCAATGTATTTGCCACCTCCACTGTTTTGATCATTGACATATCCAGACGCCTTGTAGGTCTTGCGCTTCTCGACCCAGGTGTTGAGTCTGGCATTCTTGTCCTTGATGGTGAAACAYTTCTTTCCAATGTCRTTGACGGTYCCAGAGATTGGTTGAACGGACACTTGACCAGCAACATCTCTCTGCTTSACTTGCCACAACTCATCTGGGTCCTCTTGAATGGTGACACAGTAGTCACCTGGAGCGAGGCCTTCAAACTTCCATCCRGCRTTGTCACCAGTCGACTTTGTTGTTTGGAGAACGGTTCCRTCACTTGATGTGAGGTTGACGTCCAAGCCAGCAATGTATTGGCCACYTCCAGCYTGACCATCATTGACATATCCTGAGGCCTTGTAGGTCTTGCGCTTCTCAACCCAGGTGTTGAGTCTGGCGTTCTTGTCCTTGATGGTGAAACAYTTCTTTCCAATGTCGTTGAYGGTYCCAGAGATTGGTTGAACGGACACTTGACCAGCAACATCTCTCTGCTTYACTTGCCACAACTCATCTGGRTCCTCTTGAATGGTGACACAGTAGTCACCTGGAGCGAGRCCTTCAAACTTCCAKCCAGCATTGTCACCAGTCGACTTGGTTGTYTGGAGMACRGTTCCATCACTTGATGTGAGGTTGACATYCAAACCAGCAATGTAWTKGCCACCTCCAGCCTGACCATCATTGACRTATCCAGAYGCCTTGWATGTCTTGCGCTTCTCGACCCAGGTGTTGAGTCTGGCGTTCTTGTCCTTGATGGTGAAACAYTTCTTTCCAATGTCGTTGACAGTTCCAGAGATTGGTTGGACGGACACTTGGCCAGAGACATCTCTCTGTTTAACTTGCCACAACTCATCGGGTTCATCCTGAATGGTGACACAGTAGTCACCTGGAGCGAGACCTTCAAACTTCCATCCAGCATTGTCACCAGTCGACTTGGTGGTCTGGAGGACCTTACCATCACTAGTTGTGAGATTAACCTCCAAGCCAGCAATGTATTTGCCACCTCCAGCCTGACCATCATTGACGTATCCAGTTGCCTTGTAGGTTGTGCGCTTCTGGACGTAGGTGTTTATGCGGGCATTCTTGTCTGTGATTGTGAAGCACTTCTTTCCAATGTCGTTGACCGTTCCAGAGATGGGTTGGGCAGACACTTGGCCAGAGACATCTCTCTGCTTCACTTGCCACAACTCATCTGGGTTATCTTGAATGGTGACACAGTAGTCACCTGGAGCGAGGTCATCAAACCTCCATCCATCATTGTCACCAGTTGATTTGGTAGTCCTGAGAACGGTTCCATCACTTGAAGTAAGATTGACCTCCAGGCCTGCAATGTAATTACCACCTCCACTGTTCTGATCATTGACGTATCCAGATGCACTGTACAGTTTTGAGGATGTGGTGCTGGGACTAACAGTGGTAGTGGCAACGGTGGAAGCAGTGGTAGTAGAGGTGGGGGTCATAGTGGTTGATGCAACGGTAGAGGCAACAGTGGAGGTAGGTGGTACAGAACCAGTTGTCACTGTGGTGGTAGCAGTAGTAGTTTGGGTGATTGTTGAGGTCGGGGTCCTTGTGGTAGACGCGGTGGTAGAGGCAGTGGTGGATGCAACGGTAGAAGGTGGAACCGAAGTTGTCGTTGCAATAGTTGTTGCGGTAGTGGTCTGCGTGATGGTAGAGGTAGGGGTCCTAGTGGTCGAAGCAGTGGTTGAAGCAGTGGTCGAGGCAACAGTGGATGGGATAACTGTTGTTGATGTTGTTGGCGGAGCAGTTGTGGTTGCAATTGTAGTTGCGGTAGTTGTCTGCGTGATGGTAGAGGTAGGGGTCCTAGTGGTAGTAGCAGTGGTCGAGGCAGAGGTAGAAGCAACGGTAGATGTTGTTGGGTGTACACCAGCAGTTGTTGACGCAATGGTAGTGGCGGTAGTGGTCTGCGTGATGGTTGAGGTAGGGGTCCTAGTGGTCGAAGCAGTTGTCGAGGCAGTGGTCGAAGCAGTTGTCGAGGCAACTGTGGAAGAGACTGCTCCACTGGTCACTGTGGTGGAGTAGGTCGTTGTTGCAGTAATGGTCGACTGCGAGTTGGTAGTTGTGGCTGTTGTTGTGACAGTAGTCGAGGCAGATACGCTAACACCTGATGATGACACGGTTTGGGAACCGGTTAGGGTTGCAACTGTTGAAGCTACGGTCGATGCAGTTGAGACTGAGGTCGAGGCTACGGTCGATGCAGTTTGAGATGCAATTGTTGACGCTACAGTCGATGCAGTTGAGACTGTAGTCGTGGCAACGGTGGAGCCAGTGGAGACTGCACTTGATTGAGCATAACACTTTGGTTGGCTATCCCTAGGGTCAACATTGCAAATGTTGCCAAGTGGACATTTCATAAACAAACACTTAATAGAGAAAGAGAATGAGAGAGAAAGAGAAAGAGAGAAAGAGTAAGTTATATTAGTCAATTGATTAATATACAATTTTAAAGGATATTCATGGATAAAGTCATACCTTAGGGAAACACTTTTGAGGTAGATTGTGCTGCGCTCCACAGCAGAACTGGTCATATCCACATATGTTCCCTCCACAGAGTTCTGTAATTGGCAGAGTAGAGTAAGAGTCAATCTATCAACAATTCATTCAATCATTTAAATAATTTGAATTTTAGATTACATACCTTGGGAGGAAACAGGGGTGGCATGATGGCAGAGCGCAACAAAAAATAATATTAGAAGTAGGAATAAAGTTTTCATTAACTTATTTAACTACAACAATAAGGAATAATAATTATAATTAATGAATGATTGGATTTGGAACATTTAATATACAATGATGGTTTTCCCCAATAGAGAGAGAGAGAGTTGGAAGAGGATATAGGGAGAGGGAGGGTTCCAGGGCATCTTTTGCATATGTGTTTGTATTGTGATCGAAGGGGCATTAGATCAGAGGGTTGCCCTGTACATCTGTAAAGAGTGGTGAGTTTACCCCATATTTATCAATTCGATATGCAGTAATAGAATTCGACAAAAGTTGTATTGGGTACCATTATTTCACAATATTTGGTTACCGTACTGGTTGTTGTTGTTGCCAGCAAAGAATAGAATGCCATATGCTTTATATGCGTCAATCAACACACCACCATATGTTGTTGTATTTCTGTGGATGGATTGTATTACAAGTGAGGTCGGTCAACAAAAGATTATGTACTAAGAATGCTTGCATGCATGGGCTCACTTTGAGTGATGTGGTCAAGGGTATCAGGTGATCTATGATGAATGTGGTCAAGGGTATCAGGTGATCTATAATGATACTCAAAGAGACGCAGGGGCAGATACATCAGGCATCTGCCACGCATGAAGCACGTCCAGGTGGCGATTCAAGTATATAAAAGTACATCACCGCCAGCCATATGAGTTGAACCCTTGTTTCTCAACATATATATTTATCTTAATAGCTCCATAAAGAATGTATCCCAAATGACTTCATTTCGTAGGGCATCTTTCGCAAAGTCACTAAGTTGCGGCCAGTAACTCGCAATGACCATGTAGTTGAATGTAAACGTGTAGTTGTTTGGCCAATGATCATGATGGACATTGACAAGGCATCTACTATCGTCGTCGTCGTCATATTCATCGTTATTGATGTGGACAGACAGCAAGACCTGTATGCTGGTCTAGTGTCTAGTGTTGGCTCAGCACTTCATCATGTGTACAATGCACTGAGTTAAGGACAAATTCATCGTGAACTTCGTGATCTTCGCTTCTGTGCTGATCGCCATTGTCTCCTTGATCGCCACGCCACGACTGCCACTACTCCACGTACTGTTGGTCTGTTGCCAACCAATGGTATTTGCAGTAGTCATCGTGTCATGGTCATAGTCATGGTCATTGTCTTGATTGTTGTGGTAATTGTTGTCACTTTTGTGGAGTGATTGATGATGACGATCGATAGTGCACTCGTTGATGTCATTCTTTATCCCTCCATCTCTTAGTGATGGTGGCTCTACCTTGAAACTGAGTACCTCCAACCAATAGACTACTGACAATGATTGATATAGATCAATTGTGGAAGATGTGGTAGTAGTGTTGTTGATGATGATGCCGAGTTGGAGTCGGTTGTGTTGGTCTCAGTGGTGTTGGAGATGTTGGATTGGGAGGTTGGTCTTGGATGTGATGGCTAAATCGATGATTATTTGTCAAAATAAGGGGGATTGGTTGGTTGCTGACCTTATTGATTGTTGAATAATCAAGAAATTGGAAGAAGCACATTAGAAATTAATTAATTTTTGAATTTGAATTCACCAAACCCACCGTTAAGTTGGCGGCAATTCAAACTGTTGAGGAGCTGAATGCTAGTCTTTAAAAGTAGATGTCCAACACATACTTATTATAATAATCATCTCAATAATAGTTAGTTATTTATTTACTTTGTTCAACACTATATATATTATTACTATTATAACAACAAATAATCATCATTCAATCTATATATACAAATAACAATATAATCTTTAAAATATATAACAATGTCAACTACTCTACGAGATAAACAAGAGAATAGAAAGAAGGACTTCAAGAAGGGTATCGATGCTGAACAAGCAAGAAGAAAGCGTGAGGAGATATCATCTACAATTAGAAAGACTGCAAGAGATGACTTCTTATTAAAGAAGCGTAAGGAGATGCTGTCCACTTCGAACGGCGCCCTCTCTTCAGAGTTGGTCATCCCAGCTGACATCCAACAACAATTCGAGGAGTATGAGAAGAAGGACTTGGAGACAAAGGTGAGTGTATAATAGAGTGTGAATGATTTGATTGATTGATTGATTGATTGAATGAATGAATGAATGAATGTGTCTAACTAACCACCTCCCCTCTCATATGACAGCTTCAACTTCTGCCGGATCTCACTGCTGCACTCAACTCGAGTGATCAAGCCATTGTTGTCTCTGCTCTTATCCAGTTCAGAAAGTTGTTGTCGATTGGTAAGTCATCCTCGTGAACAATGCTAACCTCCCCTCCCCACCCTTCGTTCTCTCCCTCACTCTCTCCTTTCTCCCTCCCACCCGACAACAGACAAGAACCCACCAATCACCCAGATCATTTCCTGTGGAGTTATACCAAGATTCAACCAACTGTTGGCTGATTGCCCAATTGCCAAGGTCCAGTTTGAGGCCGCATGGGCACTTACCAACATTGCCTCGGGCAACAGCACTCAGACCGAGCAGGTGATCAAGAGCGGCTCCGTGCAGATCTTTGTTAACTTGCTGAGCAGCCCACATCTGGAGGTGCAAGAGCAGTGTGTCTGGGCACTCGGCAACATTGCTGGTGACTCGATCAGAGCTCGTGACGACCTGATCCGCATGGGCGCCATCGAGCCCCTGATCAGCATCGGCATGAACATGAACACCAAGATCAGCATCATCCAGAACGTCATCTGGACCCTGTCCAACATGTGTCGCGGCAAGCCCCATCCTGACTTTACCCAGACCCAGAAGATCCTGCCTTTGTTGCGCCACCTGATCAGTCCCAACTTTGCAATGTCCTCTGACATCCTTGCCGACGCCTGTTGGGCCGCCAGCTACCTGTCCGATGGCGAGAACGACCGCTCACCGCC